TTTCATTATTTTGCCGGATGATGATGGCCTCCACATTGCTGTGTCAGTCGTTGGGGTTGTTTGACCATACATCACCACACAGGAGAACAAGGTGATATCACTCACCACTTATTTTAACCATGGCCAGGAATCGAACTCGGGTCCATTGCGTTCAAGTTAAAATCTTATACAATATAGCGATACGACGATTAATAGCAATCGTGCAGTAACTTGTTTACGCTAAACATACAATGGGAATGCCCCTTCGCAGCCACTGCAGTTAATCGTGGTGGGTTCCTGCACCGTGCGTAGGTCATGCCAGGCAAGGCCACGTTTAGGATTTCTGCGAGTCGTGGAAATGCCAAACTGCCAACGTATTGAACACCCTCGGAGTATTTTGACACGTATGGCTTCCACGACCACTATTGTCCGTGCTCTGGCTGTTGCCTGATGAGGCTGGTTGTAATTACCGGCGAAACGTCGCGGTGCTAAAATGGTAAATGTTGTGGGTCCACTCTCCAACACACCGGTGTGCTGTACCGGTAACGGATTTGCGTGTTCTCTTTACGCGACAAACATTTACTAATTGTCTGTGCCGAGTGGTGGCGGGTTTAACGACACATTTATATTTACGCGATCTAAACCAAAAAAAAACCCACCTCTATTATGGATCCTAACAGTAGCGGGAGAAACGTGCCCGACCCATCACTTCATGGCTGTCTTTTGTTTAAAGTCATTGGGATTAAAGACAAGCCACGTTAGTGCGATTGTGGGTCACGCAATCCAAACTATTGACCATATAGTACAACAATAGCAAAATGACACAAACGATCTTCTGAAGCTCTCTCGTGGCTAACAGGCCTCGGAAATTGAACTTTTAGCTCCTGAACATTTTGCCATTCGCAAGAATAAAATAGTGAAGAGCTCATAAGCCCGTGCTCTTCCCGACCGTGAAAGTAGGCACATGAAACTCGACTCGTGATGCTCGCAGCTAAGATAAGCCACTCTTATCAGTGCACGTGGCCTCCTCTTCAGAAAGGCGCAGGTTTGCAAAGAGTGGCAGTCGCCCACACTTTACAACACGACGAGGACATCAGAAATTAAACATCATTTACATGTACGTATCATCACATGGCCCTGTGGCCACGTGGGCTCACGTCCACCCACGTATAACATTGACCGGGATATTTATGTATTTGTTTGTCTTGCATATTCGGCGCTCAAACTGCATGACAGTCACGTGTAAAACCACGCGCTAAATACAAATAATTGAATCGTCATCATCATTAGCTACGACAAATCCGCTGCTGGACGAAGGCCTACCCAAAGTCGTCGGCACCTATCACGACTCTGCAATGCCGCAAAAGCAGCTCGCACGGGAACTGAATTTACCGCTTCGTATATCCAAGCCGGGCATCCTCCCGGACGCGTTCCCTTCCTTGGCTGCTCTCTACAATTCGCCGTGACCATCGCCCATCGTCCCCTCTAGAGCTGCCTGCTCCACAAGTTAATTATTCTCAATAGTTCGGGTGATTCTAGATTTGAAGTTTTCGTGACCGCAAGGATCCATACTCTTTGGTTCTTTCGGTAAAGTGACGTAGGCGAAAAAAAATAATGACGACGTTTCGATTGCAACACAAGCAATCATCAGAAAAAAATACTGTAAAAAAATTGTCTTGCTGTGGTTGTCACACCTGATGATGATTGCTTGTGTTTGCAATCGAAACGTCGTGATTTATTTATTTCTATTTTTTATTTTAAAATTTTTATTTTATATTTTTATTTTTTCACCTACGTGACTTTACCGAAAGAACCAAAGAGTATAGTTCGGATGATGTCATTCACCGGCGTGTGCTCTCGAATCAAAGTGTTCCTCTTTCCGTCTCTTAAGTGTGATTCTAATCTCTTAAGTGTGATTCTAATCGTTCATCTCTCCACGCCTCTTTGACCACTTTTCAGTGATTGGTCAAAATGTTTTGTTGTTTGTTAATGGCCGTGTTTATTAAGCATATAGCATAGCAGGAAATACACACTGATTAAATGTAGATATAAATACAGGGTGCTTCAAAAATGTTTTAACACTTATATGGGACATCGTTGCCAACACGTGGCCTGGAATCTTCTCCAGGTGATCTCCAGAGCACATTTCTCTTGGTGTTGTTGCAAATTCTCAGAAGTGTTAACATTTTTTTTAAGCACCCTGTATTAACATCTATAAATATTAACATCTCTAACTCAAGTTACCTCCGTCCTATCCAATTGCACACACTAATATTCACGACGCCACACCACATTCCACACGACAGTCCACGAGGCACAACTAAGAAAGGTGAAATCAGATGGTTTCCCATTGCCTTTTCTCAACGTGGCTTTAAGGAAAGGCAATCCCCGAATGCAGTTCGCCCTCAACAGAAACAGCTGGGCCCTGTTGCTGCAGGTGACCTGTTTATGGAGCAATGTGGAGGCGAGGGTTGGTGGAAGTAGAAATTCGTGAAGTTTCCTCCATACCCATGGGCATCGAAGTCACCATCTCCTGGCTTAGCCCAGCAAGTGGGTTAATTTCTAACTCGCAACCACCCCACAAGCAGTACCGCCTGGCCTGATCATGTCCTTTTTAAGTACCGGACAATAATACACGTCCCCGCGTGTTTAAACCCCATGCAAGGGACATAGGTAACAAGTTCCCAAAGTGACAAAGAGCATCTTCCACGATCTTCCCATTTATGCCTTTGATCATGGCTGTGAACCCCCACTTTTGCCATTCGACAGGTTTTCATTATATTATTAAATTAGATTCCCGGGAAGACTCCACTGGCGCGGCCCAGCACCGGGCCTCATCACCCACGGTTCACCGATTTTCCAATAACATTCTCCGCTTGGTTAGCCCGCCGATCATCAAGGAAGCGGTGGCCTCCGGTAACCTAATACCGGGCGTGGGTCTCTCCCCTTTTCAATATACTGCCAATTACGCCTCCCCTGTTGTGCAATTTGGGTCCCCCCGAGTCCGAGGGACCGGGCTTGTGGGTGGTGGCGAAGGGCGCAGCGGGGAGGCTGTGCGCCCGGAGGGGTTTGGGGGCTCGTGAGGCAGCGAGGAAACCCGGAGGGTGATCGGGGACGGCGGGAGGGAAGGAGAATGAGCGCTCACATCGCGGTGACGTGCTGGAGGGGCCTTTGCACGTTTGACTGACGCGTGGGTGATGATCACTCGTTGTAATCTGTGGTTTGGCAAAAAAAAACACCGTGGAACGGCACAAAAGGAAATGAAGTGGCATTCTGAGTTTGTTTACAACGCGAGCGTCAGGTGTGGCGTTGTGTAATGTTGCTGGCTGTCGTGTGGAGGGCGGGCTGGGCTGGCCTTCGCCCACTTCGCCGCGTCTCGCCACGCCATCCCATTACGCTTCGGAAAGCCCACGTTGGCACGTCTTTGCTCTTGGCAGACGCTGGGAACGGTTCCTTTAAGGCATTAACCTTGATTGCATTTTGGTTATTTCCATAGGAGTTTATTATCCGCCAGCGAAATGATGTTGTTGAACCACAATCCAGCGGTATGTAATTATTTTATTTTCATCTGCCACGTGAGCTTCAACTTGGGCACATGCGTAGTGTGACCACCTTCTCCACAGGCCAACTCCAGACATATTTCTCAGTCAGTCTAGGCCTTCAACAACTGTGCAGTATATTCTAGATTTGAAGCTTTCGGGACTGCAAGAATTCACACTCTTTGGTTCTATTCGGTAAAGTCACGTAGGTACCTACGTGACATCACCGAATAGATACTCTTTGGTTCTATTCGGTAAAGTCACGTAGGTAAATAATAAAACAACAATAATCACGACGTTTCGCGCTGTCCTCCAGACAGGCTCGTCCCTTCACCTGATGAAGGCCGCTTGTGTTGTGGCCGAAACGTCGTGATTATTGTTGTTTTATTATTTACCTACGTGACTTTACCGAATAGAACCAAAGAGTATGGATCCTTGCAGTCACGAAAGCTTTAAATCTAGAATCACCGAATAGAACCAAACTGTGCAGTAGTCTACTGTTATAAAGTTCATCACGGTACCGCAAGGTTTTGGGGACGATTCAGTTCCTGCCACCCAAACACAGAGGCCGAATCCTCGCACTGCGTTTTCATCGCGTGTAGAAATATCACACTTGGATAGAGGCACTCCATGGCAGTCGATTTTGTGCATCCACTCACGAATAAAAACAGCAAGGAAGCAGCGGCGGTCATCGGCACAATCTACAGGCCAAAATCAAAACCCTACTACATCAAAAACAACTTGGCAGGAATAGTGTGGGAAAAACCTACATTAAATGTAGGGTTTTCACTCGTTCATATCAAAAATAAAAATGAAAACGCTTCTCAATAAAAACAACAATAGTACGAAGGAAATGTTGATTGTTATGTTTATTAAAATATTCCCATGAAAAAACCCTTTTACAGAAATTCCCCGAGACCTTCCACTCACCGTATGAAACCCGTAATAATTTGAAAAATGTCACCGAAAGGAAACAAAAGAAAAAGATGCAGAGCTCTCAAAACACCAAACATTTCATTCTGCGTTGAAAAGAAGCCAAGAGGAAAGCATTTAAGCAAAAAAATAGTAAATGCCAATGTCACGTGACTCTTCGGAGCCTGCTCGTTGCTTTGAATAAATTCTGCAGAAATGATGAGCTCCCATGAGGCCGTGCGGCTGACAGAATGTGTCAAAAATACGTCGAGGGATGGATAGGTGAAGGAAGCGCAGATGTCTGCTTATTTATGACTCGCCTTTTGCTCGTCCAAGGACGGGCGTATTGCAGTAAATCAGATACTTGCAAGCGAAAAGCAGACATTCGTGTGCAATTTGTAAGGCCACGATGACACAGACTTATTTCATTTAAAGGTTATAATCCCTTGTTCATAATGACGTCCTTTTTACTTCTACGTCTCAACAGCGTTACGTGAGGGTTCTGCTTTTGTAGTGAGGGTTGTAAGTTGACGCTGAGGAGGGGGGAGGAAGCGCCTCGCCCCCCCCCCCCCCCATGTAGAGTGACATCACCCGCTAATTATTATTAATGGAGGGGGGGGGGGGGTCCATGTAGAGGATGTAACCTGTTCATGATTATTAATGAGGGGGGCTGGTCGACGTGGAGTGACGTCACGCGCGGGACACACAGACATTCTTGGCTCATTATAGTAGTACATTGAAGGGTACTGCTGAGGTGGGTTCCCATATTGAAATATAATCGGCCAGTCTCTGGGTCATGCACTGCTAAGATGTTAAAACATCTCCCTGGCGATGACAATTTTAAATTTCCCATCGCTTTTTCAAAGAGCGGTTTTTAAAGTTTCAAACGGTGGTTTATGATGCACTGACTAAGTTTGAAGCCGAAATTGCCTGCAGTTTGTTTCATTTTTACTGTAAAACAATTTTAAGTTCGGTTTTCAGTGTGTTTAATTTCCCTTCGTAAACATGTACTGATGATGAAGTGAACCATGTTGGAAGTCAAACTTAATGTGTAGTTCTATGAACTCCAGTTCCCAGCTCTTAAGTTAATCTCAGCTTCCCAAAGACACCGAGAGGAGGAGGAGGGTGGGGGCGGTCCGGTCAATGAATGAACACCGGTGATGACTTGGAACACGTGCTTGTATTAGAGGTGTCGTCGTTCGGGTAGTAACTTTGGGGCCATTGTGTATTTGATGGAGCAACGTGGGAGGAGTGGAATGTCCCCATCATTCAACCATCTCACTTTCCTGGACATTCTCATCCTGATCGACCACCTTGCCATCTACGATCGTCTGCGTGATGATCTTCACAATCTTCTTCTTACTTCTCTTTTGCATGACCCCCACACCACCTTTGAGAATACATCATCATCACCCATCATCATCATCACCACCAATTATCATCATCACCCATCATCATCATCATCGCCCATCATCACCCATTATCATCACCTATCATCATCATCCATCCAACACTGTCCATCAATTACATCAATATCAAACCTCAATTATCCTCAATTATATTCTAGAGACCAACTGAATTATAACACACCTGCACCAGTTTGTTACAGTTGCTCAGCACACAGGTCCAATGGCCCAAAAACATCTAACGGTCAGTGATAAGCAGCGCGATCGTGGTTGTAATCGATAAAGAGTCGACGCGTTTTGTTTTAACGGGGAATGCTTATCACGTGGATCTTGGCAAAATAAACGTTCAGGAGGAAATTACAAAGTGGTGCAATGCAAGAGATGCGTTTTGGCCGGTTTGTATTATCAAGTAGGAGTTTAAGGAGGTCATTGATTTATTAATATCGATTATTGAGGCTTACAATTAAAAATTCACAGCCCCTGAGCCAGTGGCGGAAATTCCACATGCTTATGACGGGAGCGAATCCATTGACGCGACAACTACCGTTAACTTCCCCACAAATTGGTACGTATTTTAATGACCCTGGAGGGATGATGGACCGAGTCAACCGCCAACCATAATTTGAACTCGCAAGCTTTCAATTGCGACCCTCCTGCTTTGCGGCAGAGCCACAATACAAGTGGTAAAAAGGTATTTAGATTTTTTTTACCGAATGCAAAGTGTATTTAAATAACACCCCAATGTGTCATTTGAGGATTGGGCAGCGTGGAGACGAGCGGGAGTGAACAATAATAATAAACGCGAGGCAATCTCTTTTTAACGCGTAGGCTTTCGTGACCAACATCGTCCATAATACAGGTTTTTTGGGTTAGATCTCGTAAATATTGTCGATTTGCTCTCCAACACACAGGTGTGCTGAACTAGTTACGAATTGGCATGTTTTGTTTACTTGACAAACCTTACTAATTGGCTGTGTCGGGTTGAACGACACATTTATATTAACGCGATATAACCTCCCCCAAAAATGTATTATGAGCGATATTTTATTTTTCTAAACCGAACGACTGCCCATGGGGGAGTCATAACTCCTCTGCTGTCGCGAGTGGAGGGATGCCATGCAAATGCTTTATTTACCAGCAACGGTGCCATCAACGCCGTCATCATCATCGTCGTCGTCATCATCTTGGCCATTGAATTTGCTTGCGGAGGAAGAGCTGCAAAAGAGAAATGCATGAGGGCACCTAAACCTCTGAGCTATGTAGTTCTTTATTCAGAAGCGACCTGGCCACAAATAATATCTCAACGAAGTGGCTTTATCACGTGGAAGTTTATAGCAGCCAAACACTCTAAACGCATGTTTCTAAATGTGGAGGGAAAAACCGGAGGACCTGGAAAAAAACATCCACGCGACCACGGGGATACGGGCGTCAGGGACAGGATCGAAAAAAAACCACGACCTCCTGCATGCCAGGCGAGATAGTTAACATCTGGCCACCGCGGCACCCATCTACTTTTAGCCAACATCTGCTCAATGGGAAGTCACTCCTTCTCCTCTGATGTCCTACACTGTCTAGAACATATGGAAAAAAGATATAATTTTTTGTTTTATATATGTTAAATAATCTGTTCTGTATCCGATGCATTCCTTTTCACAGCTCGAGGGTTTCAGAAATGTGAACGTCAAAGTCAAGTACATTCCTACTCGAATGTGTGTGGAGACGGTGGTCAATCATCTGCTTAAAGCTCCTGAGTCGGTGGCGGAAATTCCTCATTCATATGGCGAGGACGAGTCGTCCATAGGACAGCCGCAATTGACTTCCCCACAAAGTAGTACTTATTTTATCGATGATGGGCTGAGTCGACCCCAAACTAGGATTTGAACTCACAATGTTCCCATAGAGCCACTCGCTCTACCAATTAGTCACTAATTCATGCATTCATTCTTTGGTTAATTTTGTTAATGAAAAAGGTGAGACAAAGGGGGGGGGGGGGGGTTAGGTAATTGGGGATGATGATGACGCAGACACATTAAACAAAGAAACACGAGTCGACAAAGATATGGTACAATGCTATAATATCAATTTTACCTTTAAAAATCTAAAAAAATGAATGCAAAGACAAAAACAACAGCAATGATAACAAATAAACTTCAAGAATATAATTGGCTGCTATGCACACATGTGCATGCAATATGGGCTTTGTAAAAAAATACGTAAATATTGTAAACATTTGGATACTTACACAGTCTGAGATGAACTAAACCCTGCGGATGAGAAATAGGCACAAGTTACATGGTCAACAACACGTGACTAACATTGACCGGTTGTGGGCACAATGTTATACTAGAGGCATGCTTAGGCTTGTGTGAATTGTGGACCAGATTACACAAACAGAGTGGAACAAATGAAAAACAATGCAAAACGAGGCGGTAACAAATGCGACACAAAGAAATAAATTGAATCTTGAATCGGAGCCTAAATTGATTGCTCATCAATTCACTGTCGGTTTGTGGGGTTTAATTGTTCCACGCCAACCAATGCACCCCCGTGTTCTCACCTCCTCCATATCCGCTTCCAAACGCTCCACCAGCACCACCACTTCCACCACCAGCGCCAAAGGCTCCACCGGCTCCACCGGCTCCACCAGCTCCACCCAGCCTGCGAACAGACGCACACAAAGACAAAGATTCCCCATGTAACCTTTAACAGACTGTTGGGGTAAGTGCTGTAAGCAAGCACCTAATATGAAGGTCGGCAAGGTTCACCAAATTTTTTGTGTTAGATCGCGTAAATATAAATGCGTCGTTAAACCCGCCACCACCCGACATGGCCAATTAGTAAGGTTTGTCACGTCAACAAAATATGCCAATTCGTTACTAGTACAGCACACCGGTTGTGTGTTGGAGAACAAACCCACTGCAACATTCACAATTCGAGTCGCCGGTAATTACAACAACCAGCATCATCAGGCGACAGCCACAGAGTTGTGGAGAAATTCCCACCCCCCCCCCCCCCCCGTTTCGGTCTTAGAGAGCTAAAGGTGATGTCGTCACTTGTGAGCCAATCAGGTACGAAGACCACATAAAATGTGCGTGCACCGCCCATGCGCGTTATGCATGCACGTTATGTATGTTGCTTCGCCGGGTGCACAACCCAACCGGAGAGGTATATCCATTGTAATTTATATCACTACATAACCCCCCCCCCGCCGCCCGCCACCTATGGCTATGTCAGGTGGTGGCGGGTTTCACGACACATTTACATTTAAGTGAATTAACTCAAAAATACACCCCTCTATCAGTGCCGGATTATCGTAGTAGCAAAAGTAGCTACATATGCTATCAATTCCTGTTCAGTGATTTTGCACTTGCTCTATTACTATAGTACTATGCTGCCTTCAACTTTTACGAACGACTGGGTGTCTAAGGTTAGCGAGTTGTCGTATTCGGCTGTATAGCAAATGAAAAAATACAATTACTTTCCTATACAAGTAAAACATTTGTGTTTTAATATTTACGCGTTTTTTTAATTTATTTAGGGCCCCCTTTATAATATCATTCCACAGTCCCCGCACGAGCTTCATCCGGCACTGCTCCTCCATTATGGACACAACTTCGAACTCTGACGACGGTCAAGAAACCTCAGCCGTCCGTTCACCTGTTGTCCTCTCCCTCCAGCAGGCGCCTGTAGGTGGCGATCTCCATCTCGAGCTTCATCTTGGCGTTGAGCAGGGTCTGGTATTCCTGCAGCTGCGCGTTGTCGCCCGTCCGCACCTGAGCGATCTCGGCCTCCAGCTTCTGGAGCTGGGCCTGCAGCAGCTGCAGCTCGTGGCCATAGCGGTTCTCCGTGTCGGCCAGCGCATCTTCCAGAGACTTGTTCTGGGGCCGAGACCGCGGGTCCGTCGCACGTTCGTGTTACCGAACGTAGATGGACTCGTCCGTCTGAACAAACTGTAAAATCGCTCTCCGTGGTGCTAACGTTAAAAAATAACCGCCACTTGATTCAAATTTTCTTGCTGTGGTTTTCACACCCGATGATGACTGCTTGTGTTGCAGTCGAAACGTCGTGAGAATTTTATTGTTTTAAATTTTTATTATGTTATTGTTTCCCTTATACGTGACTTTACCGAAAGAACCAAGAATATGAATCCCTGCAGTCACGAAAGCTTTAAATAAAAAAATAATGGTGATGATTAATACTTTTCGCGAGCAATATTACGTTTCGTTAAATATATTTTTGGGAGGGTTATGCCACGTATAGTTTGTCCGTCCAAATCTCAGCCGCCCCACAGCTTAAAAAAAACGAATTAACTGTCACGTTGCATACAAACGTTTAACATCGCACCAATTAGTATTGCTTCAGCTCAGCGGTGAGTTGATGAACAATTCTCACAGCCAGAGTTAGTAATTGTATACGGGACGTTTCGTTTGCAACAACGCCAAACAAATACGTGGCGTTGTTATTCTGTCTTCCTCGTTTGTCATTCTGAATTTCTGGATCTTTTCCTGCTGATGTTTGCCACAGTTACAAGTTAAACTTCATATCTTATTGCTAAAGATGTCATCACAATCATTTTTTTTCAATAATGATACATTTCATCATCATCATCATCATCCCCATGGGCTCTAAGAAATAAGATGTGCTTTACAAATGTCAACAGTGGTTGTCCGAAGAATACACTGCCCCCAATTCCCTCCATAGGAGGGTGCAATTTACAAAACTGGCTCAGGGCCTCCAGTGGACATGAACATTAATCGAACGGTCATTTGAGTAATGAGTGACTGCCTTAACCCAGGGTTAGTCTCAGTGACAAGTGAGTCTCGGGTTTATTTCTCAGGGAGCACTCTGCTCACGCTGTGTGGCTGTATGCTAGCGAGCTGCTGCTGCTGGTGGTGATGGTGGTGATGGTGATGATGGTGGTGATGGTGGTGGTGGACGCTGAGGAGAGCGGCGGTGTAGCGGTTAGCGCGCTGCACTACAAACCCGGCGACCTGGGTTCGATTCCCTCTCACGGCCAACAGCGTCGGTGACGATTATCTGAGCCGGTCCTGGGCCTCCCCTAGGTCGACTCAGCCTCAAATGAGTACCTTGTGCGGTGTGTAGTAAACATCGCCACTGGGGAGACAAAGGCGGTCGGGCGTGGTGCTGGTCACCCACCCCATCGTGTACCGTTCCGGCCTTCATAGCTGCTCGCTAACAGCACTTGCCCCTACAGACTGTTAAGGCTATACGGGGGGGACTTTTGTCTTTTTGGACGCTGTGGCTCTGGGCTAGGGGGGGGGGGGGGAGAGACGCGAACTCGCGTGGGTCTCTCACCGTGCTACGCAGCATCTCCAGCTCCAGCATGAGTGTCTGGAGTGACTGCCGGGCCTCCTTGCTCTCCATCTTGACGGTGTTCAGGGCCGCCTGGCCCTGCGACGCCGTCGCCTTCACCATCTCCGCCTGCTCACGCGCGCGCGGTGAAAGAGTGCGGGGCCATCTCGTGTTCAAGTCGCATCCACTACGCTGGAGTCGCGCTCCGCGTGTGTTGGATGCTGCTGCTCATGGGGGGGGGGGGGAGGCGTGCCAAGTGCCCTGTGTGACTCAAAGGCGACAGCACAGCGTACACACATATATCTACCAAACAATACAAAAAAAATACGACTATTAACACTACCATCATGTTCTGAAGTGGTCGAACACCTGTTTTGAGAAAACAATTATATGACGGTATTCGTACTGTCAATTACAACTCGTTATTATATGCCTTTCAAAGAGGGTTCATCACATGCTAATCAAACCCATTTGCAATCAGCCAACTTCAGTGGAAAAAAAAAGAATTCAATGATAGCTGTTTTGTGCGATGTTTGGAAACCAGGCTGAGACCATCAACTCTCGTCACCGTAGAGGGTCTGTTTCAATTATCGGCAGCTAAACATCTGGATTTCACCCCAGGATTTCTGCGGCGGATTTATTTGGTTACGTAGTTGTACACCTGTCAACACATCTGCTGAGCACAGGCCCGAAAGCCCCCCCCCCCCCCAAAAAAAAATGTCAAGCGGCCAGCAATAAACACCACGAGCAGTCAACACCACCCGCGAGTGTGGCGAGTGGTGGCGCAGATGAGCGGGGTGACCGAGTCAGTGGGCGAGTGCGTTGTTGTGACCGCCGGCAGTGCGGTAGCTGAACACCGGAACGGATGCGACAAAGCATTCGGTCTAGTAGACAAAGTCCTCGGCACGGGTGGATGTATCAAGGAGTGAAGTTCATGGGAACAGCAGCCACGGCAGTAGCGATAGAAGAGTGACAATGAGGCGAATGACAGTGTTAAAGACACCCGAGCCAACCGAGTTATTCTACGGGCACCTGCTTCTTGAAGGCAGCCTCGGCCTCCTCTTGGTTCTTCCTGATCATCTCCTCGTACTGCGCTCGGATCTGCGCAATGATCTTGCTGAGATCGACGCCCGGGGTGCTGTCCACCTCCACGCTCATCTCGGCACCGCACTGCGCACGCAGTGCTGCTATCTCCTGCGCGCCCGACAAGCCGGGGAGGAGGGAGGGAGGGAGGGATGACGTTCGGACCGGACAGAAATCGCCCACCACGGTCAATACCGCAACAGTCTCGCCCCCCCCCCCCGCCCCCCACTCCTTGCGTCAAGCCCCATTTCGCTCAGACTGGGCGCCCGCCACCAGCGAGAGGGCCTCGTCGCCCACCTCGGCGTGGTTCTTCTTGAGGTAGAGGAGCTCCTCGGCGAGCAGCTGCAGTTGGGAGTGCAGCAGTCCGCTCTCCGACTCGTAGTCCAGCTTGAGGCCCCGCAGGTTGTCGATGTCGCCCTCCACCGACTGGCGCAGCACAATTTCCGTCTCCCACCTGGGCCACGCACGCAGGGCGGTCAGACGCAGCGGGTGGGCACGGTGGTTTTGAATAAGCGGGCGTGACGGTTTGTTAATTCGTTGAATGAAATCGATTGTTACGCTCCAGGAATGCCGAGCAGTGCTTTGTGGCGAATCAATCATGGCATTCTTATATGGATAGACGTGCGCCTGTCATAGAAATGTGGAATTATCACGATTGGTTCCGAACCACCAACGGAGATGAGCAATGCCCAGTGCTAGTTTTGGCGTGGAGACCATGTTACCTACGACTTAAAGAATAAATGTATCATTATTAACAGGTCGGGGAGTTAAAGATGTTTTACTATCATTGAAAACACTGATGATGACGCTGAGAATAAAAAAAATACAAAATCTAAGCCACGAAATACGTCACAGCTGTCTTGAAGTGAATCATAAATCAATGCAAACACAACAGCAATAAATAAGAATGGACACGGTGAAATAAAACGATTTGTAAAACAAACAACAGGTTAGATAATTGCAGGGTTGTCCTTGAGGTACCTAAAGGGACCTCCGGAATGGGCCCCACCCCCTTATCTGAGAAATCGAGGCCCCCAAGGCAAAGAGGGCAGCTTTCATGCTGAACAAAGCAGAGCCTGTGCCCGAGGGAAATAAGCCTGTGGAAACTTCTCCTTATGAAAGACCGTAACGACCGTTCGTAATACATTACGGCGGCGGTGGTCATCAATTTATAATGACTCGGTGCCACCCCGCGAAACACACAAGAGTCGGCGTGAGTGTTTTTTTCTTTGTGTGCGTGTGTCCTGGATGCAGAGGTGGCGGGTCGCCGGCTGCCTGTCGGCTTGATGGCAACGTGACAGCAGCATTGACGAGCGCGTGCTGGTGCTTCCGCTCGCGACAGGGTCATCGCTTCGCCCTCCTCGGTCCGTCTCCGACAACGGGTCGGGTGCATCCTGAATTTCTTCTGTTGCGCGTAGTCACTTTAAAATGATTCTTGTTCATGTTTTTGTTTTGTTGCGGTCGCACCCGATCCAAGGGCCGCATGGCTGGCTCACAGGGCTATACGGTACCTAATAGATTAACTGAAATGAACTGAACTGAAGCATCCGAGTGGAGGTCGTGGATTGAACGATAACCGGTGGACAGAGTTGTCGTTTACGGAATCGTTTCCCAACTCCGACAGGTGGGAACCGGTGACCGTTCATCGGTGGCCTCAGTCGCCACGTGGTTAAACTTGCCCTGGCGTCCACTCGAGGAAGCTCTTAAGAGGGTGCTTGGTCTACTCTTCCATGCTGACCAGACGTCTTGGAAGAGGTACCCACACTTTTCCCCACGACACACGAGCTGCCGACGTACTCAAAGCGGAGCACCCCCTTTAGGCTAGGCTGCTGGGTGGACAGAGGTAGAAACTCGCCACATTGTTGTTTTAAATTCAGTGCAAGGAGCAGAAATGGAACCGGCGACATCTGGATTAGAAGTGCCGGGTACTGACCACTGCATCATGGCAGCACCACCCCGCCCCCGCCCCCTTTGTTTCTCCGTGAAAATGATAATTAAAAAAAACCTACCGCGTTTATCGCGAGACATTTCTAGAAATAAACTTTGGGTTCTGAATGGAAATGCTCCTCACAGAAATCGGCACTGAAGACAACCTGAAAATGATTAACCAATGTCCCCATGAACGCTGCCTTTTAAAATGTAATGTTTTGGAAACGGCCTTCCTTGAGAGCACAGGGGGTCAGATTGTGAGTCATTTTGCAAGGTTGTGAGTCATAGCAAGACCAATTATACAGTGTAAAGGCTTGAAAATGAGATATCAAAAAATGGCTGCGTAGTTGTCACTTGCAATTGTTAGGAAAATGCACTTAAATTGATAACAAAAGTGTACTTATAACGAGTGTGTTTTGAGACACAACTGCACATATCAAAAAACAACACGTGCAGCCCGCTCGCGTGACTGATGCATTGCCACATAGTCCCATTTCTGAGTTCAATATCCGGCGGCGGCAAACATCAGTGGCGAGTGATATCCTAAGCGTAATAATAGGGGGTTTTCCCCTTTTTACTGGCAACAAAACTGAAGCCTTTGACAAGGAATCATGTCTGCATTAACCACAATACTTGTGGTCAAAATGCAAACAAAAACACACTATGATAATATATGCATTGTCCTTGAAACTGATTGGTCCACACCAGAGACGGCTTTCTTTTGAGCCTCGACCCAATTGGGGCGAGACCAGAGGACGCCAAAAGGCGTACAGCTCAAAGACAATGCACTATCAAAGTAATGAGGGCTCGGGGTAAGCATCTACATCATTAGACCTCCTTATATTTTGGTACTGGCAAAGGAGGTCTAATGATGTGATATCCAAAACGGTTACTGGGCCACCCACCACTTTGTCAACAACTCTGCGCTGACCGCTGCAGTGAATTACGGTCTTAAAGAATGGGGAGGCCTTCATTCAGCAGTGGATTGACGACGAGCTGAGAATTATTGGTAAATAATAATGACGACGATGATGAATTGATGATGATTATGAAACAATAATTATCGCGATTGATTAAAACTCAATTTAAACCTCCAAGACACTGGGGCAGCATTGCATTATGAGCTATACATTGACAGCATCACTGTACAAGCAGCTCTTGTTTGGAAATGCAGGCTGGTCCCTGTGTATTACTAAGCAGTGTTTGTTAATGATCAGCACGGTTGGCTACATACGGTGCGAAAGAAGTTCAACATACGTACATACAATGGCCACAGTGGTGGGGAATGGTTGCTATGTGTCAAGTTACACCCTGCACACCATTGCAAATGATATTTTCCATCTCAAGGGTTTTTGTCCGGGTGAATATTCATAAAATCATAAAAAGTAGTGGTTCATCCTGTGCTTTACGCCACTGCCACTCAGTCCCAGACATTTCAATAAAAGTTCAATCCCGTTGTGAAATCCTGGCTGATGAGCAGCATTTATGGATGGGTGCAGGTCATCGGAAACGATCCACGATTCCCGAGGACAGAAAGTCTGACATGCCCTAGGACAAAACGTAAAAACATTGATTTGGAACAAGTTCCAGTGAGATCGCAAATCTATGGGCGCGGCAGAAGTTGCTCGTTGTTGACATAATCGTTTCTACTGCACCAGCCAATCAGCTGCCAGGAAGACAATTGAAGGGAAACAATAAAATAATAATTATATACAAAGTCACATTGAAGGGAAACAATAAAATAATAATTATATATATTTTATAATTTTATTGTTTCCCTTCAACGTGACTTTACCGAAAGAGCTAAGAATATGAATTACTGCAGTCACGAAAGCTTTAAATAAAAAAAATATTAATTATATTCACTGTGAATGTTATGAATGTAATCTTTCTCATAATTATGAAAGTGTATTAATTGTTCTACGTCTTTTTTTTACTTTGACAATCAGAATCAGAATCTTTGTTTATCCTGAAAGAATTCCGCACCTCCGATTAGCACGCATAGCTACGTACGGTGCGAAAGAAGTTCAACGTACATGCATACATTCCATGAGCTATACAATGTTTTATTTTCTCCCTCACGCAATCAAATTTATGATAATTTATTAGCTTAGGCAATTTCTTGAATTGTGTCAGCTCTGGACTTGGGCCCATGATTTCCAGGTCAGGGCATGAGGATATTGTAACATTATACAACCATGTGGCCACGTTAATTGACAATGTGATTTGTGCCATTCGCCCTGCGCTGTTTTGCAATCACAATGTTGGTGTAGTGGTGCTGTGGGTGCTGGTGGTGGTTGGTGGTTATGCGGTTGAAGGTCATTAGATGGCAATAAAATTTGCCAATTGCACGACGCGTCAGGAGATCGGCATTTATTTTAAATGTATACATCCATCTCCCCGAGAGTTCCACCGTCGGTCTCTCAACACGGGGACGTCACTCACTTGGTTCTGAAGTCATCGGCGGCCAGGCGGGCGTTGTCGATCTCCAGGGAGATCTGGGCGTTCACCAACTTCGCAGCTGTGATCTGGTCACAAGGAACGGAGGCTTGACGATGACGCTACATGCAATCGCTACCATTTGCTGTCACGCGGGAGAGCTCAGGGCGCAACCTATCTTTGATGGTTTCAAACAATGGATATTGTATTTTGCATGCGGTTGAAACTGGCCTTTCCCAGACGGCTGCATCAGCATCCAAACCACAGCTGAACCGCATTCTTATTTTCAAAGGCAGAGCACGCCAAGGGCACCTTTTCCTTCGGCCACTGCCCATCTACCACCAACCACAAACTTAGGTGCAGTGCGTCACCGTTTGATTGAAGTCAATTTGTGGATCTCCAGCGGCAACGTCGTGTAAATGTACTTGAAAAATGGACAGCCGGTTATTTTTTTTATTGCAGTGACACCACATCTGATCTAGATTCATATAGCACCTTTATTAAGGCGCTTTACAGCAATTATAACTTTGCACATCGGATGAATATGATGATGATGATTTTAAATGAAGAACTGGGTTTTAATGACAGCAGAACAAGAGGGATTGGTAATGAGGGGCCGGAATAGGCCTGGTTGTGGATGGGCTCGGTGGTGAACCTTTTAATTTCCATAACCCGAATGCACTTGTGCTTTATGTATTCATACGCGATGTGTAAATACGTGATGTGCAAAAACGTGATATGCCGACATATAACTTATAATGACACCACCATTGAATTCATACTGTGGAGGATTTCAAGTCGCGCCCTTGTCCGTCAAATAAAATTGCATTTCAATTAAGTTTCTTCATCAAAAGGTCAGGTATTTTTCAAGGACCGTGTAAAATGTTGAACTCTTAAGTAGCTTGTGGTGCATCAGCACACTGTGCTACAGCAAATTATGGGTTCAATCCCTGCCTGGGAATCACTACACCAGTGGCAGGTGGGCATCATACCTAGTTTGAACCTCACCCAGATCGAGCTGGGCCTACACATCTAAACTAATTTTTTTGTATTTTACTATTTAACCTTGGAAATCAGAGGTGACCAGGTGCGAGTGGGTCTGGCCACCACCGCTCTGTCGTGGACGCTGCTGCTGCAGCTGTTAATTGACTCAGCACTGAATGTCAACATTCAACCAGGCTTGATGCCACTCAGTACCGCAACAAAGCTTCGAGGCTGCAGTGTGGCTCACGGGTGCACCGCTGTCTTACCTGCTCAATGAGAGCCTCGATGTTGACGAGCAGGGGGTCGTAGTTGGTGGTGGAGATGTTGCTGGCGCGGGACTCCTTGATCTGGGCACAGTGACATTCACGCTGCGCTAGAGGACCCTCCGGCGGCGCCGATAGGGGCGCGTTGACGCAAGCAACGCTTCACCCCCTCTGCCCAATGGACCTTAAAGGCACGGGTAATTTGAATTCTGGCAAGCGTTACTTAATAACTTTAAAAACCGTCCTCTTGAGGGTTTGGGAGTAACAACAACGCTAATTTGCTTTTCCACGAACTCTTCAATGGGTCTCAAAACTCAATGTTTAGGGTATTGCTATTGGATGTTATACAAATTTAAATTTGTACATGTGGAATTAAACCACTGTCACGGAAAATTCCATATATATATCACATACCTTTAAAAAAAGGTCATAAACCTCCCTGCTGTACTGCCACTAACACAGGTACCACCACGTGGCCCCTGCCTGCAGGCATATAGATGCATCACGCTAGCTGTGTGATCCACTAACCCTCGCCTGCGAGTCACTGGACGGCAGGCGCGCATTGCCGGCGCATGCAAAGAGTCGGCGACGTTCATGCGTCCACAAAGCCACGTTCGCATTCGAGAGACGTGCACTTAGTTGAGGCCATTGTCGTGGGTTCCTTTGTAGTCGGGAGTCCAGGGAGGTGTCAAATTGGAGCTGGGGACACTGAGAATCAAATTACCAGTCTCCCTTTTGTTTCTTGTTTAACTAAAGCATAAAGCTTCTTTCACTCGTGCGATACTCAGAGCTGCCTCTGACACAAACAGACAAAACTGTACGCATACGAAGGCTATTTACTCACGCATTCATTCACAAATTAGATTTTGCTTCGCTGCGTTCTGGGAAAGGCGCAGCGTTAAAACGAGTTGAACCATGCACAGCGCTATTTAATGCCGGAAATCGCACACGGCAATTTTCTGCTCAATTATACAGAGCAGATAAAAAACATTTATATTACTCACATTGGGGCTGTTTATATGGGAGTGAACAAGATTTGGCAAATTATAATCGTTAAAAATATTCTATTCCAGCCACATATGCGAGTCCTTTATTTTGGATATATGAATTTAGATTCCTTGAAACTCCTGGGAAGGAAATCTGTCTCAAAGATAATTTTCAATTGTACAATGCTTTCGGATGTGTAATCAAATATTAGTTGTATCTTTAATATCACGATTATTATTCATACCAACGACCCACATGATCGACACAGCAAGGTAATGGCATTTATCCAGAGGTGGCTTGGCACGAAACTCTTGAACGATGTTCAGTGCGGTGTCTAGTAGTGGTTGTCCTCTTGAGAAATCGGAGCATAGCATGGCCGTTGGGGGATTTTCCATCCCTGTCTCATTGGGGCGCGACGATGGTGAAATGTTAACTACCTCGCCCGGTATACAGAAGGTCGGGTGCTGAATCCCGACCGTGACGCCTGTTGTATATTTGGAGTTTGCATGTTCTCTCTTTTTTTTCGCCGGGTCCTCCGGGTTTTCCCTCCACATTTAGAAACATGCATTGAGAGTATTTGTCTTGCTATGCATTATCACATGATGATAAGCCACTTTCGTTGAAATATCATTTTTGGCCAGGTTACTTCTGATAAACGGCTTACAGCTCAGTGGGCCTTACCTGGTAAAACTAAAATAAAATGGTTTATAATAGTTTCGTTATTCATTCAGCGTTGGAGACACGATGCCTTCAATCGCACCTGACACCGCGTGCACGCACGCGAGAGAGGACCCTCACCTTGATCTCCAGGGCTTTGTTGACAGACTCCAGGTAGCGGACCTTCTCCATGTACTCCTCCAGGCGCGTGTTGAGGTCCTGCATCTCGAGCTTCTCGTCGCCGCCCAGCAGTCCTCCTCCTCCCGCTCCTCCTCCGCCTCCTCCTCCGCCCCTGCCGAGGCTCATGGAGGAGAAGGAGGACGAGGAGAAGGCCGCCTTGGCCGGGCCGAGCATCGGCTCGGCGCCGTAGATGAAGACGCCGCCCGAGTGCACCTCGATGCCACCGGCGCCGCCGTAGACGCTGGCCGCGCTGCTACGGGCGACGCTGCGGCCGCCGCCGCTCTGCGAGTGGCTGGAAAATTTGCGAGACGTGGACATCGTGCTCGCCGCTCTTGACATGTCGAGAGGAGCTCGGGAGAACGAGAGAGAGAGAGCGGTGTTGCGACTTTGGGGATATCGCGAAGTTGGGAACTCGCCGGCGGAGTGTTCGAGCTTGACGCGGTGAATTCGATAGGTGTGGAGGGCCTCGAGGTGGGCCTTCAGACGCTGCAGGACACGTTCCGGTGTGCAGTGAAACGCTCCGTTCGCCAGATATATATAGAGCGCCACACATGTGGGTTGAACGTGGGCCAGCAAACCCCGGCTTCCGATTGGCTCGCCCTGCCTCGCATTAATTTATCTCCCAAGCACAGGTCGCATGAGCCGCTGGGGGCTCAGGGCAGTGACACCTGCTCTGTTAATGGTTATTGAAGCCAAGGCACCAGGTCGCGCATTCCTCGGCCGCACCTGCCCTGCGTGGAGGCGGAGACACCCACGGAGCTCCAGGCCACCCCCCCCCGTGAGGCTTCGCTGAGAATTCTCCGGCACTCGGGGCTGCCAGCGTAAGCTCCTTGAACCGCGAGCAGAGCGAATGCTGCGCTTCGCAAAGAACGCATTCGCGTGAAAAATAAAATTCTCAGTAGCACGGCATTTTATTGCCATGTAAAACACCGAATTGTAATGCAATAATAATTGGTATTTTCAGGTGCTTTTAATGCTCATATGAGTACCAAGGGCGGTGGCTCATCTCCCGTTTACAACCCTGAACCCACCGGTGGAAATTCCACATTCCTACAGCGGTGGTGAGTCAAATCCATGGGACAACCGACGTTGACTTCCTCGCAAAGCGTTACTACTATTTTATCGACCCCCAGCGAGAAAATGCGCCGAGTCAACCCTCAGCCAGGGCGTGAACTCGCGACCTTTCCGAGTGCGAGCGGCGCGCGTTTAGAGTCGCGCGTTGACGTTCCGTGCATCAGAATTATTCACGTCGCTTCGCATTTACGTCCCTACGCAGTGGACCGTGTAGAAGTTGCGTTTTCTTTAATTTACATACATTTTCATAAAAAAAACCCCAGAATTGTATTAAAATACCAAGCACTGTCAGCAAGAAGACAACCGTTTGAAGAACATTATATTTACAAAAAATATGCCCTGAATCTGCTACGCACTTGGAATAGTTGCTGCTATGCCATATAGACGACCTAAAACTATTGAAGTGACTAGTCATAGGATTGGAAGCGGGATACTTCATGCGAAAACTATTAGCTTCCCGTTTGCTTACACGTCGGTTCCATTTGTATCGACAATGTAACACATAATCAAACGCATTGCCTTCCATTGTATTTCAGGATATCATTCGTGAAGGCACAATGCACTTGAATAATAGGCATTGTGTATTCGTCGGCTGGTTTGTAACATGAAACAGTTGACATTCAGCTGAAATGACCCCTCAACACTGCAAATATGCACTCGGGTATCAGTATTTTGACACATCTGCCAATCCCCGCGCCCACGATCTCCTCGCCTCGGCAAACAAAGTGCATTAGTTTAACCTACTGGGTTCTTGTATCCTCAATACCGTCAGCTGTATGCGCACCACGTACCTACATTAGATACACAGTATTGTCGAAACAAACGCTGTTCTGTAATGGGAGCACGCACGATTAAAAGCTTACCGCTTCGCGTGAATAACCTGCTGTGTCCATTGAATATCACATTCAAATGACATGCCGGAAGCGTGCATGCAACGCACACGAATGGGCATCATCGCCCCTGACGCAAATATTGATGAGTGCTGCTCGCATCATTCGATCGACATCCCAGATCAGCGCTCGCTGCTGTGCGCGAGTGTGCGTCACGTCGCAGAGGGCTTCCTCAATACAAGTTCCGGGCGATTCGGCGAAGAGGAGCATGCAGTCCAAGCCGTCACACATATTTGGGGAACAAGGAGAGCAGCGATCTTTATTCGAAGCTTTCGTGACTGCAGGAATCCATACTCTTTGGTTCTTTCGGTAAAGTCACGTGGGTAGAAACATAATAATAATAATAGATCACGACGTTTCGATCGCCACACAAGCAGTCGTCCTCGGGTGATCTATTATTTGTTCTACCAACGCGACTTTCATCGAAAGAACCAGAGAACATGGAGAGTCTGCCCAGTTATCTGTAAAAAACGATTTGAGAGTTTTCCCACTTTCATGCGAAGTGTTCCTGCGGGGAATGTGGTTTCTTCCATCGAGCGTGATAACGACGTTTCGTGACTGAGCCAGGAAATATTGTTTATGAGGAGCATTCCAGATTTGAGTTGTTGAAGCCAATTCAATTGAATCGAGATGATGAATTTGAGTCGACCCCAAAATCACCATCATTCATTCAAATACCAAGCGCTGTCATTTTGAAGACAACTAGAACATTATAGGAAACGTCCTGAATGTGCTGGCACTTAGAGTATACGCCAATGCATTACTCACACCCGTTGGCATTCATGCAAGTGAGTGGTGAATTTGAGTCAACCCCAAAATCGTGAGAATTCATGAAACTGCTGGTGGGGGAGGGAATGATTCATGCAAGCCGAGTATCAGTGCGACTCTCCTTTCCGTGAAAGAAAATAACTTCGGGATTGCTCTACAGGTGTAAATTAATAATGAGAACTCACTAGCGTCACTGTTAACGCCTGTGTTAAAATAAGAACATCAAGTGGGCTCGCATATTGAGCGATGGCTTTAAATTGCTTACGCTTCCCCAAAGAGTATCCGACGAAATATATTCCAAAGTCGGTGAAATTACAGCTGGCGAGCTAAAGTTGTCAACATCTCCCCCTGCGCGTTTGCCAAACGCTGCTGACCGAACCTTGCTGAGGCACACGAAGCCGCACTGCGTTCCGTGACGACGCCAGATGGTATTTAGCAGCCGGACCCAGCAATGTTTTAAACAGAGGTAAAAACAGAGGGTTAAGCGTGGCGGCGGTGGGTGGGGGCCCATTCACTTTTCACGGCACGCGACAATAGACCGCGCTCTGGCGAGCCTTCGCTTCGCTTTGTCCGCATTGAAGGCGACAAATTGAGGCATTAAATAAACATGGACAATGCACCGGTAACGGTGAATGCCATGATGTCTTTCAAAGCAATGCACTGTACATGCATGTTAGGGGGTTGACTGGCACATGCAGAGGGAGGGGCTTCACCAGCAAGCCCCGGCGAGAGAGAGGTGGACGATGAGAGAGCGGTGGACGACGAGAGAGAAGTGGACGACGAGAGAGCGGTGGACGAGAGAGTGGTGGACAACGAGAGAGCGGTGGACGAGAGAGTGGTGGACGACGAGACAGCGGTGGACGACGAGAGAGCGGTGGCCGATGAGACAGCGGTGGACGATGAGAGAGCGGTGGACGACGAGAGAGGTGGACGACGAGAGCGGTGGACGACGAGATAGCGGTGGACAACGAGAGAGCGATGGACGACGAGAGAGAGGTGGACGACGAGAGAGAGGTGGACGACAAGACAGCGGTGGATGCGGGGCTCAAGCCCAGAGCACCGAGCCGTGACATCAACATTGACACGTGGGCGGTCGATGTCACAGTTGCCCATGGGAGTTGCAGTTTTAAATTGTTGTTGTCTTGTTAATATGCCAATGAGGGCAACATGTTTTTATTTAAATTGCGAAGAGGACAAGTTTCCAGTTTGATGGAGCTCATCCAAGCCATGATTAACCTTATCACTGTTTAACTCACGATGCCTCGGGATTTCATTCTGACGTTGTATGAAGTCAGATGTAAATCCTTGTACTACATAGACAACCATTGACTTTAAAACAGCACGCACACACATACAGGGTTTAATAAAAACAATTTAATGCAGAACTTCAAAGCCAAGTGCGCTCGCGTTGCACTTAAGTTAAACGCACTGGAAATGTGTTGAACAATTTTAAAATCTACAGTGTAACATTGCGGTGTAAAAATCATTACTCTTAACCAAGATATAAAGGCCAAATGGGCGACGTCTACAGTAATGTTTGTTATATTCCGAATGCGGTGGTGGTGGTGGTAGCAGTGGCAGGTGTCTCGTTCACGTTATCCGCTTGTAGTAAACCAAAATCATTCTGCACCATCATTCACTTTCATTCACAGTCATTCACAATTAACTCAAGAGTGGGCTCCCAATAGGGGCCTCCGTGCAGTGCTGTGTATCCACGCTCTACCCACACTGGCGAGTGTCACTTTGTTGTTGGGGGGGGTCTCCGACCGATTTATAAAATCTCCACATTGCTATGGCGAGGACCGCTCGTTCCTCGGGAGCGCGTGTCCCGCCTCGCTGGCTCTTGCTTATTTTATTGGACCCCCAGAGAAACGATGAAGATCGCGATGGTTGTGCTGGAATCTACTCTGGTCAGGCATTCAACTCATGTTCTCATGATCGGAAGCTCTGCAACTCTTGCGAATTAATATGCATCCCAGCCCAATATACAGCGCACATATTCAGACCAGTATATTTACAGGTGGAATTGTATTTTAAATATACAGCCCCATTGTCAATCAATCCAATGCTGGATGGTGACTTCCCTGTACCGTATGCCATGGGGGGGGGGGGGGTTCTGACCATACCTCACCACGCTGGTCAGTGTAGGTTGGTTAAGTGGGGTTGCAGGACTGGTTAGGATATCACGAGCCACGGATATTAGCCGTGGCCGGGGGTCGAAATCGGCGAACTAGGTTCATTGCGCAGCGTTTACCGCTGCGCCACTGTTCCCCTGTTTACACTATATACATGCCCACAAACATATCGATACATATGCTGTCCTATGCCTATACATAATAATATTAATATACGCGCACACCCACATTGAGCACCATGCATATTGACATATAAACACATGTGCTGTATATACCAGGAATACCCTACAAGAGTGTTCCCTCCACTTTCCTCAATAACTTTGAACTGCAACTAAATACAGCGTTCCAGATAGTAATTATTGGAAAAGTCATGAGCATTTTGGCTGTTATAAACACAGCCTCCGTCATTTGCTCTGCACATGCGTCCAAAATGAAACCGGCGTCAGGAATCTTTCACCGTGAAAAGGTGAACGGACCGTTTGCAAGTAGCATTCTCTACAGCAGCGATTCACAACAATAATGAGGTTGCTAGTCTCGAGTTGTAAGGCGGATGGGGCAACATGCAACGGTCTCCCTGTGTTCTCAGGCTCATGCGCGGCCTGGCATTGTTGTGTTTGGAGGTGGAATTGTGCTACGTGTCAAACGACGGTCCAATGAATATTTCATACTGTGCATCGGACGAGCTGACAGTTACTGAAAGAATAGGATGCATTACATTTGGGGTGTGCCGTGTAAACGCATAGGCGGCGTTCAGGCGGCTGCGTCGGTGTCATTCGTGCACGACGCCGCCATTGGCCTTGGCGACGTTCCGAAAGTTTCCACCGCGAGCCGGCAGCTGGCTGTGGCGCTCCGCGGAGATCGTCGCGCAAGGCTCGGTCTGCGCCGAGCGGCCGTGCCGAGGCCAACCCTGCCGGTCCCGCGCATTCGCCCGGCTCGGGCGTTTCTCGCCGCCGCCGCCGCCGCCGCCGCCGCCGCACAAGCCGCCACACGCGCCCACGTTCCGCGTCCCGCAGAAGTACGAACCCCGGGCGGCTGGGCCGTCGGGTTCGTCGGTCGACGACGGGGACTCGGAGTCGCTGAACCGGATGGCGGCGGCGGCGGCGCTTGAGGGGGCGGCGGCGGCAGTAGCGGTGCGCAAAGGGGTTGGCAGGAGAGTGAAGCCAGGAGTCGCCAGCGCTAAATTGAGCCGTTTGGAACGGTCGGGCGTTGCTCCTCCACAGGCCTGGCAGCAGGGAAGGGGACGGGAGAGAACTTCGCAGATCAAATCACTCCGAATGCGCCCAATCTCATTATTTTTAAGCAGGAATAAGAGATACAGTAACTTCATTGTAGGTAGGACTCCCAGACTTATATATTTGTAACAGTTCCAAAGACAAACTACTGCATGCAATTTACCTTTTTGCCAGAAGGAGATGATTTTACAGCAACTGTAATGAGAAAAGAAGTCACAAAACACACAGAAACGTTTCAGAAATTCGTGGCTTACACGGGGGAATGCACTCACTCGACGCAGCTATCAGAAATGTAGTTTTTGTGAAATGGTGGCAATTGGCTTGAAAAGTTTCATCATCTCTGCGCTCTCGTTTCTCTCTAGGGTTTTTGAGTTTCCAGGACAGATGACTCCTGGACCGTGAGGAGACACGCCGGTCGTCACCCAATGCGAGCGATGAAATTTCCACATTCCAATGTCGGGAGGCCAGTCTCCCCGAAGGGTAACCATCATTAACTTGCCACGAAGTGGTACTCGTTTTATTGACCCCAGGGGAGTAATAGACTTTGGGGATTCTGGGATGGGATTTGAAATTGACTTTCAACCTACAAATTGTGAGTGAAGCACTCTAAGGACAGTGACATACAGCCAGATAGAGTAACCTAAGAATAATAATAATTTATACAGCATGATAATAAACCATTCCAGGTTTAGAACGACAACTTTTATAATGCTATACCTCACTTTCAGGAACTGTATACGACACTAAATTAAAACTATAATGACTGAGACGCTGCATGACAAGCACACACGCCCACACGGGCGAAAAACAAAACCGGTTCAGAAAATTCAACAGGAGCAAGAGTGCCCTCTGCTGTGCAAAACAAGCACGGACATGACCTGGGCCTGTGTTCTACGTCACGGATCGGCTCTGGCTCAGCCTTCTGACACTCCGGGCTCAGCTCAAGCTTGAGCGGCTCAGCCGTGGCCTGGCTCAGAGGCTCAGCTCCACGTAAATCCTGGGACCAGACTCAGAGCCGGCCCAAGTGAAGCGCGGCCTTTGAGCCAAGACTCGCTTGAGCCGGAGCCAAGCCCGAGCCAAGCCGTGGCTAATAATACGCGCCTCGGAGTCCGCCAACTCTAGAACTGGCTCGGAGGGGGGGGGGGGCTCTCTCAATATGGAATTCTAATTTGAAATCTTGATCTAAAGAGCCGCTGGCCCACAAAAGACAGTAATTCTAGAAAGGTCCAGCTGTTTTATCTGATGCTACAATGTGATAATCAGGGAAATAAAAAAAACGATTGTAAGGCGGGGGAAACACTGTTGCACTTGATCTAGTGAATGGTTTCTAAACCCATACCTCCGACAGTCTGGCTTGACGAGGAAGTCAAGTCGGAAGGCTCGGTGTTGGAGGAGGAATTCTTCATGCCGGTGTCCGGTATGAAGCTGGCACACACGTGGGTGGCATGCAGAACGGGTATCGCGCATTGGTTAAGTCACCAGTGCTCACTCATGCAAGGATGAAAGAGCATTTTTATCGACCCTGGGAGGGATGATGGGCTGAGGCAACCCCCCAACCTGGATTTTAGCTCGCAGCTTCCCATGGAGAGCCACTCGCCCTACCCCTGAGCCACCTGGCCAGGTACATTAAACAGCACCAAGTAAGATACGCTGGGAGGAGCGGCGGTACAGTAAGCCGCGCAATTCAAGCTGAATCCAGCAACCAGAATTCAATTCGCAGCCACGGCTACCACCTGCGGTTGAGTTATACCTAAACCGGATCCGGTTCAACCATTTCACCAACCCGCACTATGGTCAATTAACCCTCACGGCCCGCACGGTGTGGGGGGAGGGCCCTCATCCAGCAGCAGATTGACAAAACCCCCCCTCACGCCTACACGTGCACACAGGGAACGAGGTGGAAGGCTACGGCCGAAGCGTGCGCTAAGGAGTGCCGGGCCGACAAGGGGCGGCGCCCCGCACCTAGTGGCGACGTCGCCGAGCGGGGACTCCACGGCGCGCACGCTGTCCGGCGCTCGCTTGCAGAACCACAGGCAGAGCGCGAGCAGCAGCAGCAGCCCCAGCGCCTCGCTCGCCAGCAGCACGTACAGGTGACAGGCGGTCACCTAAGGGGGGACGCGCGCACACGCACCACCGCGACCGATGGGTTTGTACGCGGCGAAAAAGGCACGCGGGAGCCCGCTCCACGTTTGGCGAGAGAGGCCCTTTTGAGTGGACCACGTGAGCAGTCCCGTGGCGTCATCCCGGGCAGCGACGTGCGACGTGGGGCCCGGCGGGAGTGCGTTCGCCACGCGTTGCGGAGGGTTCGTGGTTGGACTCCGGGCAGGCCGCCGTGGTTCTTACCGCCGGTGTACTAACCGTAAAAATACACACTCCGCCTCATTCGCGGCGGACGTTAGAGCTCCCGTGATATCATTCGAAGACGACTGGGGCGTTGTGTGCCGACTTGACGGTCCAACTTTGAAAAATTACTTTGCTTGGGAAACGCATGGCAAGAGTCGCGCCCCCTTCTGAGAAAACCTATCAGGGCTCTCCAGAAAAGGAGTTTTGAGACTTGGTGAGGTTTTCCCTGGCAGAAAAAAGTGTGCTTGAAAAGAACAATCTTTGATTTAAAGCTATCGTGACTGCAGGCGTTCATATTCTTGGTTCTTTCGGTAAAGTCACACCTGATGATGATTGCTTGTGTTGCAGTCGAAACGTCGTGAGAATGTTATTGTTTTATATTTGTATTATTTTATTGTCTCCCTTCTACGCGACTTTACCGAAAGAACCAAGAATATAATAACAATCTTCACTAATTATTCGTTTCTTTTGAGTTAGAGCGTGTAGAGGTATAACGGAAATTTCTTTATTTACTTCAACAATCCACCACCTGACGGAGCCAGTCAAAATCAAGTAGCCAAGTGGTCAAATAAAGCAAACCCATCGAGGTACAGATCGACGATCGGCTCGACCATTCGCGGTTGGCCGCGAGATTCCTGCACGCATTGTGACTGCACTGCTCACGATGATGATGATGATGATGCTGCTGCTGCTGCTGCGGAAGAGCACATGCGGTGCCGTCTTGCCCTCCGTGTTGTCTCCCAAGCGCCCCACCGTGGGTCCCAGGTCACGCGCTGTTCCCAGCCTCCGGTGACGTTCAGCTGCACGATTGTTTTTGTCCAGTAGTCTACAGTACTGTACATGGAACCGTGTACAGTATTGTACACTACATTACTTTTTTTCATTCTATACATCTACTGTACAGGTTTCAGTTAACACTCGAGTACGGTTATATTTAACACAAGAAAGTAATGATCATATTTTACATTCAAAATGCTTCCTGTTTAATGTGCTGGGTGGATGTATTATGAACCGCGGACCAAACCATAATTTCCTATTTGCCTTTGAGTTTGCGAATCGTGGATTTGCCGATTGCAACTATTTTCAAGAATGTAACCCCCCACGATGGGCAAGGGTTTGCTGCATACCTAGTGATTGGCTTATCAGCAAAACCGGGGTCACAGACAATAAATATTATGGACAAATGAAAGGTTAGAAAGCCATGTGGTGGATGACGAGACCAATGTGCACGACGCTCAGATGGGAATATCGACCGACCTCTTGCTTGAGCTGCTGCACACTTTGTGTGACGGCCGCCAGAACCAAGGTCAGATTCTCCACTCTCGACACCAGATCTCCCATCAGATGTTCGTGCTGCACCACCTGCGATAACAAACACAAAGACCCCCCCCCCCCCTCCATGTAGCCTTTAACGTGCTGTTGGCGAAAGTGCCGTTAGTGGGCACCTATGAAGGTTGGCACAACGCTTGAGATGGGCGGGTGGCCAGCACCGCGAACGGCAGCCTTTGTCTCCCGAGTGGCGATGTCCGCTTGCACATCGCACGAGGTACTCAGAATCGAGAATAGAAGAGGTCCAGGGTTAGTTCTGACAATAGTCACCGCGTTGGTGGGCGTGAGCGGAAATCGAACCCGGGTCGCCAGGTTCGCAGTGCTGTGCGCTAACCGCTACACTACCGCTCCCCACTACCGCGATTACCACACGCAATCGCAGTGGGCTCAAGGCCACTCCGGGCAGTATCCCACCAACCTTGGCATTACCCAACTTCAGAAAGAGATAACAAATGTACCGTAAATCAATTAAAGCATTTCCATGTTGTTATCTTTTTTCCAATTTTTCTACAAATGTTACTATCGGTGTCACGTCAGAAGGCGAAGTCTTCATTTGGAAGGACAGCAGGGCAGTGAATCATCCCATGTTGGATCAAGGCCTTCAAAGGAGATATTGCATTCGAGAACCTTGCAACTGCTTCCCCCCTCGTCCACGCTATGGAGTGCACTTTCCATACGAGCTGCAAACAGTGAATTTACGTGAAAAAACTATGTTCATGAAGATTTTTTTAGTAATTTGACCAAGCCACATTTTTCATTCCATATATTCATTTAAAATGTATCTTTGTCCGTGCTGAATTTTTGCTTTCGTCTTTAATGCTATTTCTACTTGGTCGTTATTATTTATAATTTCTATTTGCACCATTATTGTCATTGCGGTGACCCAGGTCACGCTTGCTAATGTGACTCCTACCCTGGTCTCTCGAGTTCCCACCCGGTTACACGCAATCACGCACAGTGGCAAGCCTTATTATAAAGCGCACACACAATTCTCTCGTGATCATTACTTGTGTGTGGAGAAAAACATGAATTTAACATTTTTGTTACCTGCTCTTGTGCCATGCGGGAGGAGTTGAGCAGCTTGGCGATGGTTTTGTCGAAGGTTTTCTGCATCTCCTCCATCTGGCGTCTGTACCTGTGTGTGTGCGCGCACAGGACAGCACAGCCCGACAGCAAGGCAAACGTGACAGCATTCTCACACTTTTCCATGCCCCACGGCACAAGGATTCCTACAGAAAAACATTTGATGGAAATTAATATGCGAGTAAGTAACCCCGCGAAAATGTTTTATCCGAACGATGTTGAACAAAAACATTATTTGTATTTCATATTCTTAGCTCTTTCGGTAAAGTCACGTTGAAGGGAAACAATAAAATAATAAAATATAAAACCAACGGCAAGAAATGTTTCTTGCCGTTGGTTTTCACACCTGATGATGACCGTTTGTGTTATGGTCGAAACGTCGTGAGAATTTTATTGTTTTATATATATTTTATTATTTTATTGTTTCCCTTCAACGTGACTTTACCGAAAGAGCTGAGAATATGAATTACTGCAGTCACGAAAGCTTTAAATCAAAATTATTTGTATTATTTTAAGCAATGTGCCTAAATAAAGTTTTCTATCAGTGTGCAATGTCTGCTATGGCATTGATTATAAACATGGACACCGACTAAGAAAGTGGAACACAAGCTGAAAAGTGCACAGAGAAGCACAAAGAGATGCAATTCTAGAATAACATTGACAGAGAGAGAGAGAAAAAAACACATGGATCCCAGACTTACTGAGGCTTTTCTGGGTAAAGATAACCATTAAAAACGGTAATTTTATCCACGGCAATTTGGAGGCGCTGTTTACGAATCCTGTAAAACTTGTCTAGGGCAAGTCCTTGCTTGACGCGTGTTCACACTATCACCCTTTTTTCGCTATAGCGAGGTTCTTCCGTGAGGGAACACTTTTCGCACAAAGCGGAACGCGCGCCGTTATAATACGGAACGTGCCCATTATAACGCAGTTTGTGAGCGATTGACGACAGACCACTTTCTGGAGCTGCGCAGCTGAGCGGTGCGCGACAAGAGTACGTGGAATGACACAGGAACGCAGCGGCGTATGCTCGGCTGTTTGCCCCGCCATCTCACTGTGCGTGCGTACGTCGCAATCTCGACAATCTTTTTGTCGTTACATTATTTGTGGGGAAATAGTTTTCGCTGAACGCGTGCTTTTGCTAAACCAGGAACTTTTCACGAACGCACCTGCTCTGTTAGATGCGTTCCTGAAATTACTCGTTACCCAGGCAGGCTCCTCCTGGACGCGATGAGGAATTTGGACGAGATAACTACGGACACGGGAAAACTCAGCGCTTACAGGGACCGCTTCCATGTGACTCGCAGCCTCGGACCACGGATAAAATGTGGATTGTAGGATTTTTCACGGCGAGAATGGGGCCGAGGGCATCCGGGTTTGCAGGTAAGAGGAATGGAATACCTTAGGCTGACCTCCTCCAGGTAGCGGCTGCTCAGGGACACGTTGAGCTCCAGCGCCCGGATGCGGTTGCTGAGACGCATGAAGACCGACTCCTTCTGGGCCGAGCCGAGAGCCAGTGCGCCGGCGGGGACGGGCGAGAGGTCGCTGGTGTCAGGGTAAACGTCGGCCTGCGCCGTGTCCGCCCTGGCCTCCTCGCCGGATCTGGCCGCGGGCGGCGGCCGCGCGTCCCCCTCGCTCGGTTTTCCTTCCTCCGAACGGGCGTCCCGATCCAGCGCTTGCCCCGCGTCAGAGATCGTCGCCGGAGCCTCGAGCGCGCCGACGGCTCGCGCCGCCGGCGGCGCGGCCTCTTTGCCGTCGTGCTTTTGTAAAATATCGGGCCGAGCGCCGGCCTCCATGAACGTTGTGACGGACGGCTCCACGCCGACGGTGAAAAGCTCGCCGCCCTCCGACGCGTGGCCTGCGATGGCCGTGCACGCGACGTGCGATGCGTTTTCCTCCTCGTGGAGAGCGTCGCTGCTGATGCTGCTCGTTTCGGTGCCGTCGCCGATCAGGCTTCCTAAAATAACGCCGCTGCTGCGGAGATCTGCGGCGAACAGCTCCTCTGTCGATGGGCGCGCGGAGAAAATGACGACGTCTGGGGGCGCGGGACTGATGTGGTCCGCGGCGGGCAGGCTCGCACCGGCATCAATATCGACCGTAACAACAGACGGCATAAGGACCGTGGCGGATTCATGAGCCAACGTAGCGACCGACTCGCTGGCTGGTAAATTCGATGCGCTCGGAGACTCCACCGTTTGTAGGACCAAGTGGGAGCTAACGGGCAACGATTCGTACTTAACGCTTGCTGTGTAATCGATGGGAACGTGCCACGGGCATTTCTTCAACACCACTTCCAGAAAAGTTACCCGACGGCTCTGTGCCAAACAATCGCCGCACTGTCCCTTGTCGGTTTTGCTGAAAGGGCCTTTGTTGGGCAGAATGAGTTTTGTCAGCTCTCTCTTCCGCTCGGTGCTCAGTGTGTGGTCATCCAAAGTTGTGACCCCGGGTCTCCTCCTATCGTCATGAACGACTGCGATTTTATCTTTGAGCACTTCAGGAAGTTCGGCTTGGTCTGGTCTGCAGAAACAATACGGACACACCAGCCCAATTTGACCACATTGTGTTTGGTGCGATACTAAAGGAGGTCATCAAACATGTAACAGATGATCAGAAACAAAGGTTATAACCTTAGGCCATGCATTTGTTGTTTTGTTCGTTTATATACTCTCATAATAACCCCCCCTAAGCTATAATGAGGTTTTATGTAATCTAAATTAACTATGAGCTTTCAACACAATATGACCGAGCAAACTTTTGTTTAAGGAAATGTACTTGATTTAATACTATATTTGTTCACCGTTTTTCATTTCTTCTGTAATGCGGTTGTTTTTGCCACGATTTATATTTGCTTCATTGTTGTACTTAGTTTTTACGATATTGCTTTTGTCATTTTGGTGACCCAAGTCTCTCTTGCCTGGTTAAACAAAATAATCGAATTCTATAAACTCGCACTCCTATTCGTAAAACGTGAGCACCATTTTGAAATCGCGTCCGATATCTCTTGCTCCTATAACATTATCCGTGGCCAGGAATTGAACCCAGGTCCACAGGGTGCAGAGCGCGGCAGACAAACCCACCGCACCACTGGCTCATCATTTATAAACGAACGCGTACGCAATGCAAGAAGACTAAGAGCGGCCGATGCGACACGCATAACGATTGGGAGCGTGGGAGAGCCGATGTGAACCTGTGGAGCCACCCAAAAAATTGGAATGGGTGTCCCCACGCAAGATGGGATGGCGTCGTACCCATTCACAGCTGTCTCCGGCTCCCCAGAGGCAGTCTCCCACACCGCATGCTGATCTCGAAGAGCCACTCCAGCTGCGAGCAGAACACCAAGCACAGCGATGCTTCAGGCAGCTTCTCAAGCACCCCAATGCTCATATGTAGATTAAATACACGCACTCGTATACGCACGACAATGCAGGAATTTGGGCTAATACATTTATCAGAGTCTGTATCTCCGAGTAAAATATAAAAGATGAAGTTTTGTCCATCAGCTCATGGGCCCTTCCAGACCAAATATATGCAGGTGCATTTATCTAAGCGGCTAACATCTGGAGCGGTTGACTTTTTGGGTCTCATCAGCAGTGTCACTAGTTGTATAAATGCTGCTGGAATGCCGAATATAAAGAGTGAGATAGTTATACAATTCAAAAGTTTTGTACTGAATGTGGAAAACCGAAGGTATAAGTAGCATTATGTTTAGACAGACTCTCTTATCAATGGCCAATAAAATGATAAACCGACGGAATTTCCGTCCGTAGAAAATGTGAACCTTACGGCCTTCCTCGTCCCCCTTGTTGCCTCCGAGCACCTTGGCTGCCATGTTCACCATGCTCAGAATGGCACCTAAGGGTGCAACGCATCGCAAATGAGTCGGGATCACGCACGCTACAATCACACTGCGAGCACAGCACAGTGGCGGGCGACGTGCTGGTGTGCAAGTGAACTCACTCGTGGCAGACCCCAGCAGGTTGTCTGAAGAGTTCTCGTTGGGATTTCCCAACCCGATGGCGATATCTGACAGTGCGTTGGGGCGACAACAGACACAAACATTAGTTTCCACTTAATTGTGTTCATCTTTTACAGTTGAAGCGTTTACATGTTTAAGCTTCGTGTGTATGTATGTATTATGTTGAACTTCTTTCGCACCATATGTAGCCAACCGTGCTAATCGGAGGTGCTTTCACAAATGATGAGAAGTTTCTCCATTTAATAACTTGAGCCAATTTATTTCTTTAGATTTTTGTACTTGTTTACCAAAGGAAAGCTTCACCGAGTCTCAAGACTCTTTTGAGGAGGGTTCTGTAAAGTTCTGCAAAGGAGGGGGTGGGGGCAGCAATTCCTTTGTGTAATCCTGATCAAAAAATTTGCGGTTCTAATTTTTCAAATTTGGAAAAAAAATTTGACCCCACGATGCTGGCTACTCGACGGTCTGCTCTTCTTCAAATGACGTCACGGGATCTTCACGTCTACCGCGGGCGACGCGGGCAGCGCACGGTACTTCATGGTCAGTATTATCCAGGGCAGCCTGTCGGTATCGAACAGTGAAAACATTCGTAACAGGCGCCGGGCGCGCCACCGCCCGGCCGCGCCACCGCCCCACGTGAGGGAGGGGAATGCCGAACTTGGATCCCGGCGTTCCAACTTTCCGTGAACTTCGACCTCCCCGTGGGCAAGCGGCGAGGACAAGGGGGGGGGGGGATTGGGGGGGGGATTGGGGTTGGGGGGGATTGGGGGCCCTCACCGCGGTCCTCGTCGTGCAGCTCGTCGGACGCTCGCCCGGAGCGGCGAGTCTCGTCGACGTCGTCGATCTCGTCGTACTCCTCCACCATGCTGATGCCGAGCACCCTGGGAGCACGGAGGGAGCGACGCCGGACAGGTCCACGCGAGCGTAACGCGGCGGACGGCGGCGGTGGCGAGGGGGGGGTGGCCACGGGCCACACGCCGCCTGCACGATCCTAGCGCGTTTTTTTTTTATCCTGGGTTGGTCTGCACGTTGAGCAATTCTTCTCTCGGGCTTTCGCCACACGCAGGACTGCGGGCGCATTCACGAGAGGTGGACTGGGGCTCAATAAACTCCCGGAGGTGCACGGAGCAGTGCGAGGCGATGGCCGGGGCGATCAAATTGTCTCTATGATTATTGTGCTTTCCATCTTTTAATGGTCCCCAATTCGATCTCGACTACGATCAGTGTTACGTCAAGAGAATTCTGTTCTCGTGTCGCTCTCCATGGGGAGTCTCACAGAATCTACGCGATACACCAACCCATGACTCTGAACTACAGACATCCGCCATCACACACCCGAGCAGGAACGGAAAACATTCCCACTGAGAGTCGCGCTCTGCCACAGTGCCACCACCCTGCCGGATTGGGAAATGTGCGCAAACGTCAACAAGAAATACGTTAAATGATGACGTCACCCTGCTGCTCTATTTAAGACCGGGAGCAAGTGAGGGCTTTACCATTCTGGCGAACTGCCCGATGAAGCTGGATGTAATTACCAGCGAAATGTCGTACTCAAATTTTAAATGATGTTGATTCACTCTTCAACACACCGGTGGGCTAAAGTAGTGAACTATTTGTCCGTTGTAAACGTGACACATTTTTTACTGCTTGGCCGTGTCGGGTGGTGGAGGGTTACGACACATTTATAAATAACGCGATCTAACCCAAAAACCTTTATTATGAAGAACGTTCTGTTTTCCAAAGGACTTACAGGAGTCTGCACGACGAACACGTGGATAAAAATGCAGAAGTGCTGCGCTGCACAAGAATGCTCTTGCTCGAGTTACCTTATGAGGCTGATTGGACAGAAGTGTTCAGATCCGTGATGGGAAACCAGCTCAACCTGAAAGAAACACAAGTAACCGCACATCGCCACTGCTATATGCAGTAAAAACTACGTAAATTTGTATTCATTACACAAATTTAAACTTAATATCTAGTGTAAGAATAATCAAAAATGAAACGTAAGTGGCAAATTTAGCCAAAATTTTTATAAAAATTAACACACTTATAGTTGTCAGCTTGTCACTCCACTGCTGGATGAAGGCCTCCCCCTACACCGTGCCGGTGACGGGGGTTGTTTGACCATACTTTTCCTATGCTGGTCAATACGGTTATCAAAGGGGAGCCCGGGCCCATTTCAGACATCATTTTTCCATTGATGTTTAACCTTGGTCTGTAATCAGGACCAAATCAAAGTGCCCTATCCGCAGGTGACACCACTCCCCCTATTTTAGGGAAATCAAAATCGAAACATCCCAATTGACAAGAGGTCCTTCCATAGACCAGACCCTAAATAACGTGTTGCGCATCGGCAGTTTTCTGTTAGTATTTCATAATGCGGGTCAGGGAGCACAACGCGTTAGTGAATCGAGAGTGGGCGCATAAACGCTCTAAGAGGGGCGTCTCGAACTGTGAAAGGGAAAGTCGCTGTGCCGTTGTTAATGAACCGACCAAACAGGGAGGAGTTAATGAGGGCGACAACGCAGCAAAGCAGCTCGCCGCTTATTTTGCAGGTAACACACTTTTTGGAATCCGGCAGGCCTGGTCAAATACTGCGGGTGTATTTAACCATGAGACGCGTGCCGTCTGCTTCGGGGGGACGTGAAAAATAATCCCGTGACTTCATTCAAAGAAGAGTTAGACCATTCGTGTGCCGGCATCACGGTCAAAATTAGGAGAAATTGTTCCCAAAATTACCCAATGGGGAAACGCATCGCAATCGTCACCTCTTCTTCAAAGGCTTCGCAGGACCAATCCTCAAAAAGAGTCTTGAAACTCATTGAGACTTTCCCTGGATAAACAAGTGTAATAACAATAATCTGCAAAATTGAGAAAATGTTAAGTTACTAATCTTAATGGACCACTTCAAATACCGCACGGCAGTAATTTAGTCCGCGTGGCTGCGTGGAAAACCTTTCACCATTTGTTCTGTGGAAAGTTCCATTGAACCCAAGTGGCGACTTGACCATTTCAACCCTTGACCCCACACCGCAAACGCAAGCGTGCCGGCCCAAGCGGGCGGTGGCTTAGTGGGCACGCATGCACGAGAGGGAGGAAAAGGTATGAGCAGGGACACAGCACACGCAGCAAGGCAGAAAAGGGCACATTTCCTAACCTTTATATACTTGGTGAACATCTGGATGCCGACAGGAAAGGGAGAACAGTCAGCGGTGGAGATGCAACATCCAAGTTGCGTCATTCATTCAGCATCATCTCCTCGGGTGCACAAACAGCACCGCCCTTTAACCGGCTGCGATTGCACGGTCATTGAAGATTACGGCTACACACTACCGACGACCTGGGCAGGGGCGACCTGGGACAAAAGCCACCTTAAGCTACGTCGCCATCGCGGGGGTAAAAAGCCACACCATGGCCAAGACAACCAACCGGTTTAAGCGGTGCACCTTTGACTTCTGATGAGCTTAGCGGGAAAACTGTCAACCGAAGGCCAGGTCTCCACATGTTAAGGTCATTTCTACGCAGGGTGCGTCGCGCGAAGGGATCAAAGTCGCTGGCACGCTGCCGCGGAACGACGAGGGGCTTCAAAGTTCCCGGAGGCCAATCCCAGACACGCTTCTGTGTCACAGCCAGAGCGACCGGGGCTGCGATTAAATCTTCTGTCTGAATAAGTGAGCATTATTTGATTTAAAAACACGACGGACAATAATGTGCATACGTCTTTCAAATAAAAAACGAACCCTACTCGCAAACAGGATGAAAATGTACCTCCTTTATGTATTGTTTAAATAATTGCATTTCGGATGCAGTGAAAACTTGTGTCGATATAATTAAACATTTTTTAACTTGGTTTTTACCCTCACAATCAGATGAATTGACTCGAATAAAATAATTGACTGTTTTTGGTGAATTGATATATCATTAAACACAGTACGGCCGTGTGTAAGTGTTCCTATACAATCAGACGATAATTTAATGTCGGCAGGTCCAATTCAGTGCTTGAATGTGCCGGCTCACCTTGAGAAACATCGCGTACATTTTCTGATGCAGAGGGAAGCTCTGGATAATCCTCTCATCTCGAGCATGCAGGGTTCCCACCTTCACCCATTCCCTGATGGGATACCTGGCGAGGTGGACAATATGAGGTATTATTTGTTGTTGCTATCTCGACGTGGAGTGTGGATCAGTGCTGAATGTTAAATCAGCCGCTTGTTTGCCTAAAATCACGACGCCCCTTCTGGATCACAGCAGCAGCAGCCTCACTCCATGCCACAAATACAAATGAAGGCGAGAGACGGCAGCAAGTCTGGACCGCGGCCTACGACAAAAATAAACATCTCGTACAGCACCCCTACCGTCGAACCTCCTGGTTTCAACCTTCCACGCCGCCAATGGTCGACCATCAACCGAATCGGGACCAGGCCACGTGGCCGATGCGGCCACCTGATGCACAAATGGCACATCAAAGATTGGGCGGCCTGTGAGTGCGGCCACCAATCAGCAACTATCGACCGCCATTGTAAACACCCCGCTACAGCTGTCCTCACTGCTTTGAAGGAGGAACGGACGAGATCCACTCCGCGTCTGAACAGACAATCGAGTGGATAACATCTAAAATTACATCTTTAATCCGCTGCCCTTAATGCATACGAAAGAAGAAGCTCGATAATAAATTGCGTGCCTTCGAACTACGGGTGTCTGAGATTGATGCTAGAGGAATGTTGCGGCAAGGTAGAAGTCCCAGGGAGACCCATGAAAGGAAAGTGCGGCAAATTACGGCAGGAGGGGCGAGGTCCGACTGCCGTGGCAGACCCCCCCGGCGGTGGTTTCCACGAGTTTGGCGAGCGGCTCACAATCGGACGTGTGAAATGGTTGTCCTTTGGAGATGGACATTCTCCCCTGCTATAGGAATGAGAAAAAATTCCCAAAACCGGCTCAAGGCTGTAGGCTGGAGATGAGCATCGCCTCAATGCTCACTTGAGCAGGGAATCGCTTCGACCCTTTTTATGGAACATTGTCTCAGAGGTAAAGGATTACTCATAACAGAATCAGATTATTGATTTAAACTGGAGGAATCTGATGAGCTATAAAAGTCTTTTTCACGGATGTCCAGTAGGGTTGGGTAAGAGCGTTACAACAAACAATACAAAACACGATAGTAGAACAAAAACACAATATACTGGCAGATCTGTAAGGAATGCCACATGTAGGCTGTACAGGTGTGACGCGTTTTCCGTAGCCTTACAGCACTAATCGCTATTCCCTAGACACAGATCAGTGCCGGCAGTACGAGTTGATCCACGTGCATTCTGACCTGTCACTGATGAACACCACAAAGTCCCTGGGGGTGGAAGAAAAGAGCTCTAGGTTTCCGATGTCGATCTGTTTCACCTGCACAGGCTCACAAAGCTCTATCACAAACCTGCAGTGCTCACACATAAACACACGCACAAAAACACAGATTCCTCCATCGAACATTAAGAGATCCATTAGTGCCATTGAACACACTTGAATGACCACTTTGTCAATTCACTGTTGAATGAGGGAGGGACTCCCCCACTCCGCTGGCTGGCAGGGAGAGAAGGACGGGCAGGTGGGCGGTCACATCCAAAGGCTGTGTGTGGTGCTCGTACGAGTATAAATCCCGATGGCCGTGGTCCAACATACCAGATCTTTGCACTGCAAGGGTTCAGCATGTACAAGTCTTTGTTCTCCATGAGTATGGTGGAGGTGCTCTGTAATGACACACACACACACTCAGCTCTTGAATAAGAGGTAAGGCAAAATAGATCAGCAGACAATACATCTCCTTCCCATGTCTGTCCCTCTACATAAAAATGTAAAGTCGTTTTTTTACACATCCTGTTGGCCACACGGTATTCTGAGGATTAATTTATTCAGCCAGATTTGGTTTAATGTAAGCAGATACAACATCATGTGTCTCATCAGCAGTCAGACTGGCTTAAAACCAATGCTGGTGAACTGACAGATAGATGGTCACAGGCAAGGACCCTCTCCCCGAATGGATATGTGGCCTAGTCCGGCGGATATCATACCAGACATTACTAAACAATAATTAACTTAGTTGTGAATACAAGTAACATAATAAGCAGACATTACACCTCCTCACATTATGCTTATATTGTGTCATGCCATGTCCACACGAAATCAGTCATAATAATAATTAGATTTGGTATTCCTAACATTATTATAGTGCAGGGCTATAGCAAAACAGCTGCTTCACAGGCAGGGCCTGCAGTAGTTTCACAGCAGGAAACGATGTGCTGTGCGTTATCCAAATCAAATTGGAGGTCATTCTTAAGATTTGTCAATTTAGCACACAATACACCTACGTCTTTGCAATGACATCACGGGAACTTTAACATCCACTGTGAAGCAGATGGCGTGAAAGTTACGGTAAATATACCACGCGGTATTAACCAGGGTGGCCTGCCAGAATCGGATCGCGAACCACTGCAACGAGCGGAGAAATGCACAGCCGGGCAGGCCGCCACGTCACAGCCCCTACAAGCCACAACGCCCCCCACAACACCCCCCACACGCCACAACACCCCCCATGAGCCACAACACCCCCCACAACACCCCCCACAACACCCCCCACAACACCCCCCACGAGCCACAACACCCCCCACGCGCCACAACGCCCCCCACGAGCCACAACGCCCCCACAACGCCCCCCACGAGCCACAACGTCCGCCACGCGCCACAACGCCCCCCACGCGCCACAACGCCCCCCACGAGCCACAACGCCCCCACAACACCCCCCACGAGCCACAACGCCCCCACAACACGCCCCACATGCCACAACGCCCCCCACGAGCCACAACGCCCCCCACGAGCCACAACGCCCCCCACGAGCCACAACGCCCCCACAACACCCCCCACACGCCACAACACCCCCACAACACCCCCCACGAGCCACAACACCCCCCACGCACCACAACGCCCCCCACGAGCCACAACGCCCCCCACGAGCCACAACGCCCCCACAACGCCCCCCACACGCCACAACGCCCCCCCACGAGCAACAACGCCCATACGAGCCACAACATCCACCATGCGCCACAACGCCTGGCCTCAAGGTGCCAGCGGCCGGTACCCGAGGAGATGCGGTCCTGACTCCTGGCTACTGCTCGTTGTCCAGCGCCCTCGGGGGGGGGGGAGTCCTCACCTGCGCCTCGGGGTTGGCAGACAGGATCTTGGCTCCGCATTCCACCGATGCGTAGTTGTTGAGAGACTTTTTGACAACCGGAGGCAGCAGAACGGGAATCGCAGGCAGCACTTGGTCTTGAAAACGCAGCATGGGCACGATTTGATTACAAACCGAGAAAATTCATCCAACTCAGAAAGCCAAACAAATACAACCATCACTGGATATTCAATTATCAGAAGGGCAAATTCTACAATGAGCATGAGAAAATAAAATTGTTCTAATTTCACTGGGTCATACATTTATTTCAATACGAAATGCTTAAAGTTAAATGTTTCAAATAAAATTAGATGTTTTTCAAGAAAGGTCTAATTTTCTAAACATTATACATGAATTATTTTAGAGTAATTTTACTCCGTGAACTTTTAGAATTTCAGTTTGAAATTTTCCGGTAAACATTTTCAGAATAAATCTATGGAGCTTTACCGCTGGTTATTTCCTCGTGCAATATTTTACATGTGGACGTATTGGCGGTACACCGGTGCAACATAACACACCTGTCCGAATAAAACAGTCTAAAATAAAAATGTTGAACCGACATTCGTCTTAAGACTGCTTCGACATCACGAGAAGTGATTTTGACGCACCAGCACCACCAGCTCGCAAGATTTTCTGACCGGGGTTTGCGAACTGGTGGGAAAATAAAAAATGATCGCGCAAAAATCGCTTTTTTCCATACCGCACACCACCAGTGTACCGCCAATACGTTAATTTACAGATTTAGCCAGGGGATGGCAGCAGACATCATTGTGTGTGTGGCCCATTAACAAACCCTATATTTGCTCACGGCCCCAGGAGGGCATCACTGGGTCCCGAGAACATACGGGATTGGCCGTGCGAGGGTTCATTGAACGAAATGCATCTCGAGATTTTGCCCACGTGCACAGATACTCAAAATGTATTTTGGAAAACAACTCAAAGCATAAACATCCTGAAAATGACTCGATACTCAGCGATTCCATCCTAGATAAACATATGACGCGATTTCCATTAATAATAACACGGCTCACCTTGCTTCTCCTTCTCTTCCTCCAGAACCTTCTTTTTCCACTCGTCAAACGACGGGATGTCCCCCGGCTTGAGCAGCTGTCCCTCCTCACCATCGCTCGCTGTCACCACCTCCGTGGGTTCGCTGCTCGACGGGCTCTCAGACTCCTGCGTCGTGGTTTCCAGCCGCGACTCGTTGCGTTCACCTGGGTGGTCATCTGTAATGACGGCGGTGGTGGCGACGCTGGTGAGTGAAGACGCCGGGAGTGTATCGCCAGCGTGAATTCCTGCAGACGGGGACGGTGTCGCCAGGGCCTGTTCAACGTCCAGACGAGTTGCCTGTAAATCCTGCTCAGTGTCCATCTCGGCTGTAACCATCATCTGCTCGACAGAAAGCATCTTTGCTTCCAAGAGGGCCTCTTGCGAGGCAAACTGCTGTTCCGTTTGCACCACTGAGGGTGTTATTTTCTGAACGGACTGTGCCACTACCAAAGAAGTTTCCACCACTGCTGAATCTGTCTGATCCGCTTTAACAACAGAGGGTGTACATTCTGGCAGTGACGTCACTTCCTGGACTGACAATACCTCCAAAAGCAAAGGCTTCTGGGAAGGTGACGTGTCGTCCTGTGTTGAATGCTCAGCCAAAGGTGCAGATTCGTAAAAAGAGTGTTGTACTCCGACCGACATTTCTTGATGAAGTGATGGTTGAACGAATTGTATTTGCGAAATCTGCTCATTACTCAGCCCAGTATCATGCACAATTAATAACACATCTTCCTGATTAACGTTTTTATCTTTGAACACAGGTTCCTGTAGAGGGAATCCATTAAAATCCACGACTTTCTCCTCGGCGTGCATTCCTATTTCTCCGTGAGATTTCCCATCGTCCTCCGGCGAGACCGATTCTTCGCTCGACAGCTCAGTGCCCCGTGCACTCGCAAGTTCATCCGTCGCTTCATTCGAAGGCGTTGTTTGATGCCTCAAGGGCATGGACATCAGCGGGGGCAGGGGCTCGGTCGCACGGCGCGAGGAATAAAACCCGGCGTCCGTCATCCGAGGGGAAGCCGGGTTGCCCTCCGTCGAGGGGATCAAGCGCAGCGACGCCTCAACGTTCGCGGAGGCCGTCGCGGTCGCGCGGCCGCCCTCCGCTCGACGCGACGAGCGCCCCGAGTCCGACAGCGGCAGGACCTCCGAGGAGCACGGTGGCTGCGAGGAAGGCGGCGGCGGCACCTCGCTGGGTTCGGAGGACCACCGTGACACGTCGCTAAGGGGGGTTTTTCGTCCGTTGCACGATGCGCCGGCCGTCATTGTGGCGTCGCCCCGTCTCGCCGTAGCTTGGCGTGATGTCGCAGGTTCGTCTGCTTCCAGACTGCCGAGCGGGCCTTCTGACGCGCGATCGATTCCAATGCTCCCGTCCTCCGAGCTGCGTTCAACAAATAACAGCAGTGAGTCCCGTGCCGGGCGGTATTGCCCTCATTAATAAAGTCAGAGTAGGTCCTGCTGAAAAGCACATTGAGGCGGAGCTCATATCTACTAGCAGCCCTGTGCCAGTGATGAAAATTCCACATTTATTCTCAACTGGATGAAATGAACACAGAAAGAATACCCGGATTGTGTGCTGTCGGATTTGGTGGTAAAAAGCACTCTGAGCGCAAAAATTGACAATCAATCCCAGTCAAGTAACCTCATCACTCTAGGCTTGAGAAACTTAGTAGCATTGTGGGAAGTCAGTTGTGGTTGCCGAAAATTAGAGGCTGCCATCTATTAAAATCAAAATTACATCCACGCTGGTAGTAATCTCCATCAAAACGTTCGGACAAAATTTTCAAATATTAATTGGGCTTTTCAACATTTCTCTGTTTTTTTTCTGGAATAAAAAAACAAACCAAGTTGATTGGATTGGCTCTGTTGGATGGTGGAGGGGGGTTTGGAGTAAAACATTTACATTATACCGACACAACGATCTAACCCCAAAATCAACTCGTTAAGAATCTTGATAATTGGTGGCGAGTGCCTCCACACAATAACTTCATTTAGGGTGCTTTGTCAATGCACCGCTGGATGCAGGCTTTTCCACGCCGTGCGAGTCACTAAGTTGTCCCACCATACTTCACCACGCTGGTCAGTGTGGGTTGGTGAAGAGAGAGCCATTGAACTGGTCGCACAACTGACATTGTCACATGGCTGGGAAAGGAACTCAGGTCAGCGAGTTCAAAGTGAAGTCCAAGAATCACCACGACACAGTTCCACCTCCCCCCAAACAATGATGTCCGAGGTTTATGCACAGCTTTGTAGACAGGCCTACCTGGTGTGCACTGGAGTACTGATTTCCAACACAGAGCTCTGTGCCGTGTCGTCAGCCAGAGGGATGGCTGCCGTGCCGTCTCCCCATATGGCAGCTGAGCCCTCGGAGTCTCTTCTGGATGGGGAATCATCTCCACGATTTGATGGTTGAGCAGTAAAAGCCTGAAAGGGAGTACACGAGACACTTCAACATGCAGAAACCATAATCGTGCACTTATTGACTGCGATAAGCGGTGACTATTTCCCTAGCTTAGAAAGTATGACCGTATTTTTGGTTCTTTCGGTAAAGTCACGTAGAAGGGAAACAATAAAATAATAAAAATATAAAACAATAAAATTCTCACGACGTTTCGACTGCAACACAACCAATCATCATCACCTGATGATGATTGCTTGATGATGATTGCTTGTGTTGCAGTCGAAACGTCGTGAGAATTTTATTGTTTTATATTTTTTTTATTTTATTGTTTCCCTTCTACGTGACTTTACCGAAAGAACCAAGAATATGAATCCCTGCAGTCACGAAAGCTTTAAATCAAAATTTAAGTATGACCGTGTTTAGAATGTCAGAATCCATCTGAAGACACTGCACAGCAAATTTGAGGTTGTGATGATTTTTGCTGATGGCTTACAGTGGTACCATGGCGAACAAAATTGAATTCATGGCTGGGGTCAGTTCATCCCAAACATGAAATGAGTGCCACTGGAAAAACAAAATCAGAGGTGATACGGGGAGAGAACGGCCCAATCACAAGAATGTAAGAATTTCACCGCTGGCTCATAACTGCTGCGAGATTAGAATTCGCCCGCAATCATTTGAGCATGGGGAACACAGACTTAAACATAATTTCATAATGCCTCGATTTGTACGCCATTTCGAGGAATGTTTCCGTAGAATCCTAATATCACAGGAGTCAGAAAAATATATTTTTTGTTGGGTTTGGCCGAGCCCTCTCTCACCGTGTGGAGGACGTTGCTGCTGGCCTCGAGAAAGACGCTTCCCAAATGGTGGTCCTCATCCCCTTGCGAGCACACCTTCTCCAGCGGGTACCTGCCGAAAAGTGTACCACAGACTTTGTAATAATAATCATCTGTGGACAGCTTCATGGGCAGGTGCTGTGAACCTAGCAACCGGAGTTTAATTCCCGGCTTATGTGGCTCATGTGAGTGGCCAGTGAAATATTGGACATCTGTGAAAAAAAGCTTCATAGCTCATCGGATTTCTCCAGAACAAAAATTTGGATTCTGATATATGATCCCTTGGTTTACTCTCAAATATACACAGCACTCCGCTACTACGCTAACAATATGGTATTGGCCAAATATCCCAACACAGGACTCCTGAAAAATAGTCTTAAGGCTCAGCGAGGCTTTTCTGGATAAATAATTTGGCATTATTAAATTTTTGGCTGAAAACAACCTCAAATTTATGACAAAAATAAATAAACTAGCACATGCTCAGTATAATAGTAATCTGATTAGGCACTGAAAAGTAATAATACAGGATTACTCACCAACAGTGATCACATTTACCCATCTCTAAGCGATCCAGCTACCCCCCAACCAGTGCTGCTCATAGATATGAGAGTGCTGTGCCAACCACCGCAGGCATCCTGCTCACCCTTTGTTCATGAAAAGCGGCTCAGCCCTGCATCACGGTTTAAAAATGTCAGCATGGATCGACATTGTTCGAATTAACCTTGCACCACGTGTACCTTTCAGCTCCCATCGTTTTATATTTCTGATACCAAGCGTATACCAATTACCTCTTGCCAAGTGCTGTTCAGGCCAAGTCGACCTAGATGATGTCCTCACCAAGTGCTCATTTCAGGCTTAAGTGGTGCTGTATAAATAGAAGCCTATTCCTGTGCAATGAGCACAATTATCCAAATGTCATACCTAATGCCCCCCATTGTAGTACAGCTTTTGCACATTTACCAATATTGCCAATTCAATTGCATGACGTTATTAAACGTTGCAAATACTCATTAGTTGAAGTGGTGGCATCCCTTTGATCTATGTGATCCTCTTGGCCAGTGCTTCTCAACCCCTTCGCTCCGCGGCACACTCTAGAGCTCGGTTGGTCTTTGCGTCACGACACTTTAAGCTTGACAGCCGATGGCACAGGACACTAAACAACTGTGAACCTGTAAAACGCACGCACATGCGCCCGCCACGGCAACACAATGCGTCGTGGCTCGCCACGCACGGCCGCTTGTAGCGGCTGTTTGCCCAACTGTGCCACGTGTGACCGAGGGAGTCGAGAGGGCCCGGGCGTGGGAGGTGGCGGCAGCTAGATCGGCCACTGAACGGCTCGGAGGAGGATAGTTCGTCCGTCCTAACTTGCGATGAGTGAGGTTTTTTTCCTTCCCTATTTCCAAAACACAGCGGCACACGTACCGGTGTGCCGCAGCACACCGCTTGAAGTACTGCTCTAGGCATATGAATTTGTTTGCTGAGAATAAGCCTGAAATCAGATACCTGTGGCCCTAGAGTTTTACGTAAACTCTCTTAGTTTTTGTCTGTGTAATGAGCTTTGCCGTCCCTCTCTCTGGCTGTGTTGAAGTGCAACTTGCATCGCACCAGTCAGTGGCCGCTTCCTGTGTTGATTTATGACGGGAACAATGTTTGGATTTATATTGCACCCATATTGTCATGACATATCTCAAAGAGTGCAGAAATTGTCGACGACATCAATGTCGCGGGATCATGAGACGTGGTGGCATCTTGGGGAGGCCTTCATCCAGCAGTGGATCAGAATCAGAATTTTAATTAGACTGGAGGGCGAGTCTGATGAGCTGTGAAGGAAGCTCTTTTTCACGTCCAGTAGGAGTGGGTCAGAAAGTTACAACAACAATGCAAACAAAAACCGATAGGAGTGCAAAGTAAAGGAAACTAAAATAAAGAAAAACATGAAAATAAAGTACTGTACATATGTATAAATTACATGAGTACATCAATTCTTGCCGATTTTGTTTAAAACACTAAATGTAAGCTTAGGCAAAGATTGATCATGGCTGATGACGCTTAGTTGGCCAAACATCTCAATGTAGAATCTTCCTGAAAACAAGCCTTGTGACCCAGCGATGTCATCACGAGACGGACTCCTGATACAAAATCTACTCGCCAAAAGCACAAACAGCACTTTCAACACACTCAGGCAAGAGAGAGCAGTCATTAAAACGCTATAGTGAACCTCCACTGTGAAGAGCTGATGGGCAATGTAAGCCTCCGCCTGGGATTGGGGGTGACATTGCTTTCGATTGACTGGGCAAACACAGAGCATCCTGTTAGGTGCGGATGAGAGGACAGCAAGCGCCGACCGCTGGGGCAAGGGTTCTTATCGGTCGCCTCCCTGTACCGGAACCACTCGCGAATGAAACAACCGTGACCAAGTGCCATCCACTCAATCCTCATCGCTGGCCACGTACGATGAAAGACTGCCGAGGAAAACATGCGATTAACGGCGGCACTCAATGCAACCGTGCATTAATATCTTTTGTACCGATGGATCAGTGGGCCTTAAAAATGTTATCTCATGATGAATGCATGCAGTAAGACATCTAATATTTGATCCCGCCACTGAGCCGGCCGGTGCAGGACCTTCCCCGAAAACAACGGACCGAAACTCCGCGCGACCCCATCATCGCACGCCAGATGTGGTCACTACCTTCAACAAAAGGCAAAAATTCAAGCGCAAAATCCAGAACCGTAAAGTGACCTGCAAACCAGAGTGCACTGTGAACCAAAGAGAGTGTCCTATGAACCAATGGGCACATTGTAAACCGCAGGGTGCATTATAAACCAAAGAGCGCATTGTAAACCATTGCAGGGGTGGCAAATTCATAGGAGGCTCAGCAGCGGCAAGTTACTGAGCATGTTGTTTATATTATGAGACCTCCTTTGCCAGAAACAAGATAAAGGAATAGGTTTTACCCTTTTAACTGGCACAAAAACTGACACCTTTATTCAAGGCATCATGTTTGCAATAACCACAACACAAGCAGTCAAAATGCAAACAAAAAAGACAACTCTGATAATAATATGCACTGTCCTTGAATTTGATTGGTCCACACCCGAGACAGCTTTCAATCAAATTCAAGGACAGTGCATATTATTATCAGAGTTGTCTTTTTGTTTGCATTTTGACTGCTTGTGTTGTGGTTATTGCAAACATGATGCCTTGAATAAAGGTGTCAGTTTTTGTGCCAGTTAAAAGGGTAAAACCTATTCCTACATGTTGTTTATGTCATTTATTATGAAAATTCTGTCACAGTTCATATGATCACTGTTACATTGCTGTTATGACTTTATGTTGGTGATTTCGAAAACGTTTTTTGGTTTGGTCATGTTTGTTTGTAGTAGTATGGAGTTAGACTGATGTCCTTAATCTAAGTTGTCTGGTTGTTGTTGTTGTTTGACTTGCATCCCACTGGGATTTTTTGCACACAGCGTTGGTGTACGGTGCTTTTTCTGCAATACTTTGCTGTCTTTTGTTGGATTTTCTGTTTGCACAGCCACATAGTCACTTTTAGATGTTTTCTTGTTCATGTTTTTTGTTTGTTGCGGTTGTACCCGATTCAAGAGCCGAATGGCTCACAGGGCTATACCAAAATAAATGAACTTGAAGCCATCGCGTGGCATTGCCACTCAAATAAGGAGCTTTACGTTTCCATCCACCAAACCATTCGCAAAGGAGCAGGAATACAACATTACTTTTTTGCGAGCAACATAAACATTAGCCATGGCTGGGAATCGAACTGAGGTTACCGGGTTCAGCGCGGCGCACTAACACCGTGCCACCACTCCGAACCCGTATTCCTGAAGAATAAGAGGCCATCCCACCTTTCCAAGGGTGAAGGCTGTGTCAAAAAGCGGTCCCATTTCCATAATAATGTTAATAATGCCTCTGCACACAGTATGCTGCTATTGCAAACAAAACTCATTTGACATGGGGGGTGGAATGCCACGCAACAGTTACTACTTCTAAGCCCTCAGAACAAATAGATACGGCTCTATGTACACACCGAGCCACTAGGACGTGGCACGGGGTAGATGTCAAGATGTGGCCAGAGTCACACACGCGGTTGTCTCTGATCAGATCTCTCCAAAAAAACACACGAGGTCGAATGTAGTGTGGCCACACGGGCCCTTTCTTTCTGCCGACGGCTTGGGAATGGTTTGCTTTTGAGGGAGCGCATGACACGCGCGTAAATATGGTGCTGGTGTCTTTATACGCTGCGAGTGAAATCTCTCGCGTTCACCGGTACATTGTCAATCCACTGCTGGATGAGGGGGTCCTGGGGGTTATTTGACCATACTTCCCCGTACTGATAAGTACAGGTTGGTGAAGGCGGAAGGGGAGGGGCTGAAGATGTTTGAGATGCATTATTTACTAATGGCCGGGAGCAAAACTCAGTCGAAAGGTCAGTGTAGTGCACCAACCACCAGGCCACCAGCCCCATCCAATCGGACACACATCATACATTCAATATTTCTTTAAAACTCTAAACACTGATATAATGCGCACTCATGCCAGGAAAATAACGTTTTACATAAATTAACTATGTTCCCTTTTTTAAAAGGGTAAAAAAAAAGTTATTATCTACAAATAGCTGTGCTATCAGGTATGTCCAATAGCAGGATTATTGACTCAACTAATTGCCACTGTGTGGATTCAGCCTCACGACCGAGGCTATCATTGCCTGACTCCACCCTTTGGGGTTTCAAAGCTGAAACAATGCTGCCCTTCTCATGTGGTGACACCGTATCCACTCACAGTGAATCCAGTAGCCACATCGTGCCAACAGTTCCAATCGGGAGATGTGGAAATCACGTGGCCTATGACATCCTGGCAATGCATCATGTGACACAAGGGTTTGTGTCCACTCTACTGCTGCTGTATGTGACGCATCGGATCTGGAATTGTACAAAACGTACTTGGGCATATGGATTCAATTTGAATGGAGCGGTGACGCAGGGGTTTGCACGATACGCTATGAGACCCACTGAGCTGAGCTCGATTCCACACCTCAACCAGTCCTGGGGTTCCCCTCTCACCGACAGGCCCTGACCAGCAAGACGAAGCACGGTCAAACAACACCCATGCGTCACACGGCCTGGTGACAGGCCTTCATCAAGCAGTGGATAGGCAGAGGAAAGTACTGGTTAAATGAGAGGGCAGGGTTACCCGAGTTGGTTTTCACAGCACGGTTCAGTGCAGGCCCTTAAAATAACACAACAAGGCACTTTACCCAGAAAAGCCTCACTGAATGAGGGCCAAGGTTTTTCTTTAGGGGTGTACCTCAGTTTGGACATTTGGGAAAAATGCCATTGCGACGTGTTTGGCTTCATGAAATCCACGTTTACTCTGGGGGTAGCACTCGTATATCTCCAGAGTTACCATTCAAGAATACATTGCTGTACTACCATCTTCTGTTACATCTTAGCCACATCACAGGCCATGCCTGCAACACATCACTCCAAAGGAGCCTCTCCCCCATCCCAGTGCTAACCGACCTCAACGCCTGCTTAGCTTTTGAGATCAACCTGATGCCTATGTTATTGCGGGCGACATTAGCACGTAAAATAAAGAATGATTGACTGCATGGACGTGAATTTGAGGCGAGGGAGACGATTGAGTACTTGTGGGAGCTGGGCAGGTAGGGGGGGGGCGTCCATAAATGACGTCACGCGATTTTGGACGATTTTTGACCCCACCCCCCTCGTCACACGGCGTCACGTGAAGTCAGACCCCCCCCCCCTCAAATATGACGTCACAAAGCTGTGCCCCCCCCCAAAAAAAAACATTTCCATTTTGAAAATGAAACATGCTACAAATCTCTTTAAACTATTGTCATTGTAGTGCGTATTTAATGTGGCGCTGCACTCTGATGTTGTAGGAGTGTCGTTATAACAATTCGTGCTGTTATAACAATTCTATATTTATTTAAAGTTGCGCATTTTGATGTGACGTCACATTTCTCACCCCACCCCTCGTCACACACCGTCACAAATGTCTGACCCCCCCCCCCCACCTAGGTGCGTGACGTCATTTATGGACGGCCCCTAAACAAAATGTCTAAAGCAATGGCTTAAACACGGCGTGATGTGAACAGCACGCATACCGCACGCAAGCGTAACATCCAACATTTCTGCAAACGGCTTCAGCATAAGCTACAACACCATCATCATCAACATCAATGCAACACGGGGATTACATTAGTCCGAGGTGTGCACGCGCGCGCGTGCATGCGTGTGTAAATATGACTGCATTGTGCTCACCAAAGAAACACGACCAAGATTACGCACTCGAGGCCTTTACTTCTCATCGTCCGGCCGGTGAGGTCGCCTGAGAGCCGGCATGGTGAGGCGGGTTGGTGGTGGTGGTGGTGGTGTTGATGGTGGTGGTGTTGGTGTTAGTGTTGATGATGTGGCTCAACGCAGGCATCGCCTCCCTGTGAGCAGCTGATCGGCCACGCCTACCGGTGACGTCACGACGGGAGCATCTCCCGGATTCGGTGAGGGGGAGTGGAGCGTGGGGCCGCGCAGCGCTGAGCGCTACCATGGCAACGGCAGAGGCGATGGCGGGCACCGATTTCTTGGTGGAGTGCACTCGATCCCGGGGGAGTGTGCCAATTCCCCGTCGGAGTGCAACGATTTTGGCGGTGTGCACCGATTCGAGTGGAGTCCAACAATTTCGGTGGTGCGCACCGATTTCAGTGTGCACCAATAACCGGGTTTGCGCGGCAACAATTCCAGTGGAGTGCACCGATTCCGGTGTGGTGTGCACCAATTTTGGCGGTGTGCACCAATTCCAGCACACAGCGTTGGTGTACGGTGCTATTTCAGGAATATTTTGATATTCTTAGCCCTTTCGGTAAAGTCACGTTGAAGGGAAACAATAAAATAATAAAATTATATTTTATATATTTTGTTATAAATATATATTTTATTATTTTATTGTTTCCCTTCAACGTGACTTTACCGAAAGAGCTAAGAATATGAATTACTGCAATCACGAAAGCTTTAAATCAGAATATGTTGATGTTTTTTTTCCTGGATTTTCTGTTTGCACATGCACATAGTCACTTTAAGATGTTTTCTTGTTCATGTTTTTGTTTTTTTGTTTGTTGCGGTTGCACCCGATTCAAGAGCCGAATGGCTCACAGGGCTATACCAAAATAAATGAAACTATGAAATGAAACTATAACTATGTGCACCAATACTGGTGGCGTGCACCGATTCCGGCAGAGTGCATCGATTCCAGTTGGTGTGCACCGATTCCAGTTGGTGTGCACCGATTCCGGTTGAGTGCACCGGTTCCGAAGGAGTGCGTCGATTGCGGTGAATGTGCATTGCCCTTAGTTCTTAGTGCCCAGTGATAGCCACAGTACACTAAAGAGATATGGGAGTTCGGTGTAGGTACCGCCACCTACACCCATTCCGGTGCAAGTCCCCATGCTATGCCGTTACATTGTTACAGTTTTACACAATCTTCGTTGTTTTATCAAATCGGAGTACAGTCGTACACCACGTTGTGGGCAAGTCAACATTGGTTGCCCTATGGATAGACTCGCACCCGGCCATATTAATGTAGAATTCCCACCACTTTCAGCGCTGTAAAACAGCAGATCAACACCACCACATTGCTCATTCGAACAAAAAATCATTTAAACTTCAATGATTGCACGATAATAGCAACGAGTCATAAACAGTAGAATACAACAACGTTAAACAATAAAGCGTGTTTAATGTTACAAACCACACGTATATTCATTATAAAAAGGTACAAAACAAAAAACATGGTAACTGAACAATATATTATACAAATTCCACGTTACAATGAAATGATGTATATAAATGTATAGTTGTGCTGTGCCTTGTATTCAATGGGGCAATTCCACAGTGTTATATTACAATAGCCCAAAAGTAATGCCTCCCCTACTTATTATTTCAATTCATTAATTCCCATAAACCGATGCAAAGTCTAAGATATTCCACGACACGAATCTCATGCACGTGTGTCTGCATGGCAAGAGGCCTCCCCCCACTCACAACATCAACTCCGGACCACTCGCAAGCCAAAGGACGCCAGAGGCCATGGCAATTTGGCTGGACTGTGCCACGCCATTCACCACCACCACACAGCCCCATATCCGGCAACCTCTGTTTATTATTGACCTGTTTGGCCCCTTTGAAGGCTGGCTCCCTGTTGCAGTGTCATTTTAAAATGGTACCGCTGTAAGGAAGCCGTTGGCAAATGGTTCACGTGACGCTGGTGAAACCTTTCACCGTGACGAAATCATATCCCGTGCTCATTTGGTACAAAAATATATAATAAGACGGAGACTATGTTGAAAAAAGGAAAATGTTCATGGCACTTCCATGCATAAACAAATAATAATTTGCATCAGTTACATACAGAGTTATATAAGATACAAGGAATTCATCTTTTGGGGTATCCGTCATATAATACGTAGCACCATTAATTGTAAATCATATTGCAGACTTGCAGTGGCTGGGGTTCAAAGTGGGCCATAACCGGACTTGAATACATCCTCTTTTTATGTGAATACGACAATCCCGCCACGTCTGCGCTGCGAGTGAAAAGGAAACGAAAAGTGATAAGGGTCCGAGCCACGGTTGTGGAGGTGGAGGTAGGAGCGAGATAAGTGAGGGTCGGAGAGTTGGTACTAATTTCAGAGTGTGGCTAAATGAGACAAGGCCACCAGCATTTGCTTGGCTAGTGTGCTCCACCAAACAAATGTCTGGCCTCCTCCCCACGCCAACATAAGGACTTTTTAGTGTTTTTTTGGTATTTAGTGTGTTGCTCTAAGACCGTTTTAGGCCAAGCAAAGGCAGAAAGTGAAAATACGAGAGGTCGTAGATTTATTTTGGTATGTTCTATACTTTGTGTGTGTGTGTGTTCTCCCGACACTCCTGTCTCCTCATATAAGAAAACAATTATCACTTGAAATAGGATTTGACAATCGTCCAATAAGACCTTCCCTTTTGACTCAATGGGGTTCTCCTGGGTAAATAAAAATACACTAATCACCCTTCACTGCACGAGCTGTCTTTAAAATAAAAATGTGATTCACTTGGGGCAGCATCTCTGCTCCCCATCTTTCTATTCCCCCGCTCTCCACAACCGGTTTAGTTTATGTTGACGTGCGTCACAACATAATGTAACGGTCTAGCGCACTTCCTAAATGAAAGAACAAATGTGATTCGCATGAATTAAAAAAGCACTACCTCAAAGTCTCCCAAATGAACATAGCAATATCTCTGCGTGGCATCCCCTGCTTAACTTATGAGTAGTACCCAAGGTGACTAGTCTTAAAAGTCACCCCTTGGTTAGCCTAGGTTGCTATTGACCATCCACTTGAACCATTGCAAACGCACAGCACAATTTTAAAACCAAAGCCACTAATACTTAGTAAAAGCATACATTAATAAACCTGAATGGTGAAATTGGCATGTCACCTTGTAACCTGGGATTTAAAAGGATATAAACACTTTTAACACCATTCATCACATTGGTTTCTTTTTTTAGAAAACTTTAGAAAATTAAATTGAATGAAAAATAAAATGATAAAGACACCAATAAAAGTATTTGGCTTCAATACAATAAAAAATACACGATGGCAGACATGATAAAGGCACTAATTATAAATACCCTAGTGTCAGGGATACTTTGTCATTTTACAATTTCTAGGAGCAATTGTGTTTAAAGGAATACATTTTTTTAGAGCGCTCAAACTCATAATCAAATTGCTGAGTTTAATAAAGAACTCCCTTTGTGAATGACAAAAATTACAATAAAACCACGCCATCCATGCCACTCTTTGCGGCAGCAAAGCTCCTGATGCTTGCAGCAAGCTCCTGAGAATCCGGCTGCGTGGCTTTGACGATCTCAGTACGGGAAGGCAGCCACGGATATTATGACCACGAACGTGGTCTGATGGTCCACCTTCCCCGTCTCGCTGAAGGACAACGCTCGCACCTTGAGGCGGTAAATGCGGTTGTCCTGCAGGGCCTTGCGCGCAAAAATTATCGCGCGGCCGCCGCCGTTACTGCCGCCCCCAGCGCCATTGGCCGAGCCAAAGAAGCCCGGGACGACGGAGGCTCCCTCCTCGCGCACGCCGAAGGGCGACGTGGCCTCGTGCTCCATGCTGTAGAAGGAGGTGCGCGTGTGGGGTCGGCCCGCGCGCGTAAAGGCGCTCAGGCGGATGAGGTCGGTGCCCGCGGGGACCCCGGCGGGCAGCGACACCAGCTTGTACTCCAGCACGAAGGGCACGAAGGTGCACTCCAGGTCGCTGGTGCTCGGGCAGGACCTCACGCAGTGGCTGCAGGGGGGCAGGGGGGCGGGGGAGGCATTGTCAACGTGAGGGCTGTAAGAATGGGTATGGCTCACACTCACAGTTTAATTAAGCATTAAAAAATACCTTAACTAAATTAATTATCTGGAATCCAAAGAGGCAAGTACTAATTGATTTGCAGGTGTTCGGCAGGTGCGTAAGCTCTGAACATTTCTCACACAGTCCGAAATTCTCTAAAACCCCACTGCACTCAAGGTCAGATAATTAATGAGTGATGATTATCTGAACTGGTCCTGGACCTCTCCTAGGTTGACTCAGCTTCAAATGAGTAGCTGGTGCAAAGTGTAAACATTGCCACTAGGGAGACAAAGGTGGCCCGGCGTAGTGCTGGGCATCCACCCCCTCATGTGCCGTGCTTTCCTTCATACGTGCTCGCTAACAACGCATGCCCCATTGGTCCGCTAAGGCTATACGCCAGATATATATGTCTTTTTGTCTTTTGATTGTGCGAGTTAGTGGGTGAGTGACTGTGTGAGTTAGTGGGTAAGTTAGTGGGTGAGTGACTATGTGAGTTCGTGGGTGAGTTAGTGGGTGAGTTAGTGGGTGAGTAACTGTGCGCGTTAGAGGGTGAGTGACTGTGTGAGTTCGTGGGTGAGTTCGTAGGTGAGTGACCGTGCGAGTTAGTGGGTGAGTTACCGTGCGAATTAGTGGGTGAGTTCGTGGGTGAGTGACTGTGTGAGTTAGTGGGTTAGTTCGTGGGTGAGTGATTGTGTGAGTTAGTGGGTGAGTTAGTGGGTGAGTGACTCTGTGAGTTAGTGGGTGAGTGACTGTGTGAGTTAGTGGGTGAATTAGTGGGTGAGTGACTGTGTGAATTAGTGGGTGAGTTATCGTGCGAGTTAATGGCTGAGCGACTGTGTGAGTTACTGTGCGAGTTAGTGGGTGAGTAACTGTGTGCGTTAGAGGGTGAGTTACTGTGTGAGTTAGTGGGTGAGTTCGTGGGTGAGTGACCGTGCGAGTTCGTGGGTGAGTGACTGTGTGAGTTCGTGGGTGAGTTACCGTGCGAGTTAGTGGGTGAGTGTCTGTGTGAGTTCGTGGGTGAGTGTCTGTGTGAGTTCATGGGTGAGTTAGTGGGTGAGTGTCTGTGTGAGTTCGTGGGTGAGTGACTGTGTGAGTTAGTGGGTTAGTTCGTGGGTGAGTGATTGTGTGAGTTAGTGGGTGAGTTAGTGGGTGAGTGACTCTGTGAGTTAGTGGGTGAGTGACTGTGTGAGTTAGTGGGTGAGTTAGTGGGTGAGTGACTGTGTGAATTAGTGCGTGAGTTAGTGGGTGAGTTATCGTGCGAGTTAATGGCTGAGCGACTGTGTGAGTTACCGTGCGAGTTAGTGGGTGAGTGACTGTGTGAGTTAGTGGGCGAGTTCGTGGGTGAGTGACCGTGCGAGTTTGCGTGTTGTTGTGATCTGCAGTATAGTGGCTGAACTCAGTACGGGTGAGACAAAACACGGGGGGAGTTCTCAACACGGGTGGACGAATCAATGTACGTGCACAGCAGCAGCACGAACTGGTGACTTGAGTATCACTCCTTGCAGGTGACGTGCTGATGAGTGCTGTGCACCTGGAGGACGAGTCCTTCTGATATCCCGACGGGCAGGGGGTGTCCACACACTGGTACCCGCCCCGTATGTTGAAGCACATCCGACTGGGTCCGCACTTGACGTTCTGCTCCGAGCACTCGTCAACATCTGGCGATACACACAGGTGACCCCCCCCCCCACCCCCCGTTCACTTACTGCAGTGGTTCTTCAGCTTTACTGTAGCCTGCACCCCATTGGTTCTCAGAAAGGGCATCTCGCACCCCCAGGGGGTGTGTGCACCCCAGGTTAAGAACCACTAGCTGACTGCACGCCACGGACACGTGTTTGCTCTGCATGCATATACGCGTCAATAGGTGACCCTGTTCACTTGTTGACGCGTATGAAATGCGCAAAGACAAACATACCCCCACTTTCTTCTTTGGTTCTTTCGGTAAAGTCACGTAGAATGAGAATAAAATAATAAATTGATAAAATAAAATAACACAATAATATTCTCACGACGTTTCGGCCACAACACAAGCGGCCTTCATCAGGTGAAGGGACGAGACTGTCTAGAGGACAGCGCTGGAGCGAACAAAGCTACGCTCAGACCGCGACCTTTAAGCTGTGTGAGAAGAAACAAAGTGCTTTGACAAAGGAATTAGCATAGAATTTAGCATTGAAATAACTGAGTGATTAGCTTGTGACTGGTCACAGAAATGGCTATGTTAAAGTCAAAGCCTACACATCCACTTTGACTTGTGTTCGCTCCAGCGCTGTCCTCCAGACAGTCTCGTCCCTTCACGTGATGAAGGCCGCTTGTGTTGTGGCCGAAACGTCGTGAGAATTTTATCGTGTTATTTTATTTTATCAATTTATTATTTTATTCTCATTCTACGTGACTTTACCGAAAGAACCAAAGAAGATGAATCCTTGCAGTCACGAAAGCTTTAAATCGAAATATACCCCCACTTGTTCGCGTAGACTCCTGCGGAGAGTGCTGTGAGCGAACGCCGCTGTATCTGCAGTTCTAATGTTGGGACATTTGCGAGAAAGGTTATTTTAGGCCTGAGGTTTACCTAGCGGAGGCACAGGGAAACTCACTGATACCAATATTCATGGATGTTTTGTATGATCGACAGAAATAACATCTCGATTGCTTGGACTATAGTGCAATGTGCTAACCGCTATATGTCCCAGTAAACAAATAACGTTGGACCCCAATGTTGGAGGTGATGCTCGGCCAATATTTAAATTAACCTCCGTCCTTTAACGTTATAATGAGCGGCGAGTAGTTAAAAGCTCGCAAACCGCGTGACAATTTCATTTGTTTGACTGTGTCATGAGTAAGGGAGGGGGGTGCTCGAACATTGTGGCCGAAATCAACACTCGTCCATACATCACGAATACTCAACATTAAAGCAACAACAACAACAAAACAACTCGCAAGTGAATTAATATCCTCGTCTTTGCTGTGAGTTACCCTGGCAGGTCCGGCCATTGGTGGCGAGGCGGTATCCGCCAGGACAGAGACAGGAGAAGCTCCCGGGAGAGTTCCTGCACTCGTGCTGGCACCTGTCCGCCTCCCGGCACTCGTCAACGTCTGCAGAGAATCGAGGCGGATGACGGGGGCGAGCCACAGCAGCACCAGCGTCTGTACGCGGCAGCCTCGTAGCGACTCGTAGCTCAGGAACACGCTCGTTAGTGGAGGAATAAAACAACTGAAAGGTTTGCAAAAAAAATCACGGAAGACGATGGATGCTTGGGATTACATTGAGAGATAGAGAGAGGACCCACGCGGGTTAGAGAACACGCGTGGGTTAATAACACCACCTAACTAGGATAAGCACCCTTGGACAGCACACGTCGCTAGAGGGGACGATGGCCAAGAATAATGGAGGGAGTGGCAGCCAAGGAATGGAACTCGTCTGAAAGATACGTTTACAAAGGAGATGGAGCGATGAAATCAGTGTGTGTGCATGTGCCGGATAGACCGTTGCATCGCGGGATTGTGAGTGGTGGTGGCCGCTGGAGAGGCCTTCATCCAGGAGTGGATTTTGATCATGGCTGATGATGGTGATGGTAGTATCCTGATCAGTTAATACGTTTGAGTCCCACAGCCAACTGCTAATATCTAACAAAATAAATAAGCAAACTAAATGCCCTTCATTCCCTTCATGAAAAAAATTAAAGTATTTTACAGATCCCATTAGCGACACGGCCTTCTGAGAATGCACAATTTCAGCAGCATCAGCTCTTATTAAAAAAATCTCATAATAAGCTTGCTCAAATCAAGAAATGTGTTAATTCTTATCTATTACAACCTCGATTGTCCTGTTTATTGCTGGCTCTAGATGTTTTGGACCTTTAGGCCAGTGCTTTACAAACTGTGTACATGATGCTGTACGTCCTTAATATTTTTCACATGAAGCCTTGAGCCAGTGGTTGAAATGTTGTGTCGAAAGCACATTCCCACGTTAAAGGCAGGTCTCATCATCATCATCCTCATCATCGGCCATGATCAATCCACTCCTGGTTAAAGCCCTCCCCAAGCTGTTGCCATCCCTCACTGTCCCACGTGGCCTTTGGGCCTGCGCTCAGCGCAAGTTATCATCAAGGGGGCTGTGCACGTGCGGCAAGTAAACGCTCAGGCGAGCGCCGCGCGGTGGGCACCGTGTGGCAGCTGCGTCGTACCGAGGCAGCTGGTGCCGTACTCCCGGTACCCCTCGGGGCACTGCTCGGCGACGGTGCGCGTGGACACGGAGCGGACGCTTCCCCCGCCCGTGCCGTACCCCAGCAGCGCCAGCAGCTGCCCCGCGTTCTGCAGCTGCACTACGTCGCCCCTGTCCTGCCGCACCGTCAACACTGCGTGCACCGCACACGCCCCGCGCATGCCCCACGCACACACACACACACGCATCAGCGCCGGACAAAAATAAAGATCCCCCGTATAGCCTGAACAGACTGTTGGGGCAAGTGCTGTTAGCGAGCACCTATGAAGGCCGGCACAGCACACGAAGGGGTGGGTGGCCAGCACCACGCCCGGCCGCCTTTGTCTCCCTAGTGGCGATATTTTTACGCATCGCACCAGGTACTCATTTGAAGCTGAGTCGACCTAAAGGATGCCCAGGACCGGCTCAAATAACCGTGACCTGGTGTTGGCCGTGAGTGGGAATCGAACTCGTGTCGCCGGGTTCATAGCGCAGCGCGCTAACCACTACACTACCACTCCCCGCCAGACACACACGCCCCACACACACACACATCAGCACCTTTCAGAGATCTGCGAACAGAGTCCTGTGCATGAGTGTAATTTTTCCCCCGTAGGCCATTATTTAAGGCGTAATTTTTGGACAGCAGCGTGGCGCAGCGGTTACACTCGCGCCTCACGGCAAGAAGGGCCTGAGTTTGATTCCAGCTCAGGCACTCTGCTGTGTGGAGTTTGTACGTTCTCCCCATGTTCTGCATGGGTTTCCTCCGAGTCCTCTGGTTTCCTCTCATTGCTAAACAAAAAAAAACAATGTAACTTGTATTGAGCCAAACATCCCAATGCTGGAAAATTGCCTGCAAATTACTTAATCAGGATTAGAAATGAATGGCAACATTGCCCCCTATTGCGGAAAACTCGGCAGCTGAACAAGAGCCTTTTGACTCAAAGAGCATTGCCTGGTTAAACAAGTGTAATAATAATCACAATAAGTGTGCTGTTGTGTGGATGTAGATTTAACAACACGCAAAGAAGCATGCTCACAAACAGCAGGAAGGTACGGCCCCCATATTGTGATCACCACACTGCACGGCACAGTGCCCTCGGCCCTGTCAAAGCCATCGGCTCAAAGGAGCTGAAGGAGTGGCCGTATTATTGCTTAGGCCACCAAATATTGTTTTCAGTTCCTATTGTGATGGGTTTTCTCATCATTTGCAGGAAGTGTTCGTCATGAATCATCCCTTTAATGAGCCACCTAGGTTAACGTCTGGGTGGCAGATACGGCTGTGTGGAGGATGAGGCAGCACACTTCAACCAGAACTGCACAATGGCGTTTTAGGTTCTCAGGGTTATGCGTCGCCTAGCAGTGTTGTGATGGAAGAAAGGTTCCGTCCTCTGAAAGTCTGAATAAGCAGACGATACAACACCGAATGTTTGGATTAATTCGCCGAAACATGGACTTTGTTGAACATCTCAGAAATGCGTATGTGTACATGTTTCTCAGGAAACAACAGAGAGTATTTAACAGAACATTTGGGAGATATTACATTTTCTCTTTCCTCTGCGTAACAATGACCTCATTTCTAGCTCAGGGCAAAACATTTGGCAATGCACACGAAGCGTCCACGAGAACAAACGGATCACTTACCTGCCGCTGGGACGTCCACGATGCCACCCACTCCGATGCTGCCACCGCCACCGCCGTTCCTCCCAGAGCAGGATCGCCCATCGGGGAGCAAATGCTGACCGGGGGGGCAGACGCAGTGGAAGCTGCCGGGCGAATTGCGGCACTGGTGCATGCACGGCCGCGGTGCCTGATGGCACTCGTCGATGTCTGGACACGCGGTGGGGCACGGGGGGGGGGAGGGGGTTTAGGCGGCGCACGGCAGTTTACGTTTTAAGGAAATCGACAGGGCAGCCGCGCGGGACGGCTTGGGATGTTCATGCCGCTACCCCTAGGATCGTCGATAAACTTGCTTTAACCTGTTGAACACGTAGGCTTTCGCGACAAATATCATCCGTAATGCATGTTTTTTTGGGTCAGATCGCGTAAAATGTTAAATGTGTTGTTAAACCGCCATACTCAGATTGTAAACGTTGTGGATTTGCTCTCCAACACACCGGTGTGCTGTACTGGTAACGAATTGGCCACGTTCTGTTTACGTGACTAACCTTACTAATTGGCTGTGTCGGGTGGTGGCGGGTTTAACGACACAACATTGATATATTTACGCGCTCTAACCCCAAAAAAACCGGAATCGCTTTAACCTGCTGGGAGCCCTCTGACGTTCGTAAAACAAACAACCAAAATGGCCGGGGCGCTGGTGGCTACGCACGACTATAATCCAGACACCGTGACGGCGAGGGTTGGTGGAGGTTGCCCATCTCCCGACAAGGCCACGGCACGATGGCGGCACGGCACGTGGATCGATTTCCATCTTGTGCAGGGATCGAGTGTTGCTCCCCCCCCACCCCCCCTCCTCGCACGAGTGGGTTTTCGTCGGGGCACTCCGGCTTCCTCCCAACAAGTATCAACGCACACAAATGGAGTTGGTCAAACATCCCAATATAAGATCACAGAGCTTGGGCATTTGTTGGCACCGATTCTGGCCGTCTTCCCATTCACGGTTTCCCACGCCTCTGTGCGGAAAAAAAACTGTGCGAGTTATAACTTCTTATTAAAAAAAAACATTTTCAATGACATTCGTACGAATGACGCTCAGCAAAAAATAATGTGCAGAACTATTAAGAATCCAAAACGTGTTTTTTTTTCTCGTGCCAAATTGCAGTGGATCCAGTTTTTTTGTTACGCATTGCTGTAGTTTCCTTACTAGGCCAGGCCCACTGAGCTATATAACTCTATTTTCAGAAGTCACATGGACATGAACGATAGCTCTACGAAGCGGCTTATCATCTTGTGGAAATTGATGGCAACCGCATGATGATAAGCCACTTATCATCATGACGGTGATGACGACGATGATGACTACGGTCGCAGCGACGGAGCGGCGTGGGTGTCGGGGGGGCCCGGAGTGGCGTGCGTACCCGCGCAGGGCGAGCGTGAGCCTTGGGAGCGGTATCCCCTGGGGCAGCTGCAGCGGTGGCCCCCGTGCGTGTTCTCGCACACCTGGTTGTAGGCGCACCTGTGTGTCCCCTCCCTGCATTCATCCACGTCTGACGAGCAACCACAGGCAGGGTGTCGTTCGATGCACCGCAAGCTCCGTCAGAAAATCTAATAATAGTTCCGAAGCAAGCGACAGCCAAAACAAACTCCACATTCTTATGGCAGGGACGGGCATAGTCACAGGGAAAGTACCGTTGATATGTCGTCATCATTATTGTTGTTGTTAGTATGGTCTGAGTGGGTATGCATGGGTCTGGGTAAAGATGATGATGATGATGATGACGATCAACATCATCATCAGCACAACTTGTCAAAGGATCCAGCTCTGACAATTAAAAAGTTAATTCATCTCGACAGCAGGGCGTGTGGGAGAGTGCAGTGCCCATTGTGTGGATAAAGGATCACTGGAAGGGCTCTATAACACAGAGAGATGCACTGCTTCCAGAAGGTTCCAAAGTGACACTTTGTCTCGGGGCACGACGCCGGCAGCACAGCGGAAGTAATAAAATACAACTCATCACGTCGGAGATGCTGGTTGAAGCAAACACAATGAGTGGGGCCCCCCCCACGGCCGTGACCGCCCGTCGCCCACCCTGGCAGGTGCCGTTGTGGTCCCGCAGCGTCCCGGCGGGGCAGGAGGAGGGCGAGAGGCACCGCGTGCCGCCACGCGCCGCCTTGCACAGAGGGTTGGAGGCACAGCGGCCCCCACGGCACTCTCCCACCTCTGCGAGACGGGGGGGGGGGGGAGGGGAGGACCGCAGGTCATTTGCTCGCCACCTCCGTGTACCCGCACGCTGCCCGCACGCGCGGCCTCGATCGGCGGGTCGCTCAATGGTGCACTCGCTCATTCACAAATTTCCGCGCTTTACCGCAACTAATAAATTCGCTGTAACGTTGTCTCTAATCCTAACCAACCTAACCGCATTAACCAACGGTAACCCTAACCGTTACGCATTTGCCTCCGCGCGAGGGCGGTGGTGACCTGCGCGTACGCACCCACGCACTTGTGGCCGCTCATCAGGAATCCCGGCAGGCAGGCGCAGCGGAAGCTGCCGAGGACGTTGAGGCAGCGCTGCTGGCAGGGCGCCTCCGCCAGCTCCTCGCACTCGTTCACGTCTGCAGCGGCGAGGCGGCGGCCGGAGTCGCGGAGAAGCCGAGCGGCGGGAGGGATGGCGCGGCGCACGAAAGGAGAGGCGGAAAACGAGGGACGGGGATTTTTCACTTCGGTTGGGGGGGGCGTTGGTGGGCATCTCGCGGGAGGGGGAGCCCGCGGTGTCGCGGTTGATGCACCGGATTTGCGACGCAGAAGTCGCCAAATCGATTCCATCTCCCGGCGCGGCGGTTGAAATAAGCGGCAAGTTTCTGGAATCCCCCCTCTCCCCCCCCGCCACCTCTGTTCACCCGGTAGTATGAATGGGGTTCAGCAGGAATAGTCAATCAGCTGGTCACGTGGGGTAGGGTAAGTGAGTGGATCCTGGCAGAATGCCATTACACAGACACTGCAGATACACTGTACACTACATACACAGCAGAGTGCAGGGATTGAGGGGCAGGAGGGGCAGACAACAATTTCGCTGGATTGACGACGTGAAGAAAGACGTAGAACCGAGGGAATTGATCAATGAGCCGAGCCGCGAGATTGGCAGTCGACAGACGGCAATGGCCGGGCTTCGCTCGGACCCGATCGTCGCTACTGAGCAGACGGGCCGGGACCTGTGGAACAAGATCAAATTGGAGGGAAGGGGTCACATCATCATCATCGTCGTCATCGCACGCCCGGTGCCCGTAAGGGCGGCTGTACGGCGGGGCGTTTGCCTGGGGGCGTGGGCATGGGGTACCTCTGCATCGCGTGCCGTCGGGCGTCCGCGTGAAGCCCGGCCCGCAGCGCACGACGCAGCGGTACGAGCCGGCCGAGTTCTCGCAGTCCTGCCCCAGGTGGCACATGTGGGTGCCCGCCACGCACTCGTCCACGTCTGCACACGCGCACACACGCACCGTTGGCTTGCGTATCATTTTTATAAAGCCGATGATCGTGATGATAATAATGATGATGATGCTGATAATGCTCCGGCGTTGGGCTGAATTTCATGCACTCGATCCGGCCAGATGGCAATCCCAGGGTCAGCGAGTTCAAATCCTGGTTGGGTGTTGTTGACTCGGCCAGTCATCTCATTGGGGTCAATAAGAGGGAGTAACCACTTTGTGGGGTAGTCAACATCAGATGTCCTATGGATAAGACTCACCCCCACCATATAAATGTAAAATTTCCACCACTGGCTCAGGACTCTAAATCGAATAAGAGCACCACCTCGATGTTCCACGTATTCCACTAATCCACCCGGGTTTAACACCCGAGACTGAAAAACCTGGTGAACTTTTTAGCCTCCTCGACCTGGAGTCACGAGCCACCGTTGACCCCCAGTAAAATACCACAGTGGTAAAAAAACATATTTTGTTCTTGCATTACCGGTTATCGGAATGCAAAGAAAATAGTACCAAAAAAAGTGACTGCTTTGCTGCGCACACGGATACGTCTCTAACAATAAATGTTACAAAGTAATACGGCTGCCACGGCGTTTGTGGTTAGCGCGTTGGACTTGCAGTCTATCTCCTGGTGGCGGCAGTTCAGACAATGGGGGCAAAGTTTTTTCAACGCCCCCTCCCTCCCAAGCCGCTGCCTCTATGTAGGTCGAGCGTGGCGTAGGGCCAATCGGTGCATTCGTTGCCAAGATTCCAGTGGAATCGGCTCCTGGTTCCTGACCTTACGAAGCGGTCGTCGATTCTGAAAGCGGTTACCGATTCAGCGGTTGCCCCCTTTTTTTTTTATAACGCTCGCTGATACGCAATTCAACCCCCACGTCCGGCTTGGACGCATCAGACGTTGCTGGCGGATCGCGAAGCGTGCAGGGGAGGAGAGGGGGGGGAGGAGGGGGGGGGCAGTTACCGACACAGGTGTGGTCATCCGGAGCCACAATGTAGCCGCGCGGGCAGGTGCACGAGAAGGTGCCCACGGCGTTTTGGCACAGGTGGGAGCACGGAGGGGCGAGCGCACACTCATCCACGTCTGCGCCGGGGGGGACGAGCGGAGAAAGAGGAACAAGGTGGGGGAGGAGGGGTGAGAGAATGTCACCTTATATTGCATCGATGTCTTTCAAAAAGGATACAGTATAGAAATATTGGAGACAATGTGTGGGGCCCGATGCATGACGTCGTGATGCACGTACACACGCCGTCAACAGATAAGCCAGACCGGTTTTGAAAAGCAGCGGGGTTAGATAGATGGAGAACGGGCTCGCTGGCATCGATGCCTTTAACGCGATGAAGCAGCTCATATATACATACACACTTGATGAATATCTCATTGTTTCAACTGGGACGTCGAGTTACCATTTCATTTACTCTGAAGAAATTGCTCTAATGACAAAACAATTGTTGGTTGATGCTTCTGAGAAACAACTCAAGTTGATGTAAAATTGACAGATTTTGCAGAAAATAGTAAATCAATCCTCCAATTAGTGGGGTTTGCTACGTACGGTGCAAAAGACGTGCAGCATACATACAGCCCAGGATGAGGACAACTTACCGAAAGAACCAAAGAGTATGGAATCATTTTTTACAAGGATTCATGTCTGCATTAACCACAATACCAGCAGTCAAAATGCAAACAAAAAACATACTATGATAATATATGCATTGTCCTTGAAACTGATTGGTCCACACCAAGGGACGGCTTTCTTTTGAGCCTCGACCCAATTGGTGCTCGACTGGATGACGCCAAAAGGCGTACAGCTCAAAGACAATGCACTATCAAAGTAATGAGGGCTCGGGGTGAGCATCTACATCATTAGACCTCCTTTGCCAGTACCAAAATGTAATAATAGGGTTTTCCCCTTTTTTCTGGCAACAAAACTGAAACCTTTTTACAAGGATTCATGTTACTGCATTAACCACAATACCTGCAGTCAAAATGCAAACCAAAAACATACTATGATAATATATGCATTGTCCTTGAAACTGATTGGTCCACACCAAGGGACGGCTTTCTTTTGAGCCTCGACCCAATTGGTGCTCGACCAGATGACGCCAGAAGGCGCTCACCCCGAGCCCTCATTACTTTGATAGTGCATTGTCTTTGAGCTGTGTGACGCCTTTTGGCGTCATCTGGTCGAGCACCAATTGTGTCGAGGCTCAAAAGAAAGCCGTCCCTTGGTGTGGACCAATCAGTTTCAAGGACAATGCATATATTATCATAGTATGTTTTTTTTTGCATTTTGACTGCAGGTATTGTGGTTTATGCAGACATGAATCCTCGTAAAAAAAGGTTTCAGTTTTGTTGCCATAAAAAAGGGGAAAAACCCTATTATTACATTTTGGTACTGGCAAAGGAGGTCTAATGAAAGTATGGAATCAATTTACTTGCATTGTTGTTTTCGTGAGCTCAGAACGGCAGGTGGCACATTGTGGTCAAATAAAAGCCACTCACCTCCACAGTATGGGCCCTCCGAGTCGAAGAGAAACCCACGCGGACACCCATCCTTGCTCTCTCCTGCCAAAACAACACAACATTTGAATTCAAAACAAGTATTCTAGTTTTGTTGTCGTTCTTGCTGTTCTTTGTTCTCCAGGCAGTTAGAAAAGGACTAATAATAATGGTAAATCAGCCGAGTGGCAAGTCACTCAGGGTCGTGTTCTTAGTCAAGGCTCCGCTCTGGTTCGGCCTCTAACATTTTGGCTCAGCTCAGGCTTGAGCCGCTCAGCTGCTTCCAAAGCTGCGCGAGTGAGTGGCTCAGCTGTGGTCTGTCTCAGGCCCAGCTCCAGGGAAATCCTGAGCGTGCCTGGGGCGCGGCTCAGAGCCGGCTCAAATGAAGCGTGGGCTTTGAGTCAGCTCATTTGAACCGAAGCCAAGCCTGAGCCGAGCCATGATGTCAACTCCTGGTCGAGGGTTGAATTTATCGTCTCATTGACCCGCCTTTGAAACTCGTGTCTGGCAGAATCGGACACGCAGCCTAATAGTGCGTCTACAAGAAGGCAAGCTAATGGCGTTTGGGCCGTGACCGCTGGCTCGTCGCACCCTCGCCGAACGTGGCCTGCAGGGAGAACGTGAGCCGCTGTCGCGTGGCGTCGTAGCGCGAGTCCATCGCTGAGACGCGCAGCGTCTGCGCGGGCGACGTCATGAGGCCCAGCGTGGGCTCGAACGCCGTTGTGTGGTTCCACGCGCACGTCACGCCCGACTCGGCATCAGAGTCGCCGCCCGGCGCCGCTGCGTCTTGGCTCACGATGGCCGGGCCCCCGGGCCAGCCGGCCGAGTAGGAGAAGATCTTGCCGGGCCCCGTCTGGATGTATTCCTCACTGAATTCCTGATGAAGGGAGGATGAGCGGAGTGTTACGCAACCGCCATTCAACACGTAGTAGGTTTTCACAGCCAATATTCACAATTATCAACGTCTGGGTTGGGCCGCGCGACGATCTGGCGCAATTTCGTTCTCGTGACGGCGCCAGCGATAGCAAGAGCGGAAGAAAACGGGAGAGGGAACAAACAGCAACGGCAATCGACGCACCGACGGGCAGAGGTGATCGTAGGAGGCGAGCAAAGGGAGGTAGCCGTTGAGAACCAAGTCGAACAGCAGCGTCCCGTCCGCGTCGAGCCCCCGAGAAACGTGCGTCAGCCGCAGCGTCTCCCCTGCAGCATCGCGACCACCGCCACCATGGTTAACATCATCATCATCAACAACATCATCAACAACGACGACGTCATCAACTTCATCATTCGTCTAATTATCACTATCTCCAACACACTGCAATAATAATTGTACTGTACCATCATTATCATTATCATAAGATAACAATTATCTTGCAACAATTATCTTGCAATAATTGTTGCAGTATCATAAGATAAACTATGATTGAAAGCTTTCGTGACTGCAGGAATTCATACTCTTTGGGTCTTTCGGTAAAGTCACGTGGGTAGAAAAATAATAGATCACGACGTTTCGATCACAACACAGGCAATCGTCTTCAGGTGAGATTATGATAGTATGATAAACTGTCTCCCTGCTCAAATGAGCATGGAAGTGCTCCTCATTATTGGCAGCTCTAAGCGATTGGTGGATAACTCCACATCATTGCGGTAGGACCCGGGTTAGCCAATTTACTGACCCTGCCAGGGAGATTTGCCCGTACTTCACATACTCATTGCATACTCAACACTACGAATGCAACCCTTCACGACGCGCAACCCCTCACTACGGACAGCACGCTCTCCGCCATAGCCTCACCGGTGGAGAACGCCAGCTGGCTGTCACGGCGGAAGGCGCCCCCCGTGAGCTGGAATCCGTTCCGGGCGCCTTCGTTCCCGAACGCAGACGTCCAGTACACGGAGCTGAGCACCGACACCAGCACCCGCAGCGCCGGGCCTGCGCCACACGGCAGAGCACGGACGCGGCAACCGTGACGCTGCTGCTGCTGCTGCAGCTGCTGGCAGTAATGACGGTACTGCTTCTGCATGCGATGATGAGAATAACTCTTCCGATGGCGATTTTTATGAGCTCGTTGTTGCTGCTGGCGATGCTACTGCTGTTATTACTGTCGCTAATGACGATGATGATGATGATTCTCCTGATGATCATGATAATGGCGATGCTTTTGATGCTTCTAACGATGAAGCTCATGCTGGTGATACTCCCGAGTGTTTCTGCAGCTGTTGTCCATGATGATGACGACGTTGTTGTTGGCGAAGGGAAACCGCTTCCACGGGACGAGCGCTACCGATGGCGGGCGGGACGTTGGAGATGGAGGCCTCCACGATCCGCGTGCCGCCCGACTCGTCCGTCGTCGCGTTGGCGAGCAGCTGAGCCACGCCGAACTCCACGTCGTTCACCTGGCCGATGAGGCTGCCCCGCACTTGCGGCGGGTAATCTGGGCGCACCACACCGCAGCCCCGGCCACGGCCGCACGCGACAGATACAAAGATGCCACGAGCAGCCTTGCAGAATGCAGAGGCAAGTGCTTTTTGCAAGGGGCTGTTACAACAGGAATGGCAAGCCGGTGCATGGTGTGGTCAGCACCACACCTGGCTGCATTATTTTCCCCATTGCAAATAGTTACTCACCAAAGCGGTTGCTTATGCAAGGCTGATTCGATCCAAATTTGGCAAAGTTTTCAGCATTATGCGGCACAAAACGGGCTCCTCATGTCGAAGGAAATCTTTAACGTCTACTGCGAGTGAAGCAGACAGCGCGTATTCGTGTGGCAATACGCCCGCAGTCATAACCAGGGCGGCCTCGCGGATTCCAACCGCGAAGAGCGGCGGACGCGCTACCGCCGGGGGCCACGTCACCGCCACACTGCACGCGGAATGTTGCCCACGGCTGGGACTCGAACCCATGCGGCGGGGGGACACGGGGCGACGCGTACCGAGGCACGGCCGGGGGTTGCACTCGGACACCTGGAGGACCTCGCCAGCGCAGGGCAGGCCATGGTGGGCGGGCGGCGGAGCGTCGCACTCGCGCACGCGCGACCGCTTGCCGCGGCCGCATGACGCGGAGCACTCGTCCCAGCTCTGCCACGCTCCCCAGCTCCCGTCCACTGCTCGCAGACACGCGCAGACACGCGCAGACACGCGCAGACAGGCGCAGACACGCGCCGACGACGCACAAAGCACATCCGCGTGGACGCGCACACGCACACACAAGTGCGTCGGCACACATGCAGACTTGTGAAAACACTTCCTTGTACTAATATTGTTCAATTATATTCGTGCTATTTTTATGGCACAAAGCTACCGTCCAGGTGCTGTGTTTCACCAATTGAGTATTTTTTTTTTATTTAAAGCTTTCGTGACTGCAAGGATTCATCTTCTTTGGTTCTTTCGGTAAAGTCACGTAGAATGAGAATAAAATAAAAAACTGATAAAATAAAATAACACAATAAAATTCTCACGACGTTTCGGCCACAACACAAGCGGCCTTCATCAGGTGAAGGGACGAGACTGTCTGGAGGACAGCGCTGGAACGAACACAGCTTGGCTGATGAAGGCCGCTTGTCTTGTGTTCGTTCCAGCGCTGTTCTCCAGACAGTCTCGTCCCTTCACCTGATGAAGGCCGCTTGTGTTGTGGCTGAAACGTCGTGAGAATTTTATCGTGTTATTTTATCAATTTATTATTTTATTCTCATTCTACGTGACTTTACCGAAAGAACCAAAGAAGATGAGTATTTTTTGTCGGTAAATCAAGCGGATTTGGTGGACAAAATATTTTTTCAATAAACTTATCACGCAGGTTTCACAATGGATTATTATTTTTTGCTAAGGTATGGCCAAAAAAAGAATCGGTGATGAGTCACGTCTCAATCGGGGGCGGCATGCTCAGCGGTGTCCGGACGCACCGGGGCAGTGCTCGGTGGCGCAGCGCCGGGCCTGCGTGTCGGGCCCCGTGCAGGCCCGGCCCCCGTGCGCGGGCGAAGGGCTGTCGCACGAGCGGCGCCGCTGGGCCGTGCCGCCACCCCCGCAGGTGCGGCTGCACTCGTCCCACTCGCCCCAGGGGGACCACGCGCCGTGCACTGCGCGGGGAGAGGCGGGAGAACGAGGAGGAGAGGGAGGTAGGGGATGGGGAGGGAGAGGACGGGGAGGATGGGAAGAAGGGGAAGGAGAATTATGACGAGGTTGACTCGACGCTGGGCCAACCGAGCCGCCGAGATGACCAACTGCCGCAATGCACAACGAGGAGAATGATTCACTTCGATAGAGCGGCCCCCTTACTCCGGGGCCATCTCAAAGCGTTTCACACGTGGTAAGCGACTTTCATCTCTGTGTGGCACAAGGGGTGTCTCGGCAGTGGGCATTGGTCTGCCAGTAGGGGATTCGCGATCGTTGCCACGTGTGGCCGAGTAAATAAAGTTACGGGCGATGATTTAGTACGAGTGGGGACGGGATATGACGAGGTTTGTAACGGTCGCACTGGAACCAACCGGGACACGAATCTTCGTTGCACGGCTCCACCACGGAATCGCTGCCCGCGCAGAGCGATCCGCCGTGCTTTGGCGCTGGGACTGAGCACGTGCGCTGCCGACGCCGTGTTCCCCCGCCGCAGGAGGTAGTGCAGGTCGACCAGTATCCCCACGTGGCCCAACCGCCGTCAACTTATAGGGACGACACAGCGATGACGGGATCATGAGAATCACGCGACGGTGTCTGAAACGTTTGACTTGAAGAGTTCAGTGAGTAATTCTACCGGAAGTCAGTTTTTTACCTGCAAAACACGGATGTTACTGAAGGATTCAAGAACGCACCTAGCAAAAACAACTGCACGTGCATATTTGTATCGTACATGTGTATTTGTTACGTAAAAAAAAAACAGCAATATTTAAGTTTATTTTATTTGTTACACGGATGATCCCTTTTAGCCAATTGCCCGGTTATTTTCCACGGTGTGAATCCGCCGGTTCTACGTGAGCACAGCAGCAGCCGCAGCAGCAAAACATAGACAGGGGACCTCGAGAAAATGTTTGCGCGACGAACAAACGAGGTGTTTAACGGTCGTAAACTGCATGCGGGCGCAAGCCTAAAATAGACGACGGCAAAGATGCGCGAGTAAAGAGGCTCCTAAAAGAGGTGCGATACAGCTTGCCCTGTGTTTTGGTTTAAACGGGCGACTAAAGAAGGGGGAGTGAAGCGGAGGGAACTGAGTTGCGGATGAGCGCCGCGGGCGCCATCACGGAGCAGCAACGCGGAATTTTTTTAAAAAGAAATTTGCCAAAAGAAAGTTGTAGCAAATGAAATCTACAGGACGAATTCAAGGAGGCACCTCGAAGGCTACGGGAGGGAGTTACGGGAACCGAGCGGTCCTTCGGGTGACAAGGCGGATGAGCAGCACTGACCAGGGCAGGGCCGAGTGAAGCAGGGGGCCACCTCCACGGCGAGGCCTGAGCAGGGCCGGCCGCCGTGCTGCGGCGCGGGGCTGCTGCAGGTGCGGCTCCGCTCGCGCTCCCCGTGGCCGCAGCCCGGCGAGCAGTCTCCCCACTCGGCCCACGCCCTCCACCGCCCGTCCACTGTGGATGCATGTTGGAGAGGAGGGGGCGTAGGTGGGCAGTTGTGTCGCTGCGGTGAATAGCCGAGTGAGTGGGTGAGTGAGCCACCGAGGGAGTCATTTAGTGGGTGGTGGTTGTCCGTCCATGGGGTGCGTGAGTAGCCGAATAGGTGAGCGAGCGAGCGAGTGAGCGATTGAGCGAGTGATGAGCACGTATGCGTGCGTGTTGAACTTCTTTCGCACCGTACGCAGCCAACCGTGCTAATCGGAGGTGCGTGCGTCAGGCGATGATGGAGGCACGGCGGCGCCTGGCCCATCTCACCGGGACACGGCACGGCGTGATGGCAGGGCTGCGTCTCGGAGGCCGGGCCTTCGCACCGGCGTCCCCCGTTCGCCGGCGCGGGGTTGTCGCACGACCGCACACGCTCGCGGACGCCGTCGCCGCACGTCCCCGTACACGGACTCCAATCCTGCCACGCGGAGTAGGCGCCGTGCACTGCAGCGGAAAAATTAGAGTTCGAACTCTCAACCCACCTCTAATCCAGCCCATGCCATGACCGTTTGTACCCCTCTGTGCGGCCAAACAGAACCTTGCTTGGGCGCAGCTTCTGGGCTTGCCGGCTCCACGGCCCCGGCCAACGTGGCCTCGCCTGCCGGAGCGAGCTCGCCTATGCGTGTAGGGGAAGCCCCATGTGCACGCAAGCGCACAAAGACAAAGATCCCCACCCCCCCCCCCCCCCGCCCCCATATAGCCTTCAGCAGACGGTTGAGGCGAGCGCCAATACTGATGGGCGAGCGCTCGCCCACTCGCACGCACCTCTCACGCTGACCGTGGCCCCCGTGAGCGCCGATCCGAGGAGGTTGCGCGCAACGCACTCGTATCGCCCCGCGTCGCCGGGCCGCGCCGCCTCCACGGCGAGCGTGCCGTCCGGCAGCACCGAGACGCGGGGGTCGCCGGCCGGGAGGGGGCGGCCGTCCCGAGTCCACTCCACGGCGGGGCGCGGCCGCCCGTCGGCCCGGCACGGCAGGGACACGCGACCGCCGGCCTCCACCACCTCGTCCCTGGGCTCGGCCACGAACGAGGGCGCCCCTGTCGTCGGAGACGCCCGGCGCGGCGTTCGTTACGTCACGCGCGACGACGCCCATGGCAAGTGACGATGATGGCGGTGAGGGCGATGGTGGCGGCATGCTCGACCGTGCGGGTCGGCTCACTCACTCTGGATGGTGAGGGTGACCATGCGCTCCACCGCACCCGCGTCGTTGGTCGCCACGCACTTGTAGTCGCCCGAGTCCTCGCTCTGCCAGGGTCGGGGTCACACGGGGCGGAGTGCAGAGGTCATGCACGGCAAGCTGCACCTTTCTTCTCCTATCTGACGAGACACCGCTGCTGCCTGCTACCTTCACCAACACGGACGACGCTGACAACTGTAACAGCTATGAGGATAACGTAAATGCATCATGATGGGATTATAACGCGACTGTTAAATAATCATGCTGCTGCTGCTGCTGCTGAAGAAGAAGATGATGCCGCCGCTACTTCTTCTTCTTCTATCGGTAGCGATGACAACGATGGCGAGCGTCACACCGGCGGTTGTATTCTCGACTGCCACTGCCGCGGCCGCTCACGACGGCACCACGCACCACGGTGCCGTAGATCGCGAGCGAGCCGTTGTGCAGCTGCCGCACACGGTTGCTGCCGGGCATGGCGCCCCCCATGCGGCTCCAGTGGATGCTGGGAGGGGGGTCCCCCCGCGCCTCGCAATCCAGGATGGCGTTGCCGCCCATGGCCTCCACCATGCTGGGGTGCAGGTCTCCCCGGAACACCGGGGCCTCTGCCGGCGTGCAAGGACAAGGGCGGCAGACCGCGCAGCATCAAAATCACGCGGTGGCATCGCGCGCCCCCGGACACATCGGCCGCGGCATCCGCGGCGACGCAACGCAAGCCGAATTTCAACAGGGCCGCGAGAGCGCAACCGGGTTACAACAAGAGGCGCGTGAAGCCGTTGCCGATCGTTCCCAGATCCCCGGGAGCCCAACATGCGACGCCGGCGTCGATGGCGCACGAGCAGCAGGAAGCTCCGCTGGGCGGGATGTGGCGGGTGCGGGCGGCGGCCTCCCTCACCCTTGACGTAGACGAAGCCGATGGCGCGGATGGAGGCCACCTCGTTCTCGGCCGTGCACACGTACGTGCCGGAGTCGTCCTTTGTGGCGCGCTCGATCGTGACCTCGCTCACCCCGCGCTCCTCGTCCACGCGCGCTGACCCGGCCACCGCCGCCACGGCGATGATGGGGATGGGGAGGAGGCGGGCGGGAAACGACAAGCGAGATAGAGCCGGCCCACTGCTGCCACTGCTGCTACTGCCGCTGCTGTCACTGCCACTGCCGCTGCTGCCACGTGCATCACTGCTCCCACACAATCCACATAGTCTACAGCAACCTGTTTGTACACAGTCGCAATGGTGGTTATATTTCGACCGATGATGCATAACAAGGGTGAAACTAGAATACACATTTGTCTCATTGTCCTTGTAGCCACGATCCTGCGGTCACAATTACACTTTTTGCCACCTGGACTATTTGTCATGTGTGAGCATTCGTCTTTAACCCTGAGCAAGTGAAGTTTCAAGTTGATTTTGTTGAACCAGATGAGAGACAAGGATGAGCTTCATTTGCAGGAGCGACCTGGGTCACCACCGTGGCCAGTCCCCGCCGATTCCACTCCATCTCAAATCATCGACGTGTCCACCTTGAGGTGCCGCGCACGTCCCCCGTGCCGCCCCCGGTCTCACCGGGCAGGCCGCGGTTGTTGAAGCTCCAGGTGAGCGTGGGCGCGGGGATTCCCGTGGCGGCGCAGGTGAGGGTGAGCTGCTCGCCGCGCCCCACCGACACGTCGCCGGGCCTCTCCGTGAAGGCCGGGGGGGCGTGCACGACGAGGCGGGTGGCCCGCGCGTCGCTGCCCGCCACGCTCGTGGCCACGCACGCGTACTCCCCGCCGTCGCCCACCTGCGGCACACGCGTCCCACGTCGGGCACATTGGGATCTACGGGTGAAATGATTCGCCTCTCGCGAACGATTATTGTCGTCGCCGCTGTTATTGCCTCCTGAATCGTTGCCGGCGAGCGATGGAAGTGGACGGTGGCGTTGGTGCTCGCGAGGTCCACGTTTTGACGGTTATGCGGCGTTGACGGTGCCCGACTCGTATTGGGGGAAAGTCGCGCGTTTGGATTCAACAAATTGTTGCGATTTGGGGGTTGCGACGCAATCAAAAAATACTCAACTCTTGTGGAACACAATTAGGGTCTTACGCAGACAATTGTCAATGCATGTATTGTGATTCATTGATGATCATTCAAGCCAAGAGGCCACCTTGGCTAATGCTCTGGATAATACTTTCTACGAGATCCATTAATTATTGTAAAGTGGAGACCTAACTTTAAGTGCCTGCTCTCATAGTCAAACAAAGACTAATATCCCCCGTAAAGCCTTAACAGACTGTTGGGGCAAGTGCGGCCAGCGAGCACCTATGAAGGCTGGGACGGCACACGAGGGGGTAGTGACATTTACAAATTGGAACCAGGTACTCTTTTGAGACTGAATCGACATAGGGGAGGCCCTGGACCGGTTCACATAATCATCACTGGTGTTGGCCGTGAGCGGGAATTAAACTCGGGTCGCACGGGGTTTTTTGGGCAGCGCGCTAACCACTACATGCAGCCAGCTATGGCTCTAGGATTTGGTGTTACATGTTATTTACGTAGTTTATTGTAAAAATTCGGTCACAGTCCTTGTGATCACTGTTACGTTGCAATTATGGCTTTATTTTTTGGTGATTTGGAAAAGTTTTTTGGTTTGGACATGTTTGTTTTGTTGTAGTACGGAGTTAGACTGATGGTCTTAATCTAAGTTTTTGTGGTTGTTGTTGTTGTTGTTTGACTTGCATCCCACTGGGATTTTTTGCACACAGCGTTGGTGTACGGTGCTTTTTTCAGGAATATTTTTGCTGGTTTTTTTTCCATGAATTTTCTGTTTGCACAGTCACATAGTCACTTTAAGATGTTTTTCTTATTCGTTTTTTTGTTTTTTTGTTTGTTGTGGTTGCACCCGATTCAAGAGCCAAATGGCTCACAGGGCTATACCAAAATAAACTGAACTGAACTGAACATTACCACTCCCCAGTCTCACCACCACCAACACCATCTGGCTTTCAGCCTTCCCCTTTGTCACCGAACCTATGGGCTTCAACGTCTCGGTAATTTGCCCTCCTCCGCCCCCTCACACGTGTCCCACCCATCACAACATCCACCTCCTGCTGACTTCCACTGAATGAACCATTGGCCACGTAGCAACAAAGCATTACCTGGGCCTATAATTGAAAGTAAAAAAAAACAAGAACTTTGAGGCATCGACGCGGGCACCTGCACATCGTCCAGGATGAGATCCCCGGCCTGCAGGACGGTGAACTTGCCCGGCCGCTCGCGGAGGACATCGCCGTCGCGTCGCCACGACAGTTTCGGCGCGGGGCTCCCGTCGGCTGAGCAGGGCAGCACGGTGCGCGAGCCCTCGGTGACCACGAGGCTCGCCCCCGCACCGCCTCCACCGCTGCTTCCGGCCGCGCCGCGGACGCTCGGAGGGGCTGGCGCAACGGGGAGGCGAGGCGGTGACCAGGTTACGTTCGCGTGAGCCGCACCGCGTGCGACATTTAGCAGCCGCTCGTAATCCAAGTGACGGTATTTGGGGTCAGGCTGCGTGAACAGCATTTCTACTCTATTCTTGGTTCTTTAGAATCAAGAATATGAATCCCTGCAGTCACGAAAGCTTTAAATCATCATTTCTACTCTCAAGCATTTTGCATTGCACTGCTTACTGCGGGCATCGAATTAGACATCTGAAGAGGCCCACGGTAAGCAGTACCTGGAGAAAGACGGAGAGATTAAATTCTCAACATGCGGCTCAACACAGAACTTCATACTTGCAGTGCAATAAAATGATCAATCCACTGATGGATGAAGACCTTCCCTGGCCACTGCTACCTCTTACGACCTTGCGATATAATAATCCATCCCGCACCTGCGCACAAACTGATTTCATTGCTGCAGCCTCACAGCGGACATCCTTTCGGATGCATCGACGCGCAGAAACGCGGAGCGGCCACTCACTGTGCACGGTCAGCATCACGTCCACGCTGGCAGTCCCAGCTGCATTGGAGGCAGTGCAGGTGTAGCGGCCGGCGTCGCTGGGCCGCGCCGGCCCCACCTGTAGCGAGCCGTTGCTCAGGACGCGGTGACGGGCGCCGTCGCGCCGCACGGAGCGGCCGTCCGGGCCCAGCCACGCCAGCTCGGGTGCCGGGCTGCCATCGGCGGCGCACGGGAGGATCGCAACCGCGCCGGAGACGACCACCGGTTCCCGCGCCGAGGGCCTCATCGCCGGGGGGACTGCGGGCAGCATCAGGTGGCGACGTTACGATCCTCCGTACCGCCACCACCGGCGGACAGAGCCGAACATATTACGTTGTCGCGTGGATCGGGCATTTGACGCCTGTGCTCACCGGCTGTGTTGTAATGAAGCAAGTGACATCGTACGATGATCTTTCAAAACTAATTTGTGGGTAAAAAAAAGGTTGAAAGTCGGCAGCCTCTCGCTTGACTCGGTAGGTTTGGCAGGAATATGAATGTGGTGGTGTGTGGGGCGAGTGGTGCAAGTGGTGCTAGTGGGGCACGTGGTGTGAGTGGGGTGCGTGGTCTGAGTAGTGCGAGTGGTGTGACTGGGGTGAGTGGTCTGAGTGGTGCGAGTGGGGTGGGTGGTTCGAGTGGTGCGAGTGGTGTGAGTGGGGTGCGTGGTCCTCGTGGTGTGGGTGGTGTGAGTGAGCGCGACACGGCACCCACCATGCACCAGCAGCTTGACCTTGGCCAGCACGGTGCCGGCGGCGTTCTGCGCCACGCACACGTATGTGCCGCCGTCGGACAGCGCCACCTGCGAGATGTGCAGCGAGCCGCCCGGCTGCACTAAGAACCGGCCGCCTGCCATGCTCAGACAAAGACAAAGTTCCCCAATGTAGCTTTAACAAACGGTTGGGGAAAGTGTCATCAGTGATACGGCACAAGGGTGGTGGTGAGGCTACCACCACGTTCTACCGCATGTGTCTCCCTAGTGGTGAAGTTTACACACTGCACCAAGTACTCATTTAACGTTGAGTCGACCTAGAGGAGGCCCAGAACTGGTTCAAATATTTGCCACTGCTACTGATCGTGAGTGAAAATCGAACTCGGGCTGCCGGCTTCGTAGTGCAGCGCGCTTACCCACTGCAATACCTCTCCCCACAAAAGCAAACTCACACAAACACATCATCCTGGATAGGACATCAACATTACAGCAGTACTGTTCGTGAGTGCCTGTTAAGGGACAACGAGAAAACAAAACCGCGTCTCTCGCCACCGTCTCCGTGCCGATAAAACCCTCAGCCTCACCGCTAACGATGTCGACGCCCTCCCTTTGCCAGGACAGCGTAGGCTGCGGCCTGCCCGAGGCCTCGCAGGAGAGCGTGGTGCGCGAGTGCAGCGTAGCCTCCACGGCCGAGGGGGGCACCGTCACGATGGGGGGCCCTGGTGGGGTGGGGTGGGGGGGGGGGCACGACACAAAGACAAATGCGTCCCTGATTAACGGCTCCATACTCACAGACTGTTGGAGCAAGCGCCGTTTGCGAGTGCTGCAACCGCAGACGAGCGGGGAGGCAGCCAGAACCGGCACCAACAATTTCCCAAGTTTTGTGCTCCTATATTGCTATATTTGGCCAACTCCAAAATGAAACAAAACAGACCGAGTGACTTACAATACCGAACAATAAGCAGCTATATAACAAGAGATATTCACACAGAAGGACTGTGCTGTGGCACTGTTACATGGAATGTGATTAAAAGCGATTTCCTCCTCAAATGAGCATCTCCAATTTACAGCCAATTTTGTAAATTCCACAATTCTGTCCCAGGGACGAATTTATCCAAAGGACAACCACTGTTTATTTCCTTATGAGGTGGTAATAATTTTATGAACCCTGGAGGGATGATGGGCCGAGTCAACTCCCAACTGGGACTTGAACACACAACCCTCTCCAATGCGAGCGGCTCGCTCTAACACTGAGCCACCTGGCCGGTCCAGGTCTGAGATTGCCCCATTGAATTGACCGACTGATTTTCTGTAATTATTTAATCGCCACTGAAGGAATACATTTGTACGAACGACTACAGGGGCAGGTTCCAGGGGCGGGTTGTAGGGGCGCACCACCTTGTCTGCCGACCCGTTGAGGATTCCAGGATAAAGAATCAAAATCATCCCGGCATTCCCTGCGGCGCGTGCTGTGGACTGCCGGTGGCGGCGGCAACTGACCCTGCACGGTGAGGGAGACGTGCCGGTGCGCCGTGCCCGCCGCGTTGCGTGCGGTGCACGTGTAGCGGCCCGCGTGGCTCGGCATGGCCGCCGAAACCTCCACCGTACCTGGGGAACACGGCGCGACAACAACAACAAGGACAACAACAACAACAAGGACAACAACATTCTGTACTCAGAATCGGAATCATTTTATCAACACTAGAGGAAGCCGATGAGCTCTTAAGATATTTTTCACAGATGTCCAGTAGGGGCATGGCGTAAGAACGTTACAACAACCGAAAAATACAAAAACATGACAGTAGTGCAAAGTACAAGAAAACTAAACCATCCCCATCCTACCAGGCAAAGCCCACTGAGGTGCTAACTTATTTTTCAGAAACGAAATGGCCAAAAATGATAGCTCAACAAAGTGGCTCCATCATTTGGATATTTATAGCACCAAAATAATCGGATTCATATAAATGCATGTTTATAAATGTGGAGGGAAAAATCGGAGGACCCGGAAAAAATCCACACAACCACGAGGAGAGACACATGAAAACTCCAAATATACACCAGGCGTCAGGGTCGAGATCGAACCCCCGACCTCCTGCATACCAGGCAAGGAAGATAACATCACACCACCATCGTTTTCATCGACCTCAGAGTGATGGCCGTTGAAACAGAGATGCCACTGCTGTTATAAAAAAAACGTCGCCACGGTTACCGGTGGACAGCACGGCAAATCCGTCGCCGGCGTTGGGCAGACGTGTGCCGTCCTTGCTCCAGTGCACGCTGGGCTCGGGCGCTCCGCTCGCGTGGCACGTGAGCAGCACGGGGGAGCCGTGCGTCACCACCAGGTCGTCGGCCTCGTCCGCGATCGACGGGGGTACTGGGGTGGGTAGGGAGGACGGCGTCAGTGGGAAGGCAGGCGGGCGGGAGGGATTGGAAGCAGCGGGGAAGTGGGTGGCGGTAGAGGGGACGGGAAGAGGGCGGTGGAGGGGATGTACATGGAAAGGGGGCTGCAGGTGAGACAGTTACGAAGGGTAGCATTGGAGCTCGTAGGAAAGGGGGCAGCCGTTTGGGAGGAGAGGAAGTGGATGGCAGCGGTGGTAACAGCATAGGTAGGAGGAACATTGATAACCATGGGAGAAGGGAGGAATGAAAATTAAACACTCCGTTATCATGTTCCTTATTAACGCTCCGACATGTCCTTTGTGCCTGTGGAGAAGATCAATGCCCTAATACCTAGCACGGTGAAGTCAATGGTGATCCGCTCTTCCCCGACCTCATTAGCTGCTGTGCATTCGTACTGAGCCGTGTCTTCGGGGTCTGCCGACGCGAAATGCAGTGATCCTGTAGACAGCAGCCTGTAGCACAATACACATGGTTCTGCAATTGAAATATCTACAGTGAGTTTTTTTTTAAATGAATAGAAAAAGAAAGCATTCCCACTAATACATTTTACATTTAATAAACATTTACTATCTGGTAGGCATATAACAATTTGCTGCCCCTGTGACTCAATCACTTGTCTGAATTTAAGATCACAATTAAATTTGAGAATTATCACTTATATTGTCTGTGTCATCCCTTCAGCCTTATTTTTGTAACCTTAACCACTTCACTAAGATACATGATCATGTAATCCATAAGTAAGACGTGTGTCATTTACAACACACCTTTTACTCACGCGATCGGACTCGAAAAATCAAATTAGAATCGTATTGGTCGTGATAACCTAAGTGTTAAGTTTCAAGGTAAGCTTGGTAAACTATCAGTAATTGACCACGCAAGATTCCACATCTATATCGTGAGCATAAAATAAACTTTAAATAATTGATCAATTATTTGTTACATGCCGACTGTTTGGCATTGAAGGCCCACACGTTGGCAAGGGTACCTGTGCGTGATTTGCAGCCTGTCCACACCGAAGGGGCGGCCGTTTTTCTTCCAGGAGACAGCAGGCTTGGGTAGGCCGGAGGCCTCGCAGCTGAGGGTGGCCTGGCCCCCCACAAGGGCCGTGACGTTCGTGGGGCCTCGTGCGATCCCTGGGGGCACTGAGAAGGCAAACCTCGGTTGAATAGTGAGACAAGGAAAGAGGAAAAACATATTAAACATTGTGGCATGGCTCAGATTTTAAATGCATTGCTGCAGTTCATTAATGTTCGTACATTATAATAGACTTTCCCTGTACCACAGTTGTTTTTGTTTCGATTTGTATTTGCTTCAGCGATACTTTCATTTTACTTTATTGCTTTTGTCATTTTGGTCCACACTTGCAAATGAAACTCACTCATCCTGGCCTCTTTGAGCTCTTTACCAAGCTAAACAATAAAATGTGAACGTTATGTGGGGGAGTCAGTGGCTCGGAAGCCATCATCGCAGGGGCCATCGCGGACCAACACCGTGGACCGGCCTGGGGCAATGAGTACCGAGTACGGTGAGCGTGACGGTGACGCGGTCCGATCCGGCCGCGTTGGAGGCGACGCACGCGTACGTCCCCGCGTCGCTCGCTCGCACCGACACCACCTCCAATGATCCGTCCGGCAGCAGCGTGAACCTGCGCCACGCACGCGCGCGGCGCCGGGGTGAGCGTCGGCGCTCGTTAAACGAGCCTCTCGCGCGCCGAGCAGAGCCGCTCCCGTTGCGCAAGGAGAACACTCCCAGATGCGCGCAAGAGTACGGCATTTGCTTGAATGCCGCCGAAGTAATTCTTATCGACAGCAGTGGGCTGACAAAGACCTGTAAGTTATTATATTGATAATGATTTTTTAATCTGCGTGAGGAAACCAAAGCGTCGCGTGGGGTTGAGGTTCCAAAACCGTGCCTGGCATTGTCGTCCGAGAGGAGGGCCCCGTCCTTCCTCCAGCTGAGGGTGGGAGGCGGGGATCCCATTGCAGTACACGGGAGCACGGCCGCCCCCCCGAGATGCACGCTCACCTCGCCGGGGCCCCCCACGACGCTGGGGCTCACTGCACGCGCACAACCGGACGCAGCGTCGATCGCACGGCACCCGCGTTCACAACCGTGTAAAAAATAAAAAACGGTTCGTAGTAAGATTCAGTTACGGAAAAGCACCAAAATGGATTGAGGGAGAGAGAGCGTGTGCGGAGGGTGGGGGGAGGGTAGTGGGCGCGTCCCACCCAGCACGGCGAGCGTGAAGGTGCGCGACGAGCTGCCGGCGACGTTGGAGGCGACGCACACGTAGCGGCCTGCGTCCTCCGCGTCCGCGCCGCTGATCTGGACGTAGCGGCCGCTCGCGAGGATCCTCACGCGGGGGGACGCCTGCCGTGCCGGGAAGTCGCGGACACCGGGGGCGCGGTGACGGACGTTCGTTACAAGCGGGAAGATGCCCACCACCAGCATGTGTTTTTTTTATTGATATTTACCAGAGAATATACATTGAGTGTTTATTTTTAGTAATATATTTCAAGAGCTTAAAATTATGTGACCGCAACCTCTTGGGAAATGTAAAGATCCACCTCTGGTAACGAGGCAGCTTGCACTGTAGGTTCACCGCACGGAAACGTGTGCTGGTTCAGCAGAGGTGCTTCTTAGAAATAACAACGTGATAAGCAAGGCATAGGAATGGGAGTGGTGTCTTCCTGCCGTTTGCGAACACACTTTGCGTGTTGCTTTATCTCTTGAGTTGGTGGTCTAGAAAAGGCTGAGAGCATTGTACGTGCAATGTGATGGTCACACGGCATGTATGTTTAGCTGTTGTTTGTGAACAGCACACTGCGTTGTTGCGATGCCTATTTGTGTTCGTCCTGAACGCATTCTCCTGTTGCGATGGGCGTCCCGCAATTCATGGAAAGTGTCGCATTTGAAGGTGCCCTGTCACCCAGTAGTAGAATGATCATGGCGGACGACCATGATTATTATTCGTAATAGAGATTATTGGGTTAGATCACGTAAATATAAATGTGTCGTTAAAACCGCCACCACCAGACACAGCCAAAAAGGTTTGTCACGTAAACAAAACATGCCAATGTGTTACTAGTTCACCTCACCGTTGTGTTGTGAGAGTAAACCCACAACATTTACAATTCGAGTACGATTATTATTATATGCGTGGAGATTTCTACGAGCGCTCTGATGCCTGCCGCTGCCTGGGCCAGGATCCCAGGCCAGGATCTCAGACCAGGATCCCAGGCCAAGAGGCCAGGCCAGGATCCCAGGCCAGGAGCCCAGGCAGTGTCCAGACCTGCAGGGGTTCATCGTCCTTGAGCCAGGCGAGCGTGGGTGGGGGCGACGCGTCCGACCGGCACTCGAGCGACACCTGCCCGCCGCGCGTCACGCTCACGTCCTGCAACTCCACGCTGCCCGCAATGTTGGGGGGCACTGCAACGAAGGGAGGGAGCGGAGGGACAGGTTCGACCCCCCTCCCCCGGTTCTCACAGCAGACTCCTACCTTGGAACGCTCGGGGGCTCTGTCGCAGGGATCGCCGGTGATGTGCATGTGGATTTGATTCCCTTTCGTAGACTCAACCTGACCCTTTTTACGCATTCGAGGTACCATTGCCGCTTCCATAAATGGCCCATCCTGGGCCTCCCCTCCATCATCTTAGTCTTTACTTTTTTATTCGTGATGATTTCGATATTACTTTGGTAATTGTATTCAATAAAACGCAATCGTTTTTGAGTGTCCCTTCCTCTAACCCTGAAACAGCATTGTTGATATCAGTACATTTGCACTACTGGTAACAAAAAAAAACAGAACACAAAACTTCGACTGGTTTTGTTGCAGATATAAATGTCTAGAGCAATAATCATACAATGTTTACTTTTTAAACTCAGAATTGAAGGCAGCTGCCATGGTGTGATAGTTTGCACACTGGACTTGTTATCCAGAGGTCACCAGCTTGATTCCATTTCCCAGGGTGGCAGCAGAACAAAAATGGGGAGAATGGCCTGCATTGGAGTCTCCTCCACCAGCCGTGGCGTAAGCAAACAAACAATTACACGGTGCCAACTTTACCCTTGAACAGATGTACTTAGGCCACCGTGCCATTTGTAGATTCACACATGCCAATCGGTGCATTCATGAAAATACTTCCACGGGAAACTGTTCCTGACACCTGCATTTCAGAACCGGTAATTGATTCTGCAAAAGGTCTCACCCGGTTTACCCGGTTGTCACTTACGAGCATGGATCGACAGTGCAACTCACCGTGCACTTGGACAAGAAATTCCTTCTCTGTGTCGCCTGCAGGACTGGAGGCCAGGCAGGTATACCGGCCACCATGCTCCACCTGGTTGAGAGTTTGCAAACTCACATTATTGTGGTCATCGCATTCCGATAACAAAGGAAGCAAGATACAAAAAGTATTAAATGCGAACAGAAGGCTGGCTTTGCATATTGAAACGTACATTGGGAGTGATCTATACTTAAAAAAATAGAACCCCCTTGGAAACAATATATTTAAAGAGGGCATAGAGGCTGGAGTGCCTTGCAGGCCTGAATAGCGATATTGGATAGGGAAATAAGAAGTCTGCCACTTAAACTATTGCTGCTGGATAACGTTGATCTGGGAGGACCAATTAACGCGTCCACTGATCTGTCCTCTCAGCATCACCCGACGTCTCTAAAATATGGCGGCATCAGCCCGACCGCCCGGCCGCCCACCCGCCCGCCCATCCGCCCGCCCGCCCGCCCATCCGCCCACCTGCCTGCCCGCACGCCCGCCCGCTCACCGTGGCGCTGGCGATGCGCAGGGTCTGCCCCCCCGGAAGCACAGTGAGACCCTGCGCATGAGGCAGGGGGCGACCGTCCTTCAGCCACGTGAGGCTAGGTGGGGGGCTGCCTGCGGCCACGCACGTCAGCTCCAAGGAGCCCCCCAGCAGCACGTTGAGCTCCCGCGCCTCCTCCTCCTCCTCCAACCCCTCGATCACCGGCGGCTCTGATGGCAAGAGGAGAAGCAGCTTGTAGGGGGTGGGGGTTCACCGTGAGCCCATTCAAACCGAGTCTCCCCCACGCGACCACAGACAGAGTGACTGTGATGAATTTCGATTAAAACTTTCGTGACTGCAAGGATTCATCTTCTTTGGTTCTTTCGGTAAAGTCACGTAGAATGAGAATAAAATAATAAATTAATAAAATAAAATAACACAATAAAATTCTCACGACGTTTCGGCCACAACACAAGTGGCCTTCTTCAGGTGAAAGGAGCAGACCTGTTGGGACGACAGAGCTTCAATGAACGTTGTTAAGATTTGTAGCGTCTTTTAAGCTGGTTTAGAGCTTAAAAGGTGGGGGCGGTCCAAACATGTATAGGTAAAAAAAAAAAGCTTCCGACATTTCTAATAAAAATAATAATAACACATTCACTCTCTCTATTTTCTCCATTAAGTAAAATACCAATTTCGGGGTCTCAAGAGGGGGATGATCACTCCCGTGTGTGTGCGAGTGAGTGAGTGGTGCATCGGCCAGTCATTTGGTCAACCCATGGCACCTGGGCCTGTCCAGTGACCTCCTGCCAGTGGGCGTTGGACACTTCACGTGCCCTTAAAGTGAACGTAGCCTGGCACAAGCGCCGCGGTGACGTCACCGCCACTTAGTGACGAATGGCGGTCGCTGTTTTTCGTTGTTTGAGCGAGTGAGTGGGCGAGCTGCGAGAAGGCCTCACCCTGCACGGTGAGGAGGAAGTGCTTGCTGGTCTGTCCGGCCGCATTCACGGCCACGCAGCTGTACACTCCGGCGTCCGTGGGCGAGGCGTTCGCGATCTGCACCAGCAGGCCCTCTTCACTAGGAAAGGCCGAGGTCTCGGCTGCAATTACAGAAACGACCGTCGTGGTTCAAGACTCTCATCGTGATGAAGCATTCCATTTAAATGGCTTCAGGTTTTTGTTTAATCTCTGAAAGGAAATAACGTTTGGGTAAAATTTGATTGCGCTATTCTGCCATGAAAGGGAACTATTTCCGCCATGGAATTACACACGCACACCTATCGCTCTTCACGGAACCAATTTTGAGATCACACAGAAGGGGCTAGCACTTTCCCATCCACTCAGCTACAGATAATAATGGTCATTGGGTCGCAGTCAAATTTGTCTGGTTACTTCTGAGGGACGGAATTCAGATAACTTGTTTGGAGAACCCAATTTTACTTAACAACGTTTTTGTGTGCAGTCATTGTTGATCACACAAGACTGCCTAGATGTGAACCCAGACCTCAGCAGTCGCAGGGTTCAGTGCTCTCACTCGAGCCACCTCAAAAATGAAGGGTGCCCTTGAATCAAAGAACCGTGTCAATTCACGGGGGCGAATGATCACATTCCCTAACGACAACAGCGCTAAGGTTTCTCACCCTGTGCTTGTGCACGAGTGAGCTATCTCTTCCCTCAGTCTGGCCGTGCCCTTGCGGCAGGGGCGCGGGTGCAACCGTACGTACGCTTCGCGGGCGCCGACATGACGCCGCCGCCGCCGCCGCCACCACCGGGCGGGTAGAGCTGCCGGCCCTCGTGCAGCCAGGTGAGCATCGGCGGCGGAGAGCCGGTGGCCTCGCATGCCAGCGTGACGGACGCGCCGGCCAGCACCTGCAGCTCCTCCGTGTCTCCCGCGCCCTCCAGCAGAGGGGGCACTGGGCAAAGGGGGAGGCACGCGCTTGGCTGAGGACCGCTCTCTGGTGGCGCTCTGCCCCCTGTGTTGGCAGTGCCAGGGTGAGATGACGCACGCCAACGAGGATCCTATTGAGCGTGCCCCGCGCGGCATTGATTGTTGCGAACGACGTATCTGACTCACTAAACGGGAATCGTTTTTTTGTTTTAAATGCCACAGTGCCTAACATAAAAAAATGATATTCCTTGTATGAATTAATTAAAATATATTTTTTTCGACCATAGCTTTTAGCTACTTTCTAATCGTCGCACCCGGACAGCGTGCGCATCGTCACGCCAGTGAAAGTGCAGTATCAGACGCTAGGCGACAGCGGATAGTTATACTCTTTGGTTTTATTCGGTAAAGTCACGTAGAAAAAAGAAAAAAAATTAAATCACGACGTTTCGGAGGCAACACAAGCTTCCGTCTTCAGGTGGAAAAGTCAACGCAGAATACCTGTGTTAGGAGCACAGTTCAGAGACGACCTTGGATTATATACAGGTTAGGGGAGGGGGGAGGAGTCAGTAAGGGGGCACGGGTGGGTGGGAGGGCTGGGCTAAGCAGCCTTTTGATAGAATGCTGCGGGTAACACCCACTTCTCAAAGCTCACATCAAAGGGCCCCCCGATGTGGACTCACATCAAAGGGTCCCCCGTGCAAGCTCACATCAAAGGGCTCACATCAAAGGGCCCCTCGATGTGAGCCCACATCAAAGGGTCCCCCGGTGCGAGCTCACATCAAAGGGCTCACATCAAAGCGGATAGGTAGGTGGAGATAGATGGGGTGGGGATAGAGAGAAGGACGGAAATGAGGCCACGTGGTTGATGCTGTTTTGACGAACCCTCAGGACGCCCCATTTTCCCTTTGGCCCGGCTTCTGTAGATTACAACTCTGGTGGTGAGCATGGGGCACTTGTTGCTCACCTTGTACCCGGAGGGTGAATTCTCTCTGGGTGATGCCGGCACGGTTGGAGGCCACGCACGTGTACGTGCCACTGTCCGACGCCTGCACTCGGGCGATCCTGCGCACGTTGTGGTCACGCCACGCAAGACGGGCATTAAGAATGCTGACGTGGGGTTTTGCCCGAATTTAAAAGCTGGTTATTTTTGTTTATTTATTTGGCCTACTTGCTCCTCCTTACCACTCATTTTTTGGGGGCATGTATTTGAATTATTTGTGGCTTCTAGTGGTTTGAGAGTCTTCATGTTTTCTAGGCATCTTTATTAAAATGCTCTTCAATATTCACAGAATTTTTTTCATGACAATCACTGTGAGGGAACAAAGATCTTTCCATCTGGGAATTTCCTCAGGAGAAACCATCTTTTCGGAAATTATTCCTTGAAGTGGGCCTTCTTTCCCGAAGGCCTGTTGGTTGAAATGGCAAGATCTGATTTTTTGGCCGGGCCACCATACACACAATCTGGGACAAATTTGCATTGTTGACTACCTGGACATATCCAAACAAATAAAATAGTCGCATTTCACGAGCATTTAACACACCGATTATTATTATTGCTCTGGCTCATCAGTGAGTTGAAGAACAAGCCTCACAGCCAGATATTTGCAACCAGATAGGATGCTTCATTTTACACTGTCACACATCATCGAGACAAGGTCCAGGAAGTTAAAATAGCTTCCTTTAAAAAAAATACTTCCTGGATATATTTACAACTATGATCGCGCTCTTTGTTGCTGGCCTCTGGACCTGTGCTCAGCAACTTTGTAAAAACAATTTAAAAAAAAACTTTCAGAGGCCCAGAAAGCCTGGTGCTCACCTGAGCACCTGCCCGGCAGAGAGCAGCATTGTGTGGGCAGACAGCGGCAGGGGCAGCCCGTCCTTCAGCCAGGAAAGCTGGGGGGGCGGTGAGCCAGTGGACATGCACTCCAGGCTCACCGGCCCATCCAGGGGGGCCAAGACCTCCAGGGGCTGGTCCAAGACCCCCTCCACCACTGGTGGAACTGGCATCGACGCACAGACGGACGGACGGACGAGGAGACAATCTCATATTGTCGAACGAGCGCACAAACAATGGTAGGCGAATATTGAATGCAAAAACATCACGTTAAACGCGAGCGTTTCTATATGAGTGGCCTTTTGTAAATCCACTGCTGGATGAGGGCAGTGCAGGGTGTGCGTTTTATTTGAACCATCACCCTGGTCAATGAGGGTTGCTTAAGACGTGGCGAATGCTGCAATGGATTATGCTGCACTGCCCCCTGCTGACAATATTAGGCACGCAGGAACCTATTGACGACCTGGCATGCATTGGTGGTCACCCATCCAGCCTGAACCCTGCTTCGGATCTAGTGAGATCCAGGGTGACTAGAGCAGGCGCATACTGGGTGATTTTGTCGCAGACGACGGAGGCACAAGCAAATTGAAACGTTCCCCACACGTTATCGTCCAGCAACGTGGCAGAAAATGTTAAAAGAAAATACACTTGTAAAATGTATTTCGTTGCTTTTTGAGTATTATGGCTTCGTGAATAGCAACTTAAAGTGTGAAAGTCACGTAGCAGCTTCAGGTGACGCTGAGTTAATTTCTCCTGCTGTCGCTGTTGCTGCTGCCGCTGTTGCTGCTGCCGAGTCCCTGCTGAATCTGAGACCTTTGCAGTGGCTTGCAAAGCGCCCCACGGTTTTACAATGCGCCCTGCGGTTCGCAAGGCGCGCCGTGTTGTACAAGGCGTTTCTTCGGTTTCACAATGTGCCCTGCGATTTTGGTCGGGTCTCAGCAGTCACATTCCAGGCTCCCTTTGATTGTCCGTTCGTGAATGCGGCGAACCAGCTTTGGCTTGACGACGGGCCGTCCGCATTCGATTGAGCGAAGTGCTTCCCTTGTTGGCAAGGGTTGCCACTGCACCAGGTGGTTTAGCGGTGGCATCCGACGTCTGATGTTTCTCCGCGCACAGAGACCCGGGGGGGGGGAGCCGCCCTCACCGTGGACGTGCAGCGTGTAGATTCGCTCCTCCTCTCCGGCCGCGTTGGTCGCCACGCACGTGTACTTCCCACTGTCCGAGATTTCCACGCTCGCAATGGTCAGCACCGCGTCGTCCTTCGAGATGCTGGGCAGGAGATCGGTGTGCGTTAAAAGCGGCGAGCGCCGCACTTGCCGGACGCCACGCTAAGACCACGTGTTGTGCGCGTGGCGCAGCTGTGCGAGCCGTTGCAATCCGGTCAGATAGAGGAGGGCTCGGCGGACCACTTTACAAGCGTAGTTGTGAAACTGCCGCCCGTTCACTCTCAAGCACAGTTTTTACTTCTTTTCGCAACATCTGTTCGGTCGCAAAACTTTGTCCTCACTAACACAGCGCCTCACGCTCACCCTTACCCGATCCCCTAACCCCCACAAAAACGCTAACCCATAGCAAACATACGTCCGCAGCAGAGAACAAGGAGCGGACGATATACATTTACAGCGGCTCGGCGCTAGCGACCGCCGAGCCGCGCGGCGACCTCCCGGCGCGGTGCTCACCGGATGCGAGCGCCGGCAGCGCCGGCGAGCGGCCGCCCGTCGTGCAGCCAGCGCACGGCCGGGCTGGGCTGCCCGGAGGCCGAGCACCGTAGCGGCACGTCCTCTCCGACCACCACGTTCACGTCGCTGGGCAGCTCCGAGCCCGAGATCCGGGGCGGCACTTCGCACGCGCAGCGCAAAGTACGGCAAGGGCCTTCGTCATCGCTCTGTCTCGGTCAACCGAGTAATTGTCGGCATTCGCAATGGGGTAATTTACAGGTGGCTTCTCGTAATTGGAATGTTTGGCCCATTCTAGTTCTGTTTTTTAAATTCATTTTTTATTGTTTATCGGTGAGGGAGGAAACAATAGAACGCCGAGGAAAGCCATTTAGAACGGGGGGATCATACCGACTCCGCACAGACAAGCACCCCAGTCGGGAATAGAACCAATGTGCTTTTGTTGTGCGAGGCACCGGCACTATCACCGCGCCTTCTCCCTGCCACGCGCAGGTCTTGAGCGTGAACGACCGATCTCGTGTCGCCGTCTTCTTAGGAGCGGGGCCTCTTTGCTTACCCAGCACGGTGAGGGTGTAGCGCTTGCGGGCCTCCCCCTCCGAGTTGGTGGCCACGCAGGAGTAAACGCCCGCGTCCGACACGTGGACTCGCGAGATCTGCAGGCGGCTGCCGCCCGACAGCACCTGTCTCTCCAGCGAGTTTGTGCTTCCTGCGCGGGAGGGTCACGCGCTCGCTCAGCGGCCATCAATGAGAAGCTCATACAAGGAAATGTACAATCATAATAATACAACGCGGATTTATTTATAAAAACGAAAGAAAAAAATATGGATTGATCCGTCAGGGCCCTTACCAATAGAGAAGCCATTTCGTTGCCAGGAGACGGCGGGGTGGGGGACGCCGGCGGCGTCACAGCCGAGGATTGTGGGATTTCCCAAAATCTCGGTCACAGACTCCTCCGGGGGGCCTTCGATGCTGGGGGGAACTGAAAACAAAGACGAAGAGCCCCGTGTGGACAATGTGGAACTGTTGGGAGAGGTCTTGTTAGCAAGCACCTATAAAGGATAGGGGGAGCTCTAGAAAGCCAACAGTAATATGAGCAAGTAATTGCAGGGCTGCACCTTTAGCTATAATTATGCCTTCACCGCCATCTGGAATCTCAATTCAGGAAATCCTCACTGAGTCTCGAGACTGTGAAAAGAGAGCTCTGTTTTTTGGTCTGCCCTAAAACTGAGAGTTCACAAAAAAGAACGAATTTATATCGGAGAATAACATCCCAAACGACCCTTCCCCCTTCCCGAGAATAGCAACCACGACTGTTACCCGCGTGTGGACTAGGCAAGGGCCCGAATGGACTGTGAGGAGCTGGAATCAGAGCCGCACGGCTTCTGTAACGTGGGGAGATAGAACCAGAGTCCAGGTACTGTTGGTGAGCAGTTGCTGGTCGAAAAGATCCCAATCCCCCCCCCCCCCCCCCCACGGTTGTGTTTGTGAGGCAACGCGTAACGGGGAAACGGCGCTTCCACGTTCAACAACTCCCCCCACCAACCCCACCACCGAGACTCATGTCCCGTGGTGATTTTGGTGACCGGCCCCGCTGGAGGGGATGGCACTGCCTACCGTTGACGCTGACAATGAAGCCTTGGTCGACTTCGCCCGCCACGTTGGACACCTTGCACACGTAGTGGCCCGAGTGTGACACCTGAAGGTAATCGTCGACATCATCATCATCAACATCATCATCATCATCAACATCATCATCAACATCATCGTCAACATCGTGATAATCATCAATATCATCAACATCGTCATCAACAGTCATCATCCTGAATATCAATATCATCAACATCATCATCAACATCGTCATCAACATCATCATTAACATCGTCAACATCATCATCAACATCAGTCATCAACACCAACATCGTCAACATCATCAACATCATCACCAACATCATCATTATCAATTTTGTTGTCAGCATCGCCATTGTCATTGCTGCTTCATTGTCATATACAGTCGAGACAATGCCTCACAGAAATATACAGCCAGTTAAGGCAGACGAACAGCAAGATACAGTCTTATTGTTGTTATTTATCTTACTACTACGCTTGTAAACCTGAGAAAGCTTCACCCAGCCTCAAGGCTCTTTTTCAGGAGGGTCCTGCCAAGTTTTTGATATTTGGGATGACGTCGCTGTTGCTGCTGCTGCTGCTGTGCGTGTGATCCCAGTTGAGTAATGTTCAGGTCATTATTTTACATCGGGTTGTTTGACCGATGTCAGTGACATGGTGTACCTTTGTTGAGCCGTGGGAGGAAAGTGGAGGACACGAAAGAAAAGCCCGCGCACGACAGTGCGGGAGATAGAACACGTAAAGCCCACGCAGAAAGGCGCCCCGAGTTGGGAATCAAACCCAGGGCCCTTCCCTTGCCGCCAGAGCGTCAGCACCGCGCTGCGGCCCTCTCACCTGGGCTCGTGCCACCTGCAGCAGCTGCCCGTCCTCCCGCAGGACGACTCCCTCCGAGTCGCCCACGCGGCGCCCGTTGTGGAACCAGGCGACGAGGGGCGGCGGCGACGCCTCGGCGGCGCACTCCAGCGCCAGGGGCTGCCCCGCGCGGACGCTCGTCACGGCCGGCGCGGGGCCCCCCGCTCCGCCCGAGTTGCGGATGCTGGGCGGCACTGGGGACGCAGAGGCGAGGGGGCGTCAGCATGCAGCCTCGACACGTGGCATTGACAAGGCGTAGCTTGAACACGTACCGTCTACACGTACCGTCCACACGTACCGTCGACACGTAGCATTTTGCAGCCAACGTTACGATCCGTTTTTTGAGTTTTTAGTGATGCCACAGAACGATCCGCACGGCACTGAATCAGAATATTTATTGAAACTAAGGGAATCCGGTGAGCTGTAAAGCTCTTTTCTCACAGATGTCCACTGACCGTGCACGCTCAGCCGGGTGTCCTTCTCGTGGCGGCCGGCCGCGTTGGAGGCGACGCAGGTGAACCTCCCGCTGTCCGACAGTTTGACACGCGGGATCTGCAGCACGCGGCCTCCTGACAGCGTGACGGGACAGGGTCAGGGTTAGCCTAGGGGTTAGCCGAGGGGTTAGCATAGGGGTTAGCCTAGGAGTTAGCCTAGGGGTTAGCCTAGGGGTTAGCCTAGGGGTTAGCCTAGGGGATAGCATTGGGGTTAGCTTAGGGGTTAACCTAGGGGATAGTCTAGGGGTTAGCCTAGGGGTTAGCCTAGGGGTTAGCCTAGGGGTTAGCCTCGGGGTTAGCATTGAGGTTAGCCTAGGAGTTAACCTAGGTGTTAACCTAGGTGTTAACCTAGGTGTTAGCCTAGGGATTAGCCTAGGGGTTGACATAAGGGTTAACCTAGATGTTAGCCTAGGGGTTATAGCCTAAGGGAAAGCCTAGGGGTTAACATTGGGGTTAGCCTAGGGGTTAACCGAGGTGTTAACCTAGGTGTTAGCCTAGGGGTTAGCCTAGGGGTTAGCCTAGGTGTTAACCTAGATGTTAGCCTAGGGGTTAGCCTAGGGATTAGCCTAGGGGTTGACATAGGGGTTAACCTAGATGTTAGCCTAGGGGTTAGCCTAGAGGTTGGTCTAGGCATTAGCCTAGGGGTTGACATAGGGGTTAACCTAGATGTTAGCCTAGGGGTTAGCCTAGGGGTTAGCATAGGGGTTAGCATAGGGGTTAGCATAGGGGTTAGCATAGGGGTTAGCCTAGAGGTTAGTCTAGGCATTAGCCTAGGGGTTAACAAAGGGGTTAACATAGGGGTTAGCCTAGGAGGTAGCATAGGGGCTAGCATCGGGGCTAACCTAAGGCAGTGGTTCCCAAAATTTGGTCCTCAGGCCACTGGCCGTCCACAATGCCGTGGGAGATGGTCCAGGGAATTGGTTGCAGAAACAGCGAGACCTATTTTCTGATTCACAACACCGACGATTTGGTCGAGGCCACTTCACGATCTGGCCAAATTCATGTTATGCAACTGAATGCCACCCGAAACAGCCAAACAAATGTAACGTCGCATGCGCTGCGCTTGACGTGAAAATGAAGTTCACAATATTTGTGAAGAGGAACCCCCTCCAAGCTCTACGTTCCTCGACATATCAAGGTGTTATCGGTCTGTTGATGAGTTAAGTTTTTACACGTAGGCTTTCACGAACAATAGTTATGTGACAAACCTTCCGAAGTGGCTGTGCCGGGTGGTGGCGAGTTTAATGACACATTTACATTTACGTGATCTAACCCAAAAAAAAACCCCTCTAATATTGAAAATTAAAAAGGGTTTAGATGGTGAGAGGAAAGCAGAGCACCAGGATAAAAACTCACGTGTGTGGGGGGTGCAACACACTGTCCCGTACAGATGGAATGAATACATGGAGTCCACATTTGCTGTACCACCCCGACAAGCCAGGGTACGACACCTCTACCGATGCCCGCACGAAGGGACTTCCTCAACATTTGCTCCCACGATCCACCAACCCTCGTCGCCTCCGCAAGTTCCGGATTACAGGGCCGCGGGGAGCATAGCACCCACAGGCAAGTCCACGCGGCCGGCCACCGTGCCCTGGCGATCGCCCACACGCCCGCCCGCCCGCCCGCCCGCCCCCTGCCACGCACCGGGCGCGATGAAGATGGCTCGCGATGGCTGCACGGGAACTCCGTCCTTGAGCCAGGCGAGGGCGGGCGGCGGGAATCCGGATGCGTTGCAAACGAGCGACGCCGAGTTGTTGACCACGACGCCCACCTGAGCCGGGCTGGGGCCCTCCACGAACGGAGGCACTGAGCAGCGATGCGGTGACACGGAGGGTGGGCTCAAGGCTCCGGGGCTTCCGCGAGCAGCAGTAGCATCATCAGCAGCAGCAGCAGTAGCATCATCGGCAGTAGCAGCATCATCATCAGCAGCATCATCATCGGCAGTAGTAGCATCATCAGCAGAAGCAGCAGTAGCATCATCATCATCAGCAGTAGCAGCATCATCAGTAGAAGTAGCATCATCATCATCAGCAGCAGCAGTAGCATCATCATCAGCATCAGTAGCGACAGTAGCAGCAACATCATCAGCAGCAGTAGCATCATCATCATCAGCAGCAGCAGAAGCAACATCATCAGCAGCAGTAACATCATCATCAGCAATAGTAGTAGCATCATCAGCAGCCGTAGCAGTACCATCATCAGCAGTAGTAACATCATCAGCATCAGCAGAAGCAGCAGCATCATCAGCAGCAGTAGCAGCATCATCAGCATTAGCAGCAGTAGCAGCAGCATCATCATCCAGCAGTAGCATCATCAGCATCAGCAATAGTTGCATCATCAGCAGCAGTAGTAGCTTCATCATCAGCAGCATCAGCAGCAGTAGCATCAGAAGCAGCATCATCATCAGCAGCAGCAGTAGCATCATCAACAGCAGCCGCATTAACAGCTTCCTACATCATCATCAGTAGCATCAGCACATCGCCAGCTGTGATCACCATAATAACAGAAGTAGAACCCACAAAAAAGAAACACAAACATTAAATGCCATGTCTAATTAAAGCCACACCATACAAAAACCAATACATGTGAAAGTGTGTTTTGTTATCTTTATATTTACATATTTTCAGTGGAATTCATAAAGAACCAGTACTCGAATGTTACCAGTTCAAATCCAGCCTGGGGATTGCGGGAATGTCAACAGTGGTTGTCCTATGGATACTCGCCCCACTGCCCTCCGCCCCCACTAAACAAACATGGAATTTCCTCCGGCGGCTCAGGGGTTGCGAGCGGGAGATGAACTCCAACGGCTCAGCCGCTCATTTGAGTTAGCGGACGCCGCGGGAACTCACGGTGCACGTTGAGGTTGAAGAGCTTCTCGGCTCGCCCCACCGAGTTCTCGGCCACGCAGGAGTAGCGGCCCGCGTCGCCCACCTGCACCGGGTGAATCTAGGGCAGCGACAGCAAGCACAGGGTGGCACGGTCACCGCACGCACGCCGCTAAAGCCTCCGGAGAGCAAGGCAACGGGACCCTAGCTGCTTTCTCTCCGGAGAAGGTCACAGCCGCCGCGTATGGGTTACAGGACGCTGGCCCTTTCGTCGTCACAGTCGTCAAAGCCAGAAAGCAGGAGAACAGGAGACCGGTCATCAGCACCACGGCGGCCACCCACTTTGTCACCCCAGTGCCGATGTTTATGCCTCGCTCCGGGCGCTCGTTCTCACTCGCGGCACCGGTTCAGACATCGCTCGCCGTTCACGTCAGCCATGGACGCGAACCGACTCGGTCCACCGGATTAGGTCGGTCGGCGCGCTGACCGCTGCTTCACGACGACAACAACGGCGGCGGCAGCCGCCGCCATTCGCCACTGCGCTGCGGTGACGTCACCCCGGCGCTTGCGCCAGGCTAGGTGCGCACAGACAAACGAACGCGCATGTACGAGGCGCATTCTCGCGAGCCGACGAGGCGGGCACTACCGCGCGTCTCACCTGCAGGGACGTGAGCTCGGTCAGCGTTCGGCCTCCGCTCTTCGGCAGAGGCCGAGAGTCTCGGAGCCACGACAGGGAGGGCGGCGGCACGCCGTCCGGCACGCACTCGAGCCGCGCCGAGCCGTTCACCGTCACCGTCACGTCCACCGGGAGGCCTCCCGAGCCCCCCGCGATCGTGGGCCAGACTGCGTCCATAGGATGGGGAGAATCCGATTGTAGAACGGCCGGTGAATTTTCTGAGCTGGTTTTGTTTACAGGCAGTGCTCGACTTACGAACACCCGTACTTACGAACCAGCTTCCATGAAATATATTTTTTTTAATTTACATTGTATTAAATCACGAAATCTCACTTGCAAATTGTACCACGGCACTATTTTGTTCAGCTGAGCGATCCTCCGCAAGATGTAAATGAGTCAGCCTCGTGCTGGGAGTGAGATGTTTGTGAGTGTGTGTGTGTCGGTATTTCAATATAAAGTACATTGCTGTGTTCCGACTTACCAACCGTTCTAATGACGAATAAGCCTCAGGAACGAATTGTGTTCGTAAGTCGATGACTGACCTATTGAGCTCATTGTGGAGAGTCTCCTGTGAAGTGCACTGGTTACCAAGGCCGTGGGGGTGACGATGGTGATGAAGGTAAAGATAAAAGTAATAATGATGATGGGGATCAAAATAAGTAATGATAGTGGTGGTGATGATAATAGAGATGATCATGATGATGATCATGATGACGGTCATAACGGTGAAAACCATCACGCGAATTATAATGATGATGATTATGATGGTGATGGTGGCGGTAATCATGTTGATCGTAACAGTAATGGCGATGGTGATCGTGATAACACGTGTTGATAACGACAACAATGATGGTGCAGATGATGGAGATGCGAGTAATGATCTTAACATTGGTTTAGAATTTCGATGATGATCAAAAAACGTTGCAATGATGTTGGCGTCGACAGAATGGCGATCGTTCTTGTACTCACTGAGGACATGCAGGTCGTAGTGTATGGAGTCCTCCCCGGCCTCGTTCACGGCCACACACGTGTACCTCCCAGAATCCTCTGCTTTCACCATCATAATCTGCAGCATGTGACCTCCTGGCCAATCAGAGCAAAGCATGTCAGAGATGGCCCCCGGAAGATGACGTTCCAGAACAACCTTTGGAATTCCCTTCACAGCCTCGTTCTCCACGCTCAGAGCACGTGTGTGATATGTCCTGAAAAGAGTGTCCATAGGTTGTAACTGAAACTAAACTCTTTAATTCTCAAGGGCAGAAAAGTCCAAATGGAAAAAAAAACAACGTGGGTTTTTTTGTGTGTGTGTGCAGCCATTGCGGTTTGCCACCAGTCCCAGTCTCTCCAGGATCATCCTCGATTTGACGAAGCTATCGTGGGAAACCTGAAACTTACTTTTCTCTCAGGGCCCCACGGTGCATAGTGCAGTATTGCCGTGGCTGTGCAGAAGAGCCATTGCCCTGAACATCACCGATACATATATACTTGTGTCTCCTTCTTTCAGGGCCACAGTCTTATTGACAAATGTGTTTTTGGTTTAATGATGGGTGGCTTTATTGCGAATTCGAAAACGCAGGATCGGGGGGCTGTGCCGGCTGGGTTTCTCCAACACAAAGACAAAGATCCTCCACAAAGCGAGCACCTATGAAGGCCGGCACGGCACACGAGGGGGTGAGTGGCCAACACCACTCCCGGTCGCCTTTGTCTTCCCAGTGGCGATGTTTACTAGGGGAGGCCCAGGACCGGTTCAGACAATCGTCACCGGCGTTGCCCGTGAGCGAGAACCAGACCGGGAGTCTCCCGCTTTGCCACCCTTACCTGGGTGGATCATGAGGCGGGCGGTGGGGGCGAGGGGGCGGCCGTCCTTGAGCCACGTGAGCGTGGGGGGCGGCACGGCGTTGGTCTCGCACGGCAGGGACAGCTGGCCGTCCTGCACGACCGTGCGCGTCTCCGAGCCGCCCTCCCACACCAGCGTGGGGCCCTCCTCCTGGGCCTCGCTCCACTCGTACCAGCGCTGGAGGCTCGGGGGCACTGCGGGGGGCGGCGTGCCAGGACGGGGTGGGGGGGCGGGGGGGCGAGAGGCAACGCGCCGCCATTTCGTCGTCGTCGCCGTGGTGGCGGGAAGGCGACGCGGCAGCCCAGGGGCGCCGCGTTCGCGGTCTTGGTGCAGAGGTTCGCGGTTGGAATCCGGGAGGCCGCCCCGGTTATCACTGCCGGAGTACGAACTCGTACAAAAACTACGCGCTGCCTGCTTCGCAGCGGACGTCCAAGGTCCCCCGATGTTACTTGAAGCGAGTGGCCCACCGTGCGCCGCCATCAAGTTTGCCAAATCGATAAACAGCGCCACAAAATGTACTCAATTTAAGATTACACGTGGCAACATCGCCCCCTCGTGTAGCACCACTGCAGGCTGCGCCAGCTGTGAAACACAGCTGGTGCAATTCGAATGGTGCAAACGCCGAATGCGCTCCGCTATTTTATTTTATTTCAACGAACTGCTGTTAGCAATTCCTCCACCACGTGAAAAATTCTGCGCGCGCGCGAAAAAAGTTAAAAAAATCCAGCGGCACAATATAAACTAGACGCGCGACACAGATTTCCCGGGTCGCGACGGGCACCTTGCACGGAGACGAGGAAGTCGAGGTCATCCTGGCCGTAGGCGTTGGAGGCGACGCAGGTGTAGCGGCCGGCGTCAGCGAGGCGAGTGCGAGCGATGCGCAGCGAGCGGCCGCCCTCCGCTATGTCCACGCGCTCGTCCGACTCCAGGGGCTGCGGGGGACACGGGCGGTGCGCGGTGTGGGCATCATCATCCTCAGCAGCGGCAGCAGTGACATCGTCAGCAGCGGGAGTAGCATCATCATCATTAGCAACAGCAGTAACATCGGCAGCAGCAGTAACATCATCATTGTCAGCAGCGGCAGCAGTAGCATCATCATCAGCGGGAGTAGCATCATCATCATGAGCAACAGCAGTAACATCATCAGCAGCAGTAACATCATCATCAGCAGCCTTAGCAGTAACATCATCAGCAGCAACGGTAGTAGCATCATCATCATTAGCAACAGCAGTAGCATCATCATCAGCAGCAGTAGCATCATCATCAGCAGCAATAACATCACCATATGCAGCCTAAGCAGTAACATCATCATCAGCAGCAGTAACATCATCAGCAGCAGTAACATCATCATCGTTAGAAGCGGCAGCAGTAGCATCATCATCAGCAGCAGTAGCATCATCATCAGCAGCAGTAACATCATCATCAGCAGCCTAAGCAGTAACATCATCATCAGCAGAGCCACGGGACACCCGGGCGTGGTGCCATGCTTCACCCCTCTGGGCCTTTTGTGTCAGGTTGTGCCCACGTGTCGTCGGACACCATTATTGATGGTGAGCGATATCTAAACCCGTCCTGGGCCGATTTCATGGCTCCATCTCCGCAGTAGGCAACCTCTAGAGAGCGTTCTATGCTTTGGCTGACGCTCAATTAATATTGTTGTTATTATTCTTGACACATTGTCCATCGTCCTGTCTAGCAATCTGTCCTGCCCAAGCCCACTTCACTTTTTCGTAATAGCTTGGACGTTGTCATCAACCTGCGCGTGTTCTCTCATCCACGTGTTCCTCTTTCCATCTCAATGTCATACCAAGCACGCATCTCTCCACGCTCTCCACGTGTACCGCCCGTCCATTGTGAATGTCCGCAGAGGTCACTCGCGAACTCTCTCGCTGACCCCCCCCCCCTCTGCTGACTCCACAGCAAACCCACCTGCCCATCGCGGTACCAGGCGATGGTGGGCGGTGGCAGTGCCAGCGTGTCGCACTCCAGCGCCAGGCTGCTGTTCACTCGCAGCTTCAGCTCCAGCGACCCCGAGCCCAGTAACGCCCCGTCGGCCTTCCTGATGACCGGCGGAACTGCGGGAACGCGACGCAAAGACACGACGCGTGTAACCCTCTTGTTCCACGCCTGGGACGCAGCAGCGTGGAGGCAGTGAGGGTTGGGGGATCGCGCACGCGCCCGTGAACCTCCCTCCCCACTCGTGGGTGTCGAGGACGCCACTGGTGAAAGCATTTATTCTCGATGGATGACTCCAGCAGCAATGTCTCCTGAAATGTTATATTAAAGCAATTTATACAGCGCCTTAGATAAGGCGCTTTACACATGTAAATGCAATGGTGGAGATGAGCTAAAATGAAATAGATGAGAGGAAGCAATGGGGCCGAATCTGTGATGAGTGAATTCGGTGAAAGCGAAATTGATGACATTAAACGATGATGAATGGATTTAATGAATGGGGTTAATGAGTGAAAGCCGTTAAATGAGAATATAAAGAGGGAACAGTAACTGGTAATGGTTATTCGGGTGAGATTAAGGGAGTCGTGGGGTGAGCTAGGGTAAAATAAGCGAGTTTTGAGTGAGGAGCAGAGTGATGACCACTTAATGCGGAGGGGGAAGTTTGTTCCAGTGAAGGGGGTGGGCAGGAAGAGAACACGAAGAAGAACGTGGATTGAGCGCGAGGAGAAGCAGGAACAGAGAGAGACGGCAGAAATCTCTCTGTGCTGCAAAGCCCCTCGGACTGATGGGGGGGTCCCGAGCGTTGTTGTATCTACTGAGCGAAACCGACCAGCTTGCTCAGCGGTACGAGCGAGAGGTTCGCGATCGGAAAGTTTCAAATCCTGCCTCGGGCTTAACTCAGCCCAGGATATCTGGAGGCGGGGGGGGGGGGTAAAATAAACACCGCAGTGTGGGGGGTTCGACGGTGGTTCTCCTATGGATTGACTCGCCCCTGCCATAGAAACGTGTAATTTCCACCACCCTGGTTGTGAACAGGAGAGTGAGCACTGCCTCAATGCGCACCTGAGCAGGAACTCCATTGCCCTTTTGACTTTGGGAAGCGGACGCTTGTTCATTCTTGAAAATCGAGGTATATTCATATACAGGGTGCTTCAAAAAAATGTTTGAACACTTCTGAGAATTTGCAACAACACCACAAGAAACGTGCTGTGGAGACCACCTGGAGAAGATTCCAGGCCACGTGTTGACAACGATGGCTTTTTGAAGTTAGTAACATACATTTGTTATCATATTACAGTGTATTAGCCGTTCTTTTTCCATTATAAACGAGAGTCCCATATCAGTGCTAACATTTCTTTGAAGCATCCTGTATTTGGTGGTTATAAATCGATATGAGGGCTGGTATTATCTCCCTCGCCTGATACGCAGGAGGCCGTGGGTTCAATCCCAGACCCTGGCGATGCCTGGTATATATTTTGAAGTCCGCGTGGTCTCTCTCTCTCCCTGTTGTGGTCACGTGGATTTTTCTCTGGGTCCTCCAGTTTTGCCCCCCACCCCCTCCGCATTTAGAATCAACGTGCATTTAGATTTGGCTCCCGCTATTAATTCCCGACATGTGGTGATATCGGAGCTACCGCATGTGGCCAGGTCGCCTCTGAACAAGAGCTCGTAGCTCGGTGGATTTTACCCGGCGTATAAAATAGTCGAGCGAGTTAGGTGTGGTGTACGCCGAGGGTAAAAGACTCACTGAAGACCTGCAGCTGGTAGTGCTTGAGGATTTCCCCTGCCTCGTTCGTCGCTACACACGTGTAGACGCCCGAGTCGATCTCCCGCGTGCTCACGATCTGCAGCGTTCTCCCGCCTGGTGAGCAACGGGAGAGCGAGAGATCGTTCGTACGCCAGCAAGGGTGGAGAGCACCCGTCAAGCGTGCCAATACCCAGCCAGCTGCAGTTTTTCAGTGGCAGTTTATTTCGAAGTAGCCTGCGAGCTAAGAAGCTCTTAAGTCGGGTTTCATCAATAAAAAAAACACACCGTTTCCGTGACAGACATAACACATCAGATAAAAAAAATGAATGAATTATACAAAAATAAGGTGAGAAATCATATAACTCAAAATATAAAATGTATCTTTGAAAAGCCTAAGCCAATTAAGGAATAAAAAAAGTGCAAAATTAGGCACAAAATGTGTCCTAAGAAACACTACATTTAATCAGTTACTCACTCATCACTCACCCGCTCACTCACCCGTTACTCACTCACTGACCCACTCAATACCCCACCTATTCCCTCGCCCACCTGCTCACTCGCTCTTCACTCAATCTCTCACGCAATCACTCACTGCCTCACCCACCCACTCGATCACCAATTTAGCATTCACCCGCTCACTCGCCCACCAATTTATTGCTGCACTAACTGGTGAGGCCGAGCCTCACCACAGGGTTCACCCACACCGCCGGAATACGACCACACATCGCAGAGGTCTGCCAGACTACGAATCTCGCCACACAACAAGGTTCGGCAGGACTACAGGGGCCCGGCCTCACCGCAGGGCCGCGGCCTCACCGCAGGGCCGCGGCCTCACCGCAGGGCCGCGGCCTCACCGCAGGGCCGCGGCCTCACCGCAGGGCCGCGGCCTCACCGCAGGGCCGCGGCCTCACCGCAGGGCCGCGGCCTCACCGCAGGGCCGCGGCCTCACCGCAGGGCACCAGCCTCACCGGGCAGCATGCGCATGTTGTCCGTGAGCTGCAGGGGAGCGCCGTCCTTGAGCCACGTGAGCACGGGGGGCGGCACTGCGTGCGCCTCGCACACCAGCGCCGTGGGGTTGCTCACCACCACCGACACCTCCTCGGCCGCCCCCCCGGGCCCGCCCGCGCCTCCGGATCCGGCCCAGTCCCCGCCGGCGATGCTCGGCATCACTGAGCCAAACAACGGTTCGCCGTCAATCCGAATCCGCTCGCCTCATGGCCAGGTGTAATGGTCATCACACTGGACTTGCAATGTCGAGGTCGCCGGTTCGAATCCATATTCCAGCAGTGCAAGTGGGAACACCACGGGTCAGTCAATCGGCAGGCCGAACATCGTGGGGTAAAGTGTGCGTAAAGGGGTGGAAGGTTAGGACGATTCTAAGGGCCCAGGCTGATTTAGGGCCCAGAAGAGCAGACCCCCTTTTTATTTTCTTATTTCTTTTCTCTTTTTTATACATACATTAAATGTGCTAGGGCCCCTCATGCACTAAATGTGTATTTTGTCCGTTTTGACCATAGATTTTATATTTAAAAAACAAGTAATGTATTTACTGTTTCAGTCACACCCCTCCCCCTCACAATGGTTCATTCCACCTGCGCTGTCCGAGCTACGATCGCTAGTGTAGCGTCTCTTGCTTATTGCACTTGCTATGATGCAGTGCAGACAGTGACACACGCAGGCATGTCACATCAAAAGTCAGGGCATCAAAAACGGAAAGAAGGAAAGAGAAGACAGAGAACGCCGAAGTTGACAGTATGTCACACAGTTTTTCAAAAAGAAAGGTAGCTTGCCCTATTCCTGTATTCCAAAACTTTCAGAGTTACTTATTTTTGTTGCTACATGACCTGCTTTTATCTAGCTAGCTTAGTAAAATAATTACCGAATTATGATTTACATCCAACAATAATAACATCTCTGCTGTCTCCGGGGTTATGTCTCGTAGACACAGATTCAGCGGCTGCTGCACACCCACGTCCTCCTTCCCCCAAGTCCCCCGTCCCTGTCTCAGCCAAACAAGGTGAGCCTGAGCGTGAAACTTCACGAAGATTGAAGCCTCTAAACACGTCTTATCTACTGTGTTCGCCACATGATGATAACTTTACAAAACAAAAAGTAATCTACACGCTTCAAAAATTACAAAATCAGTTTGCCGTGTGTGTGTCGTGTGTTCTGTGAAGTGACTGCTGCTGCTACGATCGATGCTGTCAAACTTGACGTTCTTAATGTGAATAAAATGCCCCAGAAAAATAATATAAAATTGAATAAAACATGTGTCTGTAGTAACCATTGGCTATAAGGAGTTTACAAAATAGATATTTTAATATTTTATATTGAGAAAACTAAATAGGCCAATAAAAATAATATGGTTATTATTACGTGTGTGTGTTTGACTTATACAGATGCAGAGTCAGCTTTATTGTCTGCACCTCGTTCTCCTACTAATGACCCAGTCCTCTCAGTGTCAGGTAAGGTGAACATGGTCAGCTACCAAGGTAGTAAAAAACTAATTAAGTTTTGGATTGTCTAAATTTTTTTCTTGTGTTGTATAGTTATATGTTTCATATAATATTATTCAACAATGCAGTTAAGAAAATATTAATTCTAAGCTGTAACTTGTTGTTGACTGGGGGACAAAAATGATTTTGCTATCCTAACCCCACAGAAACAAGAGAGAGACAGAGAGTTTTGCCAGGAAAGAGTGTGGAAGTTGAGGAAGCGGTGAGAATAGTGGAATATGAGAGCACAGAGGGAGCCCTAAGTGTAAAGGAAGATAACAGAAGAGAGGAAGATGAGAGAACAGAGGAAGCCATGAGAGCAGACTCAGAGAAAGATGAGAGAACAGGGGAAGCCATGAGAGCAGACTCAGAGGAAGATGAAGAAGAGACTGTTGTGTCAAATGATCCTGGTTTGTGGCCAGTAAAAATTAGCAATGCAGACAGAGAAAAAATAGTGGAAAAAATAGCTTCTTCTAAAGATAAAGAACAAGAAATGCCACATGATTCAAAAGGTAAAGCCTTCCCCGAATACCTCAAGTACACAAAGTCAGGAAATTGCAGGGAATAAGATTAAGAGAGACTGGGTCATTTACAGCCAAAGCACAAATGCACTATTTTGTATTCCTTGAGTATTATTTGGTCATGAGCTAAAGAAACCTTGTATAAGTGCACTAAGCAGTCAACATGGTTATAAAATCAAAGACATAACATGGCGTCGAATGTATGATAAATTCCCTAACCACGAAAGCAGCATAGCACACAGGGAGTGCTACTTAAAATGGAAACCTTACAACAGTCTGTAATGGCAGCTGTCCCTGGGGGAATAGACAGCAAGCTGAAGAAGCTCATACAAACAGAAATAGACAAAAGTAGAGCTATTCTGAAGAGGATACTAGATGTAACCTTGTTCTTGGCCTCTCGAAATTTACCCTTTAGGGGTAAAACAAAAGACTTGGGGGACATTCATAATGGCAACTTCTTGGGCACCCTTGAGCTCCTGTCCCATTATGACCCACTACTCAACGAAAATCTACAAAAAGTCAGAGACAAAAAAACAGGAACAAGATTGACACACTATTTAAGCTCAGATATTCAGAACGAATTTATGGAGTTATGTGGAAAACGAATGATAAATAGTATTCTTAAGGAAAGGGAGGAATCAGTCTATTATTCAATCATTTACGATGCTACTCCTGATATTTCACATACAGAGCAAAATGTATTACTCTTACGATATGTAGGTTTTGATCAAGAAAACAATAAATGGGAGGTTGTTGATATGTTTTTGGAGTTTAAAGATTTTCACAAAAAAACAGGAAGTGAGATTGCAGACATGATTGTAAATGTGCTTAACAGTCATGGCATAGATCTGAAAGACTGCAGGGGCCAAGGCTATGATAATGGGGCAAACATGTCTGGAAAAATCAAGGGGGTTCAAGCCCAATTATTAAAAAAGAATAAGCTGGCTACTTTTTCCCCTTGTGCGTCTCATACTCTGAACCTTGTTGGTGTGCATGCAGCTCAATTAAGTCCAGAGGTTACCAACTTTTTTGGCTTTGTCAATCGCCTTTATGCACTTGTTAGTGCCAGCCCAGAGCGATGGGCCATCTATAAGGCAAAAACGGGTTGCACTTTACATCGTCTGTCAGACACTCGGTGGAGTGCAAGGGTTAAGGCTGTTCAACCTATAGCCAAGCACCTGCCCAGTGTCCTAAAAGCTCTTGATGCCATCCTCTCAACCTGCAGTCTGACACCAGAGGCTCGGTCTGAAGCCAGCGGCCTAAAAAAGTATTTAGAAACTTTTGATACTGTTTTTCTGTTGACTGTTTGGGTCAAAGTTCTGCAAGCCATTGACAAAAGGAATATTATTCTCCAGTCAGGGAAATTAACTCTTGAGACAGAGGCAGAAAATATCAGAGCATTCCAGGAGGAGATGCAACATCTGAGGGATGAATGGGAGAGTTTATTTTCTGAAGCATCACTTGTTGCCCAACAGATGAGCATTAACCCTCTGTTCAGGTGAGGATTCAGCCGCCAGAGGAAAAGAAAACGGTTTCACGATGAGACAGAGGTAGAGGGAGCAAGGGAGCACAGTGCAGACACCATATTCAGAAACACTGTGTTTCTTCCCATGATGGACCACATAATCAATGACTTAAGTACCAGGTTTGCCACAACAGCTGAGATCTTGGATCAGTTTTCTGTAGTTGTAAAAATGGGTCAGTTACGTGATGATCAAATCCATTCTGTATGCCAGCCATTGATTTCAAAATACAACACTGATCTGACTTGTGAATTTGAATATGAAGTCAGACACCTCAACTCTGTATATAGGGCCACTTTCCCAGGGTGTCTGTCACCAATTTATCTGCTCAACAGCATTTACAAGATGCAGCTGCAAAGTATTTTTGGGCAGGTCTGCATAGTTTTGCGAATATTTTGCACACTGCCTGTGACCGTTGCTGGTGGCGAGAGAGCATTCAGTAAGCTGAAACTGATCAAAAAATATCTGAGGTCTGCTATGTTGCAGCATAGACTTTGTCACCTTGCCATACTATCCATTGAAAGCAAACTGGCAAGAAAGCTGAACTTTGATGATTTGATACGTGATTTTGCCTGCAGAAAGGCACACCGCTGGGCCATTATAAAGTGATGTTGAACATAACTTTGTTAGACCTGGATAACAAACAGTTGATGTCTGGTTCAGTACTTGTTTAGTTCTGGACTGGTTTAGGCCTGGCATTACTCCTGGTGTGTCTTCATTTTGAGCCCTTTTGGCCTAGCTAGTTTTATTCCTGGACTGATTTAATTATGGGTTAGTTCTAGCTGATGTTTCCTGATTGAGCAGTTTGACCCAGCTAAAGCTTGTTCATGTAAAGTATATGTCAATATGTGTACATTATGTTCTGTTGTGCTTGCAATTGCAATTCAGATAATAAATGTTCTCCCTTTTATGTAAACAAGTACATATTTCTATATTTTTTTCTTGTTTTTGTAGGCTTTGTACTCATCTTTAGACATTTTAACTATGCAATGTGCTAAGTATCTTTTTAAAAGTATACTGGGCATGTTTATTGGGTTAAATTTTATCTGTAAAAAATGTAGGGGGCCCAGAAATTTTGGTTTCCATAGGGCCCAGAATTTCTGGCGGCACCCCTGGGTATGCCCACCACTTTCAACACGTTGGTTGTTTTTTATTTCACTGATTCCTGTTTACCTCGTTGTTGTCCTTTATGTGATCGAGATCACTCTTGCAAACGATGCTCTCATCCTGGTCTCAGCTCTCACCTGGTTAGTCAAAATACATTTGGAATGTGTTGATGAGTCATTTACCGAGGACGTGCAAATAGAAGTCTTTTCCTGCGTCCCCGGCAAGGTTAGATGCCATGCAGGTGTACTTCCCGCCATCCATAATCCCAATTCTCAGGACGGTCAGCGATTGGCCCATCGAGGTCACATGAATCCTGTCGCTCGCCGTGATTGGATGACCATCCTTAAGCCACGAGATAGAGGGCAGCGGGTTTCCTGGGGGATTATGGGTAAATGGCAGAACACGGCCATCATTAAATTTACGCGAAATTGTTAGACACCGCCATTATCTGACTGGGAGAAAAACAACATTGCAACATCGCCTGCCCCATACTGGAAGGCTAAACCCAGGCCACGTACGGAGTCACCTTGTGCTGTACAGGGACAGCTGCCACTGGCATCATGGTTTCAGATTTTCTAAATAAAAAAGTTAACTCGCAAACTACTCTCCATCGGGAAACACGTAGCAAACATCGCTCCTGCTCTGAAACCGCTGCAGACTGCGTCTGTGAAATGCGGCACCTTCGTGATAACCCTTGTGCCATGAGAACGGCACAAATACCAAGCGTAATAATTTGTATTTGTAACAAAATAATTAACAAACACACGCAAAAATTAAATAACATTTCTATACATCAGCCTGTGTGCCTTCTGGATGAATGTTGCTCAGCACAACTACAAATGACAGGCTGCACTATGAACAAAGGGCGCTACCGTGGCATAATGGTCAGCAGCGCACTGGCCTTGCGGTCCAGAGGTCGCCGGTTCGACCCCATCTCTTTTGGCGCTGCGGTCAAAACACTCACCCGTGGCTTCGCAGGCCAGCGTCACGTTCCCGTGCTCTTTCACCTTCACATCGCCAGTGTCGCTGTGCTGCTGTATACGCGGGGGCACTGCCAGCGCAGACAGACAAGGACAAAGGTCACCCGTGTAGCCTCAACAAGACTGTTGGGGAAAAAAGTGCTGTTAGCAATTAGCACCTATGAAGGCCGGCACGGCACATGAGGAGGATGGGTGGCCAGACACAGAGCCGCGTGGTGCTTTGTTCCAATGGCAGCTCTTAGCCAGCAGTGGAAATTCCACATTCCTTTGGTAGGGATTCAGTATCTGTATCGGATAGCTCGTGCTGACAAGGTGGTGCCATGGTAACGCTTACGCCACACAGCAAGGATGGACTTTGGTTCGATTCTTGTTACTCGGGCGCCTTTGTGTTCGGCGTTTTGGTTGCCCTTTCCCTATTCTGCATGGGTTTCTCCCCCAGGTTCCGTACAATGTCAATCGTGTTGGCCAAACATCCCAGCGGAGCAGGACTCTCCTGAAAAAGAGCCTTCATGGATTTCCTGGGTGTGAGTATTGTTGTGTTGTCGAGCCCCAGAGTTGACAAGTGGAGCTGATGCCAGACTGAGATTCATGATGGTATTGTTCGGTGGGATCCTGGCTTAAAGGCCCAGAAAGGCTAATGCCAAGTTAGAGAACTGGGCCCTGCACTGAATTTGAATTTGGGCAATCACTGTGATTTCACCGGATTCTCGAGTGTAGCGAGTTGATGATGCTAACCCGGTCACCAATGTCAAACGACGGCCGTGTTTACGTCGAGTTTGACGGTGAGCGGCAGGAGGCCCTCACCAAGCACCTCCAGGTGGAAGCGTCGGCCTTCCTCGCCCGCGGGGTTGGAGGCCACGCAGGAGTAGTCGCCACCGTCGCTCTCTGACACGCGGCTCAGACGCAGCACGCGACCTCCTGCACGCCGCCACAAATGCACGGTAACTCGCACGGTCCACACGGCGACTCTCACGGTGACTCACGCGCGCAACTCACACGGCAACTCACACGGTCCAAACGACAACCGAGGTGGTCCACGGGGCAGCGCGAGTGTCTCACAGAAACATTACACATGGCTACCTGGACACAGGGGTCACTCTCATCAATGCTGCTTCTCCTGCTGATGATGATGGTTCTGCTGCTGACTGATGCTCCTGCTGCTGATGATACTAATGCTACTGCTACTACAACTGATGATGATGATGACACTGCTGATGAATCTGCTGCTGCTGTAACCAAGGATACTGCTGCCACGACTGATACTGCTTGTGATTTTGCTGCCGATGCTGCTGCCGCCACTGCTGCTGGTGTCGATGCCGTTACCCGAAAGGATGCGTGCATGGCCCCCGTGCACCAGCGGCCGCCCCTCTCTCCTCCACGCGATGGCCGGCGGCGGGAACCCCGAGGCCTCGCAGGTAAGCGACACGGCGCCGTCCACCACGGCCGTAACCTTCTCCACGGCGCCCGCCTCGCCGGGGATTGTGGGAGGAACTGCGCCATCACACAAATACACACTGGCCAATCAGCTCGCTCATTACATTTTTTCAGCGATCTGTTGTAAAACGGAGGAGTGTTTTCCTGTTTTTCCCTCAACGGGAGGAGGAACAGCAAAAAAACTTCACGACCTCTCTCCTGAAGCCCTCTCGCTGTGCCCAGCAGCAGACCTCGATATTGGCATTCACCTCCTGGACATGTTGCTGCCATCATGCGCAAGGATAGAATATGATGATTAATGTAGGGCCCTGTTTAAAAGGTTTGAAGTTTCGGACCGCCATGTAAATGTGCCTCTGAGGGTGGATGACGTGAAAGAGGAAGGGGAGTGGACAAACGAGTGGGACACAACTCTAGCCAGAGCAATGGGCCTGGTGTCAGGTCAGGGGTCACTATATTTTTTATTCTGCTGCAATTTAGAAATGCATCAATTGTTATTGAACACTTACATGCTCAAGTTTCATTGGCATGGGAATGTCACCACGTGCTGCGAGACTATCCCCACTGAGGACAGGCTACGGCAGTTACAGCAAATGCGGTCTGTGACCCATCTGTGCACGTTCACAGTGGAAGATAATGTAGAGTGTATGAGTTCACTGAACATTGCTGTAAACGCTTCGTCACCTCGGTCTTCACTCTAGATCAGAACTCAGCCACCTAAAGCTATGGATTTGTCCACCTGAAACGATGGGGACATTCACCCCGGTGGCAGGAATATCGTGGCTATGTAATCACGAATAAAAACAACTACAGACGACGTTTTCATTTTGAACAATTGCATCCTGACTACAAACCACTGCAGTGACGGTGGGCGAGCAACACTGTCATTGGAAATATCCCATACATAATGTGCATGCGTGTTGTGCATGCACATTATGTATGTTGATTAACCCTATGAATAACCCAACCAATAATGGATATCCATTGTAATTTATATGCATTCATTAACCCCCCCCCCCACCTTCGCTCGTGATTGGCTCACAAGTGATGCCATTGCAATTATCCCTCTATTTAATCCCAAAACAGGAGGATTTCTCCACAACTCTGGCTGTCACCTGATGATGCTGGTTGTAAGTACCGGTGAAAAGTAACGGTACTCGAATTGTAAATGTTTTAGTGGGTTTACTCTCCAACACACAACCAGTGTGCTGTATTAGTAACGAATTTGCACGCCTTGTTTACGTGACAAACCTTACTAATTTGCTGTGTCGGGTGGTGGCGGGGGGTTTCACGACACATTTATACTTACGGGATCTAACCCCAGAAAACTCTATTATGGATAATTTTGGTCACAAAAGCCTACTACATGTTAAGCTAAAAACGCCCATTGCAATTCTTGCTCACCACAGACTATGCACATCCAATCGGGATAGTTTCTGAGATTTGCCTGTGGATAATATTTCTTGAGAGTCCTCAAATGGCAGACATGGGGCAAAACATCGTGGCTTCGTCATCGTTTGTGGGGCTTTACGCGATGCGGGGAGACACTGGGGAAGGGGGCGGTGGGGGTGGGGGGAGAAAATAAACTCATCCCAGATGATGTCCCAACGCAGCTGTCATGGAACAGACAAATACCTGAGTTACCCTCCGACTTTGGGAGGCCTTCATCCAGCAGCGCACAGATCGTGACAGTGACAACAATGACCGTCACGCTTTGTACGACTAACCAATCAATATCACGATCCTTTCAAACCGCGTTGATTAAGTAAACACCGCTGGTGAAATGCGCGGGGGGCGGAGGGGGGGGGGGTTTGTGACCCCCAGAATGACAACACCAACAACAGGAACGAGCTACGCTATTGCATTTTATAGCTCGAGTCAGCCCTGGCTAGCAAGCACACTCACACACACACGTGGGGGGTGATGACCGATTAGTTTTATTAGCATTGACGGCAACGGCGCCGTGACACCGATCCAACAGAATCACAGTTTGCCGAAATCGACCTCTTGAAGCAAAAAAAAGGCGAAATAATGGGTAAAGTTCTCCAAATATTTGAAACCACTTAAAACACGTGTAACCAATACAATTGTATTCCCCCCTGAATTGTATAGAAATAGATGCATGCTTGTAGTATAAGAAGTAATCATTTCCAGTCCTTGTTAAGCATGACCATTAGATCTTTGCTTATATTTCCCTCGAGCCAAACTTTGCAACCACCTTCTTTGAGTTCTTCTGTCATTTCCCGTAGCTGCTCATGCCCCTACGTGTACGCTACGATGAGCTTCAGCCTCTGCCCTCCAGCACGCCACTTGCTATTCCTGCTCAAAGCGAATCATCAATTCTTACTCTCACATATGGGTTAGGGGTCGCGTCACCATGAAAATCCACTTTAGTAGAGCCAACGTTCCATGGAAACCCTCGCCAAATGGGACGTTCCACGCACCCAGACAAATCAACGATAACGAGAGACATTCGACGACTTCACAAGGAATAAGACCGTCGAGTCAAGACGGTGATGTTGGTAGCGGCGGCGGCGACTGCGGCGACACCACAGCTTCCCTAGAACCAACCAATGAGCCGGCGCTTACCCTGCACGATCAGGTCGATCTTTTTCTCCGCCTGCCCCGCGACGTTGCGCGCCACGCAGGTGTAGCGGCCCGTGTCCGAGATCTGGACGCCGCGCAGGCGCAGCACGCGGCCCTCCTCCAGAGCCGACGCGCGGGACCCGGAGCGCGGAGCCGGGGGCCCCGCGGCGCCGGCGGCGGAATTCGGGCCGGATCCGGACGGCGGCGGCAAGACGGGGCGGCCGTCTTTGCTCCACACGACGCTCGGCTTCGGCTCGCCGGAGACGTCGCACTCGAGGCTGACGTCGCGCCCCCGCAGCGTCACCAACTCCGTGGGGCGGCCGCCGCTGCCCGGCATTGTCGGAGGAACTGCGCACAAACGCCGGCGTGTCCGCGCACGTTCAGCGCACAACGTCAGCAACCGGCGCGCCACATCCTGTGTGTAGCGCTTGCTGTGGCTGTGGCTACTAGTCACAAGCCAAACTAGCTTTTATTTTATTCATTCGAATATTTCACCTTAAAAAAATTCACTGGAGATGAACACAATTTGATCAATGAACTGGACCAATTGGATACCGATCCAATCCTGTCAATCAACAATGATCTGAACAACATCCCCACATTCATAGCTGAGCTCAAGAAATCGGGGCTATGAACTCACGGACAGACCGTGTAACTTCGGACTGCCCAAAATATAGATGTGAAGGCGGTGAGTTTGGGTGTATTGCCAATTCAATACACTCAGCAAGGAAACTGAATGGCTAAATCACTTATAAGTGTATCCATAATAGTTGCTCTTCAATAGCTCGTATGGAAGAAGATTTAGATTTTCAATAAGCCGAACGATTGCTACAACTGAGAAGCATGGAACTCCAGCGAAGAAGGCAGGCAGGAGGCCGCACCGTGGACCTGCAGGGAGAATGCCTTGTGGTCACGCCCGGCCGTGTTGGAGGCCTCGCAGGAGTAGGCCCCGCTGTCGGCGCGGACGCTGGAGGAGATGAGCAGCACACGGCCCCCCGAGACGAGACGCACGCGGCCCTCGTTCTCCGAGACGCGCACACCTGCAGCACGCACGCACACATGCACTCACACGTCCGTACATCGCTCTCCCGGTCGTGCGCTCTATCGCTCTCCGTTGTGGTGTTCAGGTTGTCCCGCGTGTCGCTCCGCGTGCTGGGAGTTTGCGGGCAAGTGGAGCGAAATTTCGGACATTGCAATGGTGAAAGTAATACGGGTGGTGAGGGTGATGTTGAGAATGAGCTTCAACATTATTATTATTATGCTACAGAATTTCTCTTCATTCTTTCCATCATCATACAACCTGACTTCAATGCAAGAAGCTCGTCAACTGTCACCTACGGACCTCACTCGAGCTCTCTTTGTTGCTGGTCACTTCATGTTAGAGGACGGGAATCGCTTGTTAGTAGCGACCGTTAATTAGCATTGTCAACATCGCTCGCCCTCACCGTCTTTGGCCCAGGTGAGCATCGGGGGGGGAATTCCGCTGGCCTCGCACACCAGGCTGACGGTCGCCCCCTCCGTGGAGGTCACGTGACCGGACCCCTCCGGGCCGCGGATGAGTGGCGGCACTGTTGGCAGGGCAATGGTGATGCGGCACGCACACACGCGCACGGCAAACTCACTTAGTCGATGCCCTCCGATGCAGCACTCGCATCGATTAACTACGTCAGGGGCTCAACGTTCTTCTGCGTACCAGACATTTTACATCCAAAGGAAACGCCGTGTTCACGTCTCATTCCAGATTGCCCTCGATGCAACAAATGGCCGCTTGCTGAAAATCAACACAACTGTTATTCTTATGACCGGTGGTGCAGCTGTCAGCGCACTGAACTACAAACCCGACGACCTGAGTTTTATTCGCAGGCACTGCTGGCATAAAGAGATGTCGGAAGTCGTTCTGGGCCCCTCTCCCCTCCTCCCTCCCCCCCCAGGTCACCAAGCCGTACTGACCAGCCTGGTGAAGTATGGTCAAACAATTGTTTCTGACATGGCATGGGGGGGGGGGAAGCCTTAATCCTGCAGTTTGCGGTGACACGATAATCGGTTTATACAATCCAAACAGCAGTGCATTGTCCTGAAAAAGATGCATCTCCAGAACAGGACGTAGTGGGATCTCTCCGAGCGTCTTCCCCCGTTTGAGGAGCCGCCCAGCAGAGGTCAACAGCCGCAGCGTTCACCGAGGGAGGGGAGGTCGTCGGCTCTTTACCGAACACCTCCACGTTGAAGTTGCGCCGTGTCTTCCCGGCCACGTTGGACGCCTCGCACGTGTACCACGCCGTGTCCTGGATGCGCGCGCTGCCGATCTGTGGATCGGAAGATCGCAGCGAGCTCGCGGGGTAGCGGCGCAGAGCCGGCGGTGAGATAATAGAAGTTCAGGAGCTTTGTCCCACAGATGCGGCGTGCGGTAGTTTCACAGTAGGGGGCGATGTTGCGGTGCGTAATCACGATTGAATACATTTGTCAAGTGATTTTACAACTATTGAATCTAAACGACGTCAAACAATGGCCTACTCTTCCAACGAGTGTTTTTTTTTATGTCAACTGTGAAGCAGGCGGTGTTTGAGCCTGCGGTATTAACCCTGGGCTGTTTGCCAGATTCGAACCGTGAACCTCGGCAAACCAATGTCAAACGTTACCACTAGCGCTCATTCTCACCGCCACCCGAATGTGCAGAGCATGTTGTCTGTCCCCTCTCTTACTGTCTCTCTTACATGAAGAGGACCACGGGGTATTGCCATGGCCATCCAATAACGATGATTGTCATCATGCTCATTATCATTGCGCAATAGACACGATCTTCATCGAAAATGAGCAATCAATATCATGATCACGATTGCGACGCTTGGCGTCCACGACGCAGCGTAAGCCCTACAATGCATCGCATTGTCCCCACAGTGCCCCATGATGCAATGGCTTGGCCCCACAATGCACGGCGAGCACCGACCTGCAGGACGCTGCCGGCCTGCGAGAGCTCGACGCCGGCCGCGGCGAGCAGGGGGCGGCCGTCCCGGAGCCACGCGACGGTGGGGGGCGGCACCGCCTCGCTGCGGCACTCCAGCCGCAGCGGCCGCCCCAGCACCACCGACACGTTCTGCTCCTCGCCCACGATGTTGGGCGGCACTACCGGGGTGACAGACAGCGGCGGTTGTCGCGACCGATATCGGCGGCTCGCTCTCGATGTTCGGGGTTCGGGCCACGCGGCGGCCGCTGAGACCCACCACGAGATCCGGTGGCCGACGCACCCACTGTTGTTGTTCTCGCTCACAGCGGTCCGTTGCGGGACAAATTCTCAGGGCCAAACTCGGCGGATACGACGTTTAGAAACTGCGTCAGGAATCTAATTCCGACTTCCTGCTGGGCAGATCCAATCTAGGCACTCTCGCTTTGATTCTCCCACGTCTACACTCCCCGCCTTCACCAACCCGCATTGACCAGCGCACTGAAGCACGGTCACACAACTCCCCATGACTCGCAAAGTGGGGATAGAGGCCCTCATCCAGCAGTGGATTGACAGAAAGGCTGTGATGTAGATTATCGCTATTTTTTGTGGTTACCACCTCAAGAGAACAGCTGTTCGCTCTTTCGGTTGCATCTATTGTTCAGATGCTGTAACCAAATTTGAAAATTGAACCATCATCTCTAAGACGCAGGGGCAGCTGCTGCTGCTGCTGAGTGAACCTTCTACCCCACAGAGGTCGCACCGTAGACGCGCAGCTCGACGGAGCGGCGGTCCTCTCCGGCCTCGTTCAGCGCCACGCACACGTAGCGGCCGCCGTCAGACAGGCCAGCAGCCGCTAGCGCCAAGGCCCTGCCCTCCGACAGCACCTGGGACGCATGGTGGGGGAGGGGGGGGGGCCATGGCGTGGCACACGGAGCGCTGTCAGAGCCGGAGCGCCACAGCGGCAATGGCTTTGCGGCTGAAATGCCGTCACACCGAGGGAGGCTGAATTGCCCACCAGCCGGCCGGTGCTGCCCGCACCTCGTGCCACACAGTGACGGCTGCCACCAGGGCGTCCCCTTGGCTACATGGCAGCAGGTCATTAGAATGGTTGAGCCATTGATTTAAACCCTTTTACTGCCAGTCCTGACTATTCTCGCGACACGGCGATGCCGCCTTGCGGCTTGGTCCCGGCATTCCACCGAAGCAAATGTAGATTTTGTTTATGGGCCAATACACACGGCACATCTGCTGCTGCCATCTTCGTGATAGCATCTGGAAAAGACTAAAAAGATTGCGCAATAAAACAACAACGGGGTTCATGCCCCCCCCCCCCCCATTAATTTCACAGGTGGATCTATAAACGTCTCTAAAAATAGTTTTACCAAAAATGTAAATTTACCAAGCTTACAGAATCAGTGAATTAAATAAGTGGCTGACTGCATGGAAATCGCACGGCCATACGGAGGGGCGGGGGGGGGGGGTTAAGAGCCCCCACCCTTACCTGCACGCGCCCTGACACGCTGGCCAGGGGGCTGCCGTCCTTAAGCCAGGTGACCCCGGGCGTGGGGTCTCCGTGCGCGTCGCACTCCAGCCGCACCGCCTCGTTCACCAGGGCCGTGAGCAGCGGGGGGCTGCCCCCCGTCACGCTGGGCGGCACTGCGAGTCCAAGGGGGGGGGGGGGGGCAAGGGGGCAAGGGGCGTTGGTGCGGTGGCACGGGCGACGGCGCAGCCCAACGTTTACAATGACGGCGGCAGATAGAGAGGTATGACAGCGGGACAAGTGAGCGGAACGTTGATCGGCTCGGACAGTGCCGCCCGCCGACCCGTGGCACCGCCGTCGACTCGGGGCGAGGAGGTGGGGAGCACTCACCCATGACGCGCACTCGGAAGGCCCTCTCGGCCACGCCCGCCACGCTGGTCGCACGGCACGCGTAGCGGCCGCCGTCCGACAGCTGGGCGCTCTCCACGCGCAGCTCGCGGCCGCCCGGCGCCACCTCCACGCCGGCCATGGGCGTCAGCGGCTGCCCGTCCTTGTACCACGCGAGCGCTGCGTGCGGGCGGGGACAGGAGCCCGGATCACTCACTCGTTCGTGAGCTCATTCCGCAACAGAGACGCTCGCCGTTGGCGTAGCCGCACGTCCGCCGGCTCTCACCAGGCGGGGGGTTCCCGGATGCGACGCACTCGAGGGAGAGCGGCTGGTTGAGCACGACGCTGTCCCTGCGCTCCACCTCGCCGCCGCTCTCAATGCTTGGAGGCTCTGTGTGTGTGCGCGCATGCGTGTACGTGGGTGTGTGCAGGGAGGGAATGCATGGTGGTTAGCGTAGTCCGCTACGAACCTCCATTCACATTCGCGGCCACGGACACCAGTGGGCACGATCTGAACTAGTCCCTGTGCCTCACGTGGGTCGACTCAGCCTCAGATGAGTACCTGGTGCAGTGTGTAAACAATATCAGCACTTGGGAGACTAAGGGGCGTGTTGGCGAGAAGGTTTGCCATGGATGAATAGATGGACAGTTAGAGTAGAACAAGAGAGACACACACAGACAGCCAGATGGTCCAATAGGCACACAGACGGACAGTTGGACACAAGGACATTCAGCAGAGAGGAACATTCTTTTGAGATGTACAGGTAGGCACGCCAACAGATAGACAAAGACACACAGACAGAGGGACAGACAGATGTGAGTCCCGCAGTCTCAGCTATGATGAGTCCCACGGTCTCCACTACAATGAGCCCCAAGGTCTCCGCTATGATGAGCCCCACAGTCTCCACTACAATGAGCCCCACAGTCTCCGCTACGATGAGCCCCACGGTCTCCACTACAATGTGCCCCACAGTCTCCACTACGATGAGCCCCAAGGTCTCTACTACAATGAGCCCTACAGTCTCCACTACAATGAGCCCCACGGTCTCCACTACAATGAGCCCCATGGTCTCCGCTACGATGAGCCCCACGGTCTCCGCTACGATGAGCCCCACGGTCTCCGCTACGATGAGCCCCAAGGTCTCCGCTACGATGAGCCCCAAGGTCTCCGCTAGGATGAGCCCCACGGTCTCCGCTATGATGAGCCCCACGGTCTCCACTACAATGAGCCCCAAGGTCTCCACTACAAGAGCCCCATAGTCTCCACTACAATGAGCCCCAAGGTCTCCACTACAAGAGCCCCACAGTCTCCACTACGATGAGCCCCACGGTCTCCGCTACGTTGAGCCCCACGGTCTCCGCTACGACGATGCCCGGGCAGGGCCCCGTAGTGTGGCGGCTGCTCGTGGCCTCACCGTGCACCTGCACCCGTAGGCCGTGCTGGCTCTCGCCCGCCGCGTTGGTGGCCACGCAGGCGTAGCGCCCGCCGTCCTCGGGCAGCACCCGCAGAACCTGCAGGGTGCGGTTTCCTGCTTCCAGCTGTAGGGCGGTACGCGCGCGACGTGGGGCACGCGTGGAATAAGAAATACGGCGACGCTGCTTCACTTCAGTTTCTCCGCACTCAATTGGACGCAATCGGCGATCGGGGTGCTTGTAACTATTGCTGTTTCCATAGCATCCAGATTATAAGACGCCCTGGAAAGTAAGAGGCAACCACCAAATTCATGTCCGGTGTCAAAAAAAGTTATACAGAACCTCGTCGACGAAGACAAAGATCTCCCGTATAGTGCTGTAAGCGAGCACCTTTGAAGGCTGGCACGGCACACGTGGTGGCGGGTGGCCAGCACCACCCCCGGCCACCTTTGTCTCCCGAGTGGCGATGTTTACACACGACACCAGGTACTCATTTGAGGCTGAGTCAACCTAGGGGAAGCCCAGGACTGCTTCGGATAATCGTTACGGCACACACGCGCACGCCTACCGGATTGTTCGAAGCATTTACAACGGGAGGGGGGAAAGGTAGGGGAAACGCAACCAGGCCGGCCGCCCTCAATCCCAGCCTCCTGCCCACTGGGCTGACCTTGACGTGACCCCGCCCGGGGGAGAGGGGTCGGCCGTCCTTGAGCCACGCGACGAGCGGCGGGGGCAGCCCCGTGGTGGTGCACTGCAGCGTGAGCTGCCGTCCCAGCAGCACCGCCCGCTCCGCCTGGCCCAGCACCCGCACCGACGGGGGCACTGAGGGCGACGACAACGCAGCCGTGGCGGCACAGCGAGCGGGTTCATGATGGCGATGGTGATTCATGGGCTTTTGAGTCACGTGCATCGTGAATTGTACAGGGACCCCCATCCTCACGAACGAGTTCGGTTCCGGAGGTCTGTTCGTAAGTCCAACTTTACCCCTGTCAATTCCAGCATGTTGTACGTCATGTATGCTAAACATGAGGAATGGCTTTAAAAGTTGTACAATATCCTGCAGATGTAGATGCCTCCGCCGCCCTCTATTGCGTGGCGGTTGAATTAACGACTCAGGCAACTGGACATACGGACAGGTTTGTTCGTATATCTGAGTGTTCGTAAGTAGAGTGTTCGTAAGTAGAGGAGTCCCTGTACACGATTCTGGGCCCTCGTGCATGCCCACACATTGAACACATCATTCTCTCTCTGAGTGAACGGAGCCTGAGCACGTCACATACGTAATGTCACAAGTTAACGTCACAAGTGTAATGTCACAAGTGTAATGTCACAAGCTAACGTCACAAATGTAATGTCACAAGTGTAACGTCACAAGTGTAATGTCACAAGTTAATGTCACAAATGTAATGTCACAAGTGTAATGTCGCAAGTTAACGTCACAAATGTAATGTCACAAGTGTAATGTCACAAGTTAACGTCACAAGTGTAATGTCACAAGCTAACGTCACAAGCTAACGTCACAAGTTAACGTCACAAGTGTAATGTCACAAGCTAACGTCACAAGCTAACGTCACAAGTGTAATGTCACAAGTGTAATGTCACAAGTTAACGTCACAAGTGTAATGTCACAAGCTAACGTCACAAGCTAACGTCACAAGTTAACGTCACAAGTGTAATGTCACAAGCTAACGTCACAAGCTAACGTCACAAGTGTAATGTCACAAGTGTAATGTCACAAGTGTAACGCACTCTCCGTCTCTCTCTGTCCCTCCTTCTCCCTCTGTTCAATCACCTTCTCGATCTTTCTCCCTCCTTACACCCCTACCAGTCGAGTAACCTTCCCCCTGTAGAGTAACAGCAGAGTCCTGCTCATTCCATTCCTCTCTTAAATCCTCACCTCTTCTCCATTGCCCACTGCCATCCTCTTCCCTCCCCTCGGCCCTCCACTCCGTCCCATCCCTCCCCCGCCCTTTCGTGCCCCCTTCCCCCGTGTGTCCTCCGTCATGCTCACTCGTCCCTATGACCGCTCCACCTCTGCCACCGCTATTAAACTACGCCGTGGAGAGCGCTCCCTGAGCCAAGGGCGCTCCGCGGATACAACGAAACAACATCGGATCGTTCCCGTGTCAGCGGCGGCGACGACGGCGAGGCACGCACCCTGCACGGCGACGCGGAACTCGCCGCTGCTCTCCCCGGCCTCGTTGCGCGCGACGCACGCAAAGCGCCCCGCGTGCGACGCCTGGGCCCGCGCCACCTGCAGCGTCCGCCCCCCGGCGGAGACCCGCACCGCCGCGTCGCCCAGCCCCGCCGGCTCGCCGTCCTTCAACCACCTGCGGGGGGATGGGCGAGGGGGTGGGGGGGGGGGGGGTCACCCGCCCGGCCGGGGGGGGGGGATAGGAGGCAAAAGCGAGAGGTCGCCGGCTGCAGCGTGGCGGACGCGCGGAGACCCCCACCCCGCACCCCCACCCCGCCCCCCTCTCGGTCTGCGGTTGCTCTCCGCGCATTCGAAAAGTGGCGCAAGATTCCAAGCGGCCGGGAGGCTCCGCGCAAGAGCGAGCGGCTCGCATGCCGTCGGTTTCAGAGTGCGAATCTTTGTTGGGGGGTGGACTCAGCCCATCATCGCTCCGGAAGGGTATAAAACGAGTACCACTTTGTTGAAATTGCACATTGAGTCATGTACAGTATGGTGAACCGCGAATGAAATGGCGATGGGGATAACGGTGGATGGACGGAAGTGGGGTAACTTTTCCACCTGCGTGACGTCAAAGAATGAAATGAAAAAAAAAATTATAAATAGATGCGTGTACTTTGCTGAGGCCTGTGCAATCCGTCACCTGATGTCCGGCGTTGGGTTTCCGCTGACGGGACACTCCAGCGTGAGCGGTGCGTTGAGAATGACGGACCTTTCCGTCGGAGTGCTGTTCCCGGTCATCTTGGGCGGCACTGCGGGGCGAAAGACAGCGAGGAAATGAGCGCCGTGACTGCCTTCAGGCAACGGCGATCATGAATTGTCTGGGACAGAGCCACCCTCCTTCACGCTGGGGCATCTCAGACCGTTTTATTGTACACTATAAGCTACTTACGTCGCACGCCTCGTCTCAATAAATCTGAAACGGCACCCCCAGTGGTAGCTGTCTGTGTGTGGCACAGGGTGATTCGGCAAGCGGCCTGCACTCGAGCGTTAGCCGGTAGAGGACGGTGACAATTACTGGCGAAACGTCCTACTCGAATTGTAGATGTTGTTGTGGGTTTACTCTCCAACACACCGGTGTGCCGAACTAGCAACTAGTTGACACGTTTTGTTTACGCGGTGGCGGGTTTAACGACACATTTATACTTACGCGATCTAACCCAAAAAACCTCTCTCAGGGATCATTTTGGAAACGAAAGCCTACTACGCGCTAAACTGAGCGGTGATCGCTTTGCGGTCCAGCATAAGGCACTCCCAGTGGCAGCTCTCCGTGTGTAGCACAAGGTCTGCAGGTAGGGGGCGGTGAGGAAGCCTCACCGAGGACCTTCACGGTGTAGAGCCGCGTGCTCTCGCCGGCCACGTTGGTGGCCACGCACGCGTATTCCCCGGCGTCGGCGGGCGACACGTCGCTCAGGCTCAGCCTCGAACCCCCCGGGGGTCGGCCGGGACCCAGCGGGGACCCGGGCCCGAGCGGCGATCCATCCCGCAGCCAGGCCACGCGCGGCGGGGGGCGGCCGTCGGCGTGGCAGTCGAGCGCCAGGGAGCCGCCCGCCAACACGCGGTGCTCTCGCGCGCCCTCCTCGATCCGCGGGGCCGCTGCATCGCAAGTAGGTGATGTCACTCCGTAGGTCAAGGGGCACCCCTGCAATTGCTTGCTCGTGCCACTGCAGGCGGGAAGGGCCTCTGGAGAAGAGGTTCCCAAACTTTGTGGACCCGCGAACCACGGATACATTTCAGACAAATGTCACGGGCCACTTTACGTCACTGACGTTGCACAAATTAAACCTCATCTCGGGAGCAGTGCCTGCATCAGTTCCACGGGCTGCTTCCTACGGCACCACCAGCAATTACGCAGACCTACAGGACAGGAATCACTGCTATCGAGGGTATTTGGTCTACTCTTCCATACTGACAAGACGTCTTGGAAGAGGCAGGAGTACCCAGTCGCTGGTAGACTGACGTGGGCGACACATTGAATAGTAGCCACAGCCAGAAGCCCCCAGGAGGGACAGCTTCAGCCACTCTCTTGCACGGTTCACACTGATAGCGGTTGACACACGCGTGACGGGAGAGCGAGCGATCGTGGCGTACCGTGCACGTGGAGGGTGTAGGACCTCTCAGCCTCGCCAGCGGGGTTTGTGGCGCGGCAGGTGTAGCGCCCGGCGTCCGACGGCTGGACCCCCGACACCTGCAGCTGCCGCCCCCTCGCTGGGGTCGTAACCCTGCCGCCCCCCGCGCCGATCGAGTGGCCATCTTTGAGCCACGTGACGGAGGGCGCGGGGATGCCCAGGACGTCGCAGTCCATCGTCGCGGCGCCGTTCAGCAGCACCGTGACCTCCCCTGTTCCGTTATCTCCCCCGCGGATACTCGGAGCAACTGGGAAAGAATTCGTCATTCGTAATCAGACAGAATCTATGCACAGGCCTTCCCACGTCATCGCCTTCCCCCAGCAATAATCATACGTGGACAAATGAAGTACCACGATGACCATTAAGGCGAGATGGATGTGACGTGTCAAAATAATTCCCCGAGCGTTCCGGACCGCTCCGGCTGAAAATAAACGCGGACCATCACCGTCACCATCGCACCCACACTCCGCTCCCTGCAACGGCGCCACCACTCACCGTGCACGGTGAGTGAGAACTCGCGGCCGTTCCGGCCCGCGGAGTTGATGGCCGTGCAGACGTAGAGGCCTTGGTCAGAAAGGCGGGCTCCGTGGATACGCAGCGTCTCCCCCGAGGGGCCCGCAACGGCCACGCGGGGATCCCCGCTCGCCACGATCCTGCTGGCCATGACAGGGGCCGTCAGGAAGACACGCGGGTACACGATGCCATGAGCCCACGAGGCCACTCGAAAGGATCTCAGCGGTGGCTCTGTGATATCCACTTCCGTCCTCTATTTTCTCACAACGAAGGGTTTCTCTGCTCTGCGACGATGCCGATAGAGCAATTGGGGGATAAAATTGGAGAACAATTAAGAAAATAAGGTTATGAGAATGAATACCCCTGAGTCACTCACTTGCCGTCCTTGTACCAGTGCATGCTGGGAGGTGGGTTTCCGGCTGCCTGGCACTCCAGGCTGATTTTGCCACTCACGTCGACCGCCACCTCCGTGACTTCACCAGCGCCCGTTACTGAAGGTGGAACTACGTGCAAAACAAAAACACTCTTCTAATACACTAACATTAATACAGTTATATTCATACAAATGCCACTATTAATCCCAATCACGTAATAATAGCCAAAGCCAAAGTGATCTCCTGGTCGAATGAGCATTGAGACAATTCCCGTCTCCAGTTTACAGCCAGTGGTGGCCATTCGACATCCTATGGCAGGGGCAAGTCTCTTCATAGTCCCCAATGAAGTGGAACCCATTTTATCGATCCCAAAGGGATAATGGGCTGAGCCTTTCCATTGCGAGCCGCTTGTTCTACTTCTGAACCTCCTGGCCAGCTAAAAGGAAAGAAACGATTGTGTAATTTACATATCGGCCATGAATAACTACAGAACCAAAGTTTGCCCTCATCAGTGAAATATATTTTTTATGAAAGTGACGGGGAGTCTAACCGAGCACGTGGAGGTAGTAGACCCTCTCCGCGGTGCCGGCGGCATTGTCGGCGCGGCACGTGTAGCTCCCCGAGTCCTCCTGCGCCACGCTGGAGAGCCGCAGCAGCCGCCCGCCGTTTAACAGCTGCACGCCAACCCCCGCCACCAGCTGAGGAGGACATCGTTTCAATCGTTCCCGTCAACGCACGCAGTCAGGTCGAACCCATTCGCTCTGGCCACTTGCTCGCTCAAAGGTGGGCCAGTTGCCTCCTCGTCGCTCATCTGTCGCAACTACCGCGCTTACCGTTCCCGTGGACTTCCCTGTTCCGAGCCGTGCCGCGCTCATGATGGTGCGGCGCGGCACGGGTCAGGGGAGCCCGGGTTGCTTTTCCACTGGCGCGAACCGTGCCGTGCCCAGGCGTCGCTCGAAATTCGCGACGTCAAGATGCACGCGGATGACACGGTGGTGCCGCGTTTGAGTCGTGCCCGACGTTTAACGCATCGCACGCGTCACGGCCTCGCCCCCGGGCACGGCTCGAACCCGAGGCAGGTTCAGGTGATATCCTATGAGGCCGGCGTAGCGCGGGTCAGATTCAGCTGAGCTCGGTAAAATGCCAGTGGAACACCACGCAGGCCATGCTGGCCCCATGCCGGCTCGGCTCGCACGAGAAAGTGGAAGAGAGAGAGAGCGGCTCGTACCGGCACGGCGGCCCTGTGCCATGTGAGTACGGGCGCCGGCAAACCCGATGCGTCACACTCCAGCGTCACGGGGTGCAGCACGACGATCGAGACGTTGGTCACTCGGTCCGAGGCCAAGATCAGCGGCGGAACTGCACGGTTAGGGGGGGTGGTCGTGGGCGGGGGGGGGGGGAGGTGGCAGATTGGTGCGGTTCATCATCAGCATCACAGACACATCAGTAAACAGCCATGAGTAATTTACTGCCATTTTTTTAGGTTATTTTGCAACGTTGAACCATGGCACCAGCACATGATGGGCAACTCTTCTTCTTTAACGTCCACTGTAAAGTGGACGGCGTGGAGTACTTTTACAGTTCATACAACTGCAGCGGTAATGATCTGGCCAGGTGGCTCAGCGGTAGAGCGAGCAGTTCGCCATCGGAAGGTCGCGAGTTCAACTCTCGTTTGGGGGGTGACTCGGCCCATGATCCCTCATGGGGTCAATAACGTGAGCACCACTTCATGGTGAAGTCAACAGCAGTTATTCTACAAATAGACTCATTCACGTCATAGGAATGTGGAATTTTCACCACTGGGTCATGCCTGGAAGCAGGAGATGAGCTCAGTTTTACTTTTTTTCATATTAACCAGGGCGGCCTGTCAGTGCCGAACCGCAAACCTTTGCAACAAGCGATGAACGCGCGAGCGCTCGGCTGCCACGTCGCCACCGGGCCACGCTTTGGGCCCGGTACCGCCCCCCCTCGCCCTGTCCGTCGCCACGCACCGGCCACGAGGAGCTGCACGGCTCGCTCGGCGATGCCGGCCTCGTTGACGGCGAGGCACGCGTAGCGGCCGGCGTGCGCCGGCGCCGCCGAGGGCAGCACGAGGGCGCCGTCGTCGGCGAGGATGACGCCCGGCTCCAGCCCCGTCACCTCAGCGCCGTCGTGCAGCCACTTCACCACGGGGGGCGGCACACCTGGGGCAGCGTCGACGACAACCGACTGATTGTAAACGTTGTGGATTTACTCTCCAACACACCGGTGTGCTGTACTAGTAACGAATTGGCACGTTCTGTTTACGTGACTAACCTTACTAGTTGGCTGTCTCGGGTGGTGGCGGGTTTAATGACACATTTTTTATATTGACGCGATCTAACCCAAAAATATTGGTCGCGATAAACCTATGCGTTAAACTGATGACGATAATATTCGAACGCACTTGTGATGGTGAAAAATGACGATAGTCGTGACGATGATTATATTTGATGATAGTTGTGATGACGACGACGATGACAATGGTGATGAAGGCAGCTCTACCGGTGGCTGTGCAGGGCAGGGTGACCCTCTCGTTGATGACGCTGTGCTGCACTGAGCCGTCGGCCGACTCCACGATGGACGGGGGCTCTGTGAGCAAAGCGAGAAGGATCTTAGCCACCAGCGACGCACGCAGCCTGTGTCACAGTCACCGTTGGCGTTGCTGCTCAAGGCAACGCCTTTCTCTCCAGAATTAGAATTATCCAGACAATACCAATTTAATTATGGCAGTTGATTGGTGGCCTGGCCGAGACCACTAACTTGTTACACTTGAAAACCCAGACTCTGAGGCCCATGTTCTTCGTTTTGACTCATCTCAGACTTGGCTCTGGCTCAAGTGAGTCGTGGCCACGACTCACTCGAATCAACTCTAAGCACGGTCCCAGCCACGCTGAGGATTTCCATGAGCTGAGACTGAGCCAGGCCACGGCTGAGCTGCTCACCCCATGGATCTTTGGAAGTAGCTGAAACGGCTCAAGCCTGAGGTGAGCCACATTAAGAGGCCGAGCCATAGCCTGAGCCACGATGAAGAGCGTGGCTCAGTGAAACAGTGAGGTCTCTAAGCCACCCGGCCACCTGCGTGTGCCCCCCGTGCGTTGCGCAGCTGCTGTTTTCACCCCGCTCGCTGAGCCGGCCCAGATGGGGTGGCCTAACCACTCACCGAGGACCTGCAGGTGGAGGTCAGCCTGGTCCCGCCCGGCCACGCTCACGGCCACGCATCGGTAGGAGCCGGCGTCCTCGGCGCGCGTGCGTGGGATGAGGAGCCGTGCCGACGCCGATCCCGGCGATGACCCTGGCATCGCGGCCACCACCACGTCCGAGCCGTCCGCCCGCACCCACGAGACGCTCGGGCTCGGCTCCCCCAGCGCCGTGCAGGGCACGTCCGTCATGTGACCAGCGCGGACCTTGAGCGCCGTGGGGATGCGCTGGATCCGGGGCGGTACTGGAGGCGCCAACGGATAGGGCGCTCCGTAAAACTCTCAGACTCTCACCAAGTCCTCTACGAAATTTTGTTCATGTCACGACCTTGTTCGATGACGTTAAAATCATTTAAGTGTAGCAGCTCGCTGCGCAAATGCAGGAAAGGCTGCGTCTGTGACTTCTGTTATATTGAAGTGTCCATTTGGATCTATCGCAAAACAGAGCAACCTTTTGTGTTAGAGAACAACCCACAGAAATGGTTATCACAGCGCGACCTCTAAAATCACTCGAAGTGATCTCAGGTCCGCAACGTAGCAGGCAGTACTTTTCCACATACTCGTCGCATGACAGTCAAACTTATGCTTTTCATTCTCAGGGCTGGAATTCAGCCAGATTAAGTGCAGAACCAAATGTACTGCGATGGGTTTCTTTGTGCGGTCAATGGTGACCAGCCTAAACAACCGCTACGCTTGAGAATCCGGTTTCATCACAGGCGGCTTGATCGTGGGGATCTCAGCGGCGCCCGCTTCAGCGTCTCTGACCTCTTACCGAGCACCGTGAGGTGGAACTCGCGCGTGACGTTCCCGGCTACGTTGGAGGCGATGCACGCGTAGACGCCGCTATCGGAGCTCTTGGCACGGCTGATCTGAAGAGAGCCGGACTCCAGGATCGTTTGCCTGCGGAGCCGCCACCACGCACACACGGGCAGCAAAAGACAAAGATTCCCCCCGTGTAGTCTGCGTAGAATGTTGGAAGGAGAGTGCTGTTGGCGAGCGCCTATGAAGGCCGGCACGGCGTGCGAGGGAGCTGTGGGTACTGCGCAGCATCCGGCCGCTGATGTTTATGCGTCGCACACAATACTCGTTCAAGGTCTAGTCGACCTAGGAGGAGGCTCAAACCCACCTTAGTCTTCCCAGTGCTGATGTTCACACAGCCTACCTGTCCTGGGTTTCCAGGAACCTGTTCTGGATTTCTGTACCTGTCCTGGAAACCCAGGACAGGTTCAGAGATCACTCGCCAGGAATCAAACCCAGGCCACCAATGCAACGTGCTATGAACCTGGTGACCACATCAAACTGAGGTCCAATATTTTATGTTTGACATATATATCCAAAAAATGTTTTGTTCGTGTTGAGCGTTAGGAGGCTCGCGTGAGCACGCGTCCGTGTGCGCCACTCGCGTTTCCCCATCTGCCAATAATTTATCCGCAAGTTGAATTTCAGCCACAAGCTTTTCCTCCCCCTTCCAAAATCTAATTACAAAAATATTCTATTTCATTTATCTTGTTCGATTTACGAGTAGATTAAGGTTGAAGGAGGTAACGTTTCTGGGGGATAAGCGAAGCCAGAATCGCATTTGTGCCAAAATGGCAAAAAACGCATCACTTTGGCGATTTGGCCTCGTGTTTAGCAATGCAGTTGTTGGCACATTTTCACCAAAAATCGTACGAGAACAAACATTCATCAGGATAAACATCCGAGCAGTTACGTTATTTTTGTTTAAGCGATGCAGATTTGCTTCGCCGTACATACAAGCACATTTGCGGGACAAACAATTGTGCCAAGATTGCTGAGACTATTTTGCTGTGAGATTTACAGTAACTTCCTTTCATTGAATACACCTAATATTAAATAGACTCGCATGGAGACCCCCCAGACTCACATAGGGACCAGTAGACTCGCATAGAGACCCATAGACTCACATAGGGACTCATTGAGAACTGGTCTGGTGGGAGCCCAGCACAAGGGCAACATCATCATCATCACTACACGTGGCCTCTGAGTTCTAATTATCCATTAGTTCCACTTGCATGCGTGGCCACCTGAGACCAGAAAACCCAAGCAGGCGTTTGTAGCATCCTCAACTCTGGCTCATGAACCTCCATCGCTTCCCACCTTACTATTCATGACTCACGGCGGCAGGTAAAACGTTTCTGAAGAGGAGCATTGCCGTTACCGAGACGAGAGGCCTGTGCCGACCGGATGTCCGTCCTTGTTCCAGGCGAAGGTGGGAGGGGGGAAGCTCTCGGCATCGCACGGCAGAACGACGTCTTCGCCGGAGAGGGCCTTCCGTCTCGACTCGGTGTCCTCGCCTCCTCCTCCACCACCACCGCCGCCACCACCACCGCCGCCATGCATGCGTGGCTTCACTGCGGAGGGGCAATGCCACGGTATCACTTCTCAGGATACCATCGTCCCATTCTTCTTTGGATAGCTGCTGGGCACAGGGGTCTTAAAGTCCCAAGCATGTAATGCGGCCAGCAACGAAGAGCGCTGTCAACGTGGCAGAGAAACGAGCGTGTAATTGAGCACAAGGTTATTGCGAGAGCTTGGGGGAAACAGAGGATGGGAGAGGATTTCAAAGAGGAGCGGTGCGAGGGAAGACGCAGAAAGAGAAGTGCCGTGACCGGCAGTGGCGAGTGGGTGAGTGTGCGAGCGAGTGGGTGAGTTGTTATCTGCAGTGTTGTGGTTGAGTAGAGTGTGGATGAGACCACAGTGTCCATCTGATAGACTGAACATTCAGCATGGGTGAAGGAATCAGTGAGTGAAATTCACGAGAACAATCACCATGGTTGGAGCAATAGAATATTGAAAAGGAGATGTCCGATCGCGGGTGAGCGAGTGACTGGGGCGAATCATGAGTGCTGGATCATCAATCTACCTGACTGCCTGATGTTAAATTCCATTAAGTGAAGTGGATATCATCATCATCATCAGCCATGATCAATCAACTGCTGGATGAAGGCCTCCCCATGCCGCCACCACCCTCCTCTTGCGATGCGACAACCGTCCAGCACCTGCACGATGTCACCTCGTCAGCGCCAAGTCCCCTCTGACGCTGTTCCGTTCCCCTGCCTGCCGCCGTCCGCACCGCGTGGCATCGCCTCACAGCGGCCGGTGAACAAAGCGTGCCGGCGGGCGTGCTGCTCTCTCACCGTACACGGTGAGGTGGACCTGCGCCGTCGCCGTGCCGGCCGGGCTGCTCGCCGTGCACGTGTAGACGTCCGAGTCCCGCGCCGTCGGGGCTGGGAGACGCAGCCCCTCGGCCACAACGCGGTAGCCGGAGTCGTGCGGAAAAATTGGCTCCCGTCCCTGGGGAAGGGGGTGGGGGTTCACGATGGGCGGGGGTGAAAGGGGGGGGGGTGGCCGTGAAGGGAACTCCACGCGAGGCGACCCGGGTTTCTCTGACTGTGATTCCTTACGAGCCGCAGAATGCAACTTAACTAACTTCATTAGACCTCCTTTGCCAGTACCAGAGTATAATAATAGGGTTTTTTCCCTTTTTTCTGGCAACAAAACTAAAACCTGTTTACCAGGAATCATGTCTGCATTAACCACAATACTTGTGGTCAAAATGCAAACAAAAACACACTCTGATAATATATGCATTATCCTTGAAACCGATTGGTCCACACTAAAGAAAGCTGTCTCTGGTGTGGACCAATCAGTTTCAAGGACAATGCATATATTATCAGAGTGTGTTTTTTGTTTGCATTTCGACCACAAGTATTGTGTTTAATGCACACATGAATTCCTTGTAAAAAGCTTTCCGTTTTGTTGCCAGAAAAAAGGGGAAAAATCCTATTATTATAATAACTTAACTAACTATTTAACTAATTTGTATTCTACCAGGTAAGACCCACTGAGCTATGTAGCTCTTTTTCGGTGGTGACCTAGCTATCACAAACGAAATGGCTTATCGTGTGGGAATGTATAGCAGCCAAATACTCTAAATGCGTGATGTTGAATCTAAATGTGGAGGGAAAAACCGGAGGACCCAGAGAAAAATCCACGCGACCACGGGGAGCACACGCAAACTCCAAATATAAAGGCGTGAGGGTTGTGGTTGAACCCACGACCTCCTGCATGCCAGGCAAGGGAATTAACATCGCTCTACCACAGCGTGTGCTGGCTGGCCCTGTGATGCCGCAGTGTCACGTGAACAAACGTTTTTGGTGTCGCAATGTCTGTGCATCTGTGTATGTGAACACTTGTATGGGGAGCGGTAGTGTAGCGGTTAGCGCGCTGCGCTATGAACCCGGCGACCCGGGTTCGATTTCCGCTCACGGCCAACACCAGTGACGATTATCTGAACCGGTCCAGGCCCCCCCCCCTAGGTAGACTCAGCCTCAAATGAGTGCCTGGTGGGGTGTGTAAACATCGCCACTGGGGAGACAAAGGCGGTCGGGCGTGGTGCTGGCCACCCACCGCCTCGTGTACCGTTCCGGCCTTCATAGGTGCTTGCTAACAGCACTTGCCCCTCCAGTCTGTTAAGACTATATGGGGGATCTTTGTCTTTGTGACCACTCGTGCGCACCACTTGTCTGTTTGACACATAGGACCTCGCGAGCTTTGGGTGCAAATGCACCGTCATCGCCCCCAAGTGTGACGCCTGAGACCGTGGGACAGTGGGCAATGCACAACCTGAGGATGTTAATCATCCTGATGGAATATACGTGGCTGAAGGAGGTCACGAGTGTAGAGAGGAGCAAGCCCCCTCACCTTGGCCCACGTGACGACGGGAGGAGGCTGACCCTGAGCGGCGCAGGCCAGGGTGAGCGCGACGCCCTCGATGGCGCTCACGCTGTCTCCACTCGTCGTGATCCTTGGGGCGACTGAGGATCGCCGAGAGAGAGAGAGACCACAGGGCACAGGTTTGGTTGCAGGGTCCACGGCGGGTTTTGATTCCAGACTCGGGCGCCTTCTGTGTGGAGTTTGTTTTCATGGTTTCCCCACCGTTGTTCTGGAGGTTTTCTTCCCATAGTTAAAGTAAAAAAAAAAGTAATGTTACTGACATTGGCCAAACGTCCCAATGCTAAATAATTACCCGCAAATTACTCAAACTGCGATCGCGCACACGTGCGACAGCAAAATCGTCCCCGATTATTAAAAAAAAAAACTAAAAAGACTTGGGCAGGACCCTGCTTAAAAAGAGTTTTGAGACTCAGTGACGATTTCCTGGGTCACCAAACATAGCAATAAAATAATAAAAACGACGGCTGCGGAAAAACCTTCAACGTAAGCCCCCCCCCCCCCCACTGTGTGCACGTGCCCTGGCCCTGGCCACGCACCCCACACGTTCACCGTGACCGTCTTGTTGGCGGTGCCGGCCAGGTTGGTGGCGAGGCAGGAGTAGCGGCCGGCGTCGCGCGCCGTCGCCCCCTGCACGTGGACGCTGCCGTCGGTGCGCACCGTGACGCGCCCGTCCGACACCAGCTGAGAGGAGAGAGGATCGCGGCGTTCGTTGGCGGGCGCCGCTGTGTGACGCGAGCGGGCAGAGGGGCCGCGGTGAACGCCGCGAGCCGCCCTCCTTCACGCCGGCGCATCTGGGGCGCCCTCAACGTCTCGCCGCAAACATCTGTAAGGGCATCCCAAGTGGCAGCTGTCCCCCGTGTTGGCACGAGGTGACGCAGCACCTGGCCTGCGAGTGGGCATTAACGTTTGCTGCGTGCAAATGCCAATCGCGTAATTTTTTTCCGAATCTGAACAATCTTCTTGGGTGAGAAGCCAACAACGCACGATGGCCGACTCTTTTTCGAATGACGTCAGCGGATTTTTTTACCTCCACTGTGAAGCGGGACTGCCCGCAGTGATAACCGGGGCGGCCTGCCGGAGTTGATCTGCAAACTTCTGCAGCAAGCGGCGAACGCGCTCCCGGGCTGGGCGATGGCACCTCCCCATTCCTAAGCTGACGAGACGTGCGTCGACTCGTGCGAGTGAGGATACATTACTTGACGAATACGCAAATGGTATCATGAATGTTATCTTCATGATAAGAAGGGATTGAAAACTGTCCAAATTACTTCGAGACAAATACCGTCAAGACTCGCAGCCAAAGAAGCGAGACGGAAGCCGATCCTTCAAGTGATGCGGATTAAGTTCCACTCTTTTTCACCTGAGGACGATTGCTTGCGTTGCGATCGAAACGTCGTGATTTAGATTTTTGTTATTATTTTTCCTAACTACGTGGCTTTACCGAAAGGCCCAAAGAATTTGAATTCCTGCAGTCACGAGAGCTTTAAGTCAAGATTTAAGTTCCATTCTGTTTGGGGCGACAGCAAGGAAGAGGGGAGAGCCAGGAAGAGTAGAGAGGAAGGGAGAGGGCGCAGCAAGGAGCCGTGAATGAACATCGTGTGCGCTGGAGCGTGCGCTGGAGGACAGCTGCTGCTGATGCTGCTGCTGCTGCTCACTCTGCGGCCGTCCTTGAACCACTCTCTCCGGGGCAGCGGGTGGGCAGCGAGCACGACGCAGGGCAGCGAGAGCTGCTGCCCCTCCGCCACGCTCACCACGGCCGGGCTTGGCGCCACGCGCGGGGCAACTGCCGGGAACAAACATTTCATTCATTGTTATTTTACTTTTGATTTAAAACTTTCGTGACTGCAGTAATTCATATTCTTAGCTCTTTCGGTAAAGTCACGTTGAAGGGAAACAATAAAATATATATAAAACAATAAAAATTCTCACGACGTTTCGACCATAACACAAACGGTCGTCATCAGGTGTGTCGGTTTGCATTAATTTATTTATTTGTAAACGATTTATTTATTTATAAAAAACGTCAGCGCCACGCGCAGCGATTTGGCAGTTTATTTAGAAGGACGAGTCCATCTATGTTCTGAAAAGAGGAGGGGGGAGACGAAAAATTAATGTATGCTGTCTGAAAGCCACCGTAAGCGTGAACAATCAATTAAGACCTGAAATGGTTTATCAAATCCTTCCAATGATTGCTAAGCCAGAATCCATTTTCTCGGTTGAAATTGTCTCTGTGCATGTATATGTGGATAGTCTCATGAACGAATCTCTCATGGTAGCCAGATGGCTTACAAATAACCTCTGTCTTGGAAAAGTCAATGTCATGTGAGCCTACTGAATTATAACAATGATCTGCCACGGCCGAGGTGTTGGTCCTACCGTGTTTAAGGTCTGCTTTGTGTTCACGAATGCGGTCCGAGACATGGCGTTTGGTTTCTCCAATGTAACTACTACCACAGAGGCAACTTAGTTTGTAGACACCAGGGTACTGTATGTCCAGAATCACATCTTTTACAGACGGAACCAGATCACAGATTTTATGTAATGTGTTGAAACGGACCTGGATCTTGTGTTTATTCAAGATTTTGGAGATCTTTTTTGTGATCCCCGCAATGTAGGGTAAAGTGATGGTTTTGAAAGGCTCCTCAAGAGGGTCCTTCTTCATGGGTTGAGTGATAGCTTTGCGGATTGTATAGTCGGAGTAACCATTAGCCTTAAGAGCTTGGTGTACGTACTTGAGTTCACTGCCTATGTGTTCTTGGTCGGATATGCATTGGGCTCTATGGTACAGAGTCTTGATGAGAGAATTCTTCTGTGATGGATGGTGGTGGGAATCTGGTTTCAGATAAGCATCCGTATGGGTAGCTTTCCTGTAGACAGAGTGGCTCATTGAACCATCAGGTCTCTTTTTTATTAGGACATCCAAAAAAGGTAGCTTGCCATCTTTTTCGACTTCCATGGTAAATCTGATGGCTGGGTGTATGGAATTGATGTGGTCGAAGAATTGGTCTAGAGCAGGCCGGCCATGTGGCCAGATGACAAAAGTGTCATCCACGTACCTCTTCCATAAGGTTGGGCGCAGAGTGGCAGTCTGGATGGCGTCAGTCTCAAATTTCTCCATGAAAATGTAAGCTATAAACGGAGATAAGGGGGAGCCCATTGGGGTGCAAAGCTATCACTCAAACCATGAAGAAGGACCCTCTTGAGGAGCCTTTCAAAACCATCACTTTACCCTAGATTGCGGGGATCACAAAAAAGATCTACAAAATCTTGAATAAACACAAGATCGAGGTCCGTTTCAACACATTACATAAAATCCGTGATCTGGTTCCGTCTGTAAAAGATGTGATTCCGGACATACAGTACCCTGGTGTCTACAAACTAAGTTGCCTCTGTGGTAGTAGTTACATTGGAGAAACCAAACGCCATGTCTCGGACCGCATTCGTGAACACAAAGCAGACCTTAAACATGGTAGGACCAACACCTCGGCCGTGGGAGATCATTGTTATAATTCAGTAGGCTCACATGACATTGACTTTTCCAAGACATAGGTTCTTTGTAAGCCATCTGGCTCCCATGAGAGATTCGTTCATGAGGCTATCCACATATACAAGCACAGAGACAATTTCAACCGAGAAGATGGATTCTGGCTTAGCAATCATTGGAAGGATTTGATAAACCATTTCAGGTCTTAATTGATTGTTCACGCTTACGGTGGCTTTCAGACAGCATACATTAAATTTTTTGTCTCCCCCCTCCTCTTTTCAGAACATAGATGGACTAGTCCTTTTAAATAAACTGCCAAATCGCTGCGCGTGGCGCTGACGTTTTTTTATGAATAAATAAATACACTGTTTAAAAATAAATTAATTAATGCAAACCGACACACCTGATGACGACCGTTTGTGTTATGGTCGAAACGTCGTGAGAATTTTTATTGTTTTATATATATTTTATTATTTTATTGTTTCCCTTCAACGTGACTTTACCGAAAGAGCTAAGAATATTTTACTCTCAAACACACCGGTGTGTTGAACTAACACCGGTGTGTGTCATTAATTGGCATGTTCTGTTTACGCGACAAACCTTACTAATTGGCTGTGTCGGGTGGTGGTGGGTTTAACGACACGTTTATATTTACACGATTTCACCCAAAATCCTCTTTTATGGATTAATTTTTAGTATTTGCCTGTTCAGCCAGGAAAGCCTCACCGAGTCTCTCGACTGTCTTTCAGACGGGACCTGCAGGTTTTTGCATTATGGGGCGATGTTGCTGCGTGTCATCCCAATTGAGTAGTTTTCAGGTTACTTTTCATCATTGGCATGTTTGGCCACTACCAGGTCCCCTTCGTGTGCTTAGCTATGGGAGTAGAAAACCCGAGAACCCAGAGGAAATCCATGAGGAAAAGCAGGAGAACGAACCAACCCTGCACAGAGTCGGGAATCCAACTGCGGAACCTCCTGGCTGTGAGGCGCGGGTGGCTACCCTGACACCCACTACACCACTGTGCAACCCACATGGGGTGCATGCGTGCCACCCAGGCATACGGGGCCACATGCCGAGACAGCGAGTAGCGGCATCCCCCCCACCCCTTCCACCACTCGGCACAACATTCTAGGGATCCCGCCTGGCAAAGCCCCCAACCTCTGCGTCTTGAATGAGGTCCGATGGTCCATCTAGCAGTGGATTAATAATTAATAAAGAGCTTTTCATATAATTGGCCTAGTTGGACACCACCTATACTCTGACCCGTGCATTCCTCCCACAGCGTGGAAGTTTCCACACTCCTTGGCGAGTGGACGCAACATAAATAGCAGGGAATAAATAAATAATGCCATTAACAGGGCCCTTCTGGAACACGCAACCCAGAGCCAGACAGAGCGGGCGTTTACAAGCGGCTCCTACAATAGCAGCGCAAACACAATAAGAAGCACAACACCAAATACCACAACAAACACAACAACAAATAACAACAACAAACAATCAACGAGCAGACCAGGACTAACACGTAACCCAGTTGGCTAACCCTCCGTATATTAACACACACCTACCAACGCTGGCCAACCGAACAGCAATATTATTCCCGAAACAAATTATACCTCCCATTCTATTCCTGTTGTGTCATGTGACAAAGCAAATGCCCCACATGGAACGCTCCCAGCTAGCAGCGCATCATGCTGATTTGTTGAACTACTTCTTGGATTCGCTTTAAGGGGCCTCTGATGCCACTCCCAATGGATTTATATCCAGCGCCAGTTTTAGCAATCCCTCAAAGGTGGGAGTGTGTGGAATGAAGTGAACCACGGCATTTAATGCGGTTGCTTGATTGTGCGGTGGCTTGCGACCAGACAAGGACCATTCACTGCACAGGGAACGATGCGCAGATTCGTCGCACGAATCCGATGGGAACGGCCCTCGCTGCGGTAAATGTATTTGAAGTGCGCGTGTCAGAATTTATACAAATGTCACGGTCTTCTCATGTCGAGGTCATCAAAACAAACATAACTGTGCAAGAAACCAAGATGCGACCATTAATATAATACGGGAAACACTCAATCCATCAATGAAACCTCGACCGAGAATCGTGCCATTCGACAGGGGCCAGGGTGGGGGGGATGGAACGTTACTTTCGTTCCAAGCCCACTGCGCCAAAACTCACCGCGTGCACTTGGCGGCTATAATTCCCTCCGCCGGCGGCCGAAGCGCGGATTCCTAACCAGGGTCTGGGGCACCGCGAGCACCACGGGGGGCCTCCTTCTGCCCCGAGCCACTCGGGTGTTCAATAACTCCACAACCGAGGGGTGGTCGCCCCCTGCCCCCTTCCCCCCCCCCCCCCAACCTCATTCACAGGAAATGCCATGGCTCGAGTCAGAGACGCGGCGAGCGTTGCCCGGCAGCCCCCCCAGAGGGGGGGCGGGGGGCATTGCTGCCCGCTGCCACGTGTCTGGTGAATTTGCGTTCCGGAGCTCATGCCCAAACGTGCAGCCCGAAGGAATTCGCAAATTCCGCAGCCGCCAACGAATAAAGAGATTTACGTCGGTTTATATTTTTTACCTTTTTTAAAATTCTAATTTATTTTTGTAGAAAGCGACGATTATAAAATGTGGACGGCAGGGTGGGTGGGAGGGCACTGGTGGTAACACTCGCGCCTCGCGGCAAGGAGGGCCTGGGTTCGACGCCCGACTCGGGCACCTATCTGTGTGGAAACGTCGAATGTTGATGCTAAATTCAGTCGTGCACAAGTCGAAAGCCACCATAAGCAGCTTGATTGGTCAGAATGTAATCAACACATTGGCACGTGTAAATAATATCTGTCGGGTGTAGGCGAGTTAATGGCGTAAAATCTCTGCACAGTACCGCTACCTCTGCTTTTGGCACTGCCTCGTGACACTTGCATCCATCAAAACAATAATAAACAAACTTTTCACATAATGTAAACCAATAATATATCAGTTCTAACACGTATTTTTCCTCTTATAAGGCAGCGCACGTTAATGACAGTTGTGATAAAGTCCTTCCAGATTGCGCACGTAGACACCGCGACTGCCAACGCAGTGCGTTCACTCTCATTTGAAGCCGGGAGATTAAATGTTCATTTATTTATTTTACCAGGTGGACCCGGGAGCAGCGCCAATTCATGGAGTGGAAATTGCAACGGCAACGCAGAGCACGCGAGGGGAGAGGCGCAGCACTGCACGCGGAGCCTCGTCAGTCCGAGGCCTTTCCTTCCCCTTCCTTGCATCATCATCTGAACCCGCAGGATGGAAGAGACCCGAGTGCGCATGTTCCAAAAGCCGCAGCCGATTGAATTCACCCAACGAATAATGAACGGCGTTCCTTATGGGCCTGTAAAGTTCGCTGGCCGTGTCGGAGGATGAACGGTATTCCTCATGAGCTCGTGAAGTCTGCTGGCCGTGTCGGACAGGCAAGGGGATTTGCCAAATGAGGGTTTATTTAGTTTTTTTTTTCTCTCTCTCCAAAAACGTCGTCGGTGGAGCGAGCCATCGGTGTCCTGGCCAGACACGAAGCCTCCACCTTCTTCACCCCCCTCTCTCACCCCCCACGTGCCCCCACAAACCCTCGAAGCAACACTCCACTTCCTGGGCAAGGCGTCTCATCCGAAACAGACCTCGAAAAGTTAAATGAGAGGATTTGCTGTCAGCTCGCCAAGCATGAATGTGCCCACGTATGTACGTACGCTGAACTTCTTTCGCACCATGCGTAGGCAACCGTGCGTGCACCAACGCCGGGACACGCTCGCACGCGCGCATGCACGCACACCGGAAAGAAAGATCCCCCCCACGTGGCCCACGCGAGCCGCCGAGGCGAGTCCCGTCAGCGAGCGCCCACAAAGTGCGACGCACGAGAAGGAAGGCGCGTGACCTAGCCCGGCACAAGCTCCGCGGTGACGTCACCGTCGTTAGCGGCACGTGGTCGTCGTCGTCGTCGTCGTCGTCGTCATCGTCATCTTACCTCCCAGCGTGAGGCGGCACGAGGCGGACGAGGACCCGGCCAGGTTGCTCGCTCGGCACGTGTAGTCCCCCGCGTCCTCGTCCCCCACGGCATGCAGCGTGAGCGCGCCGCTGTCGCCGTCCACCTCCACCCGCGGTCCCGCGCGCAGCTCCGTGCCGCCTGGTCGCCACATGCAACCGGAGCTCCACGTCGTTATCGTTGTCGTCATCGTCGTTATCGTTGTCGTCATCGTCGTTATCGTCATTGCTACGACGACTGCAAGCTGCGCCCCGCCGAGTCTCGGGGCTCGGACAAGTTTCCACGGTAGGCAGCAATGTTGCTGCCGATATCAAATGTTGTCGTAATTCCAAATTGAGCGATGTGCAGGTTCATGTTTAACATTGGGATGTTTGGCCAATACCAGTTGCATGGTGTTTTTTTTTAAGTTAAGGTCGGAAAACTGGAGAACCCGGAGGGAACCCACACAGAACAGGGTGAGTTGATGTCATCTCCACACAGAAAGGCGCGCGAGTCGGAAAATCAAACCCAGGTCCCCCTTGCCGTGAGGCGCAAGCGTTCCCACTGTGCCACCCTTATTGGGGAGTGCTTTTGTTCTTTGGAATTAATAACATTGCCGGTAAAATAATCCGTGCTTCGTGTTTCCTGGCTGGCTGCTGGCTGGGCTCCTCTGCGCCCCCAACAACAACTCTCGGGGTAGAGGCACATCGTGCGTGGGTGCGGGAAACGAAATCCTCAAGAAAACACACATTCGGCCGTGTTAATGGTCAAATAATGTTAATTTTGAAGAAGAAGAATAAAAATTACCGCAGTCATTTAATTGTGATTGCTTCGTTATTTCACGCTAGCGGCAGTAGCCTGTTTTCCTGAAATTCTACCAGGGATTGGAGTGGCCTGCTCGGCTGACCGCACGTAGCCTGTGCCCGCCAGAGCACAGCGATGCATCCCACACACTATCCAACAAAATAGCGATCACCTCGTGCCACACGGGCAACGCACTTCTCTGTCCTTGCGCCCGCAACCCTCACCTCTGTGCCAGGTGAAGCGCGGCGCGGGCGAGCCCGTGGCGCGGCACTCGAGACGCGCCGATGCTCCCCGCGCGACCAGCACCTCGGCGCTCACCGGGACGACCGAGGGCAGCTCTGGGGACGAGAGACGCGGAGGAGACGACGGGGCATTCACGGCATTGACCCCTTGGGTAAATTAACAGCGGGAGAGCACATTCTTCCACATGCTCCGCTGTTAGATTACTTTGTCGTGTGGCAGTCAAACTGATATTTTACATTCCCAGAGCCGCAACTCAGCCAAACTAAGCACGGAAATCAATGCAATGTATTGGGGTTGTATTTTTGCGTGCACAGTCATTGGCGAGCGGTTTTAGACCGTCAACTCACTACACTTGGGAACAAAGACAAAGATCCCCCGCATAGCCTCAAGAGGCTGTAGGGGAAAGTGCTGGAAGCGAGCACCTATGAAGGTCGCCTTTGTCTACCCAATGGCGATGTTTACACACTGCACCAGGTACTCATTTAAGGCTGAATCAACCTAGGGGAGGCCCAGGACCGGTTCAGATAATCGTCACTGATATTGGCCGTGGGTGGGAATTGAACTTGGCTCGCCGGGTTCATAGCGCAGCGCGCTCACCGCTGCGCCACCGCTCCCCACTACACTTGGGAACCCAGTTATAGTCAAAGGTGGCTGAAACCTGATTCAGACCCAGGATCTCAGGCGGTCTTGAAGCCCTGTTGGGCGTTTCACTCATGGCGACGTCTACACAGTTCACCGGCTGGTGCAACGGCCCTCCATAAGGATTCATACTCTCACCTTCTGAACTATAGAGCTTATCTTAGGTTCATCCTCGTCAAGCGTCCCGATAGGCTCCCGCCGGGACCAAATGCTTGTCTATGGCCCCAGTGTGATGTGCTTTCACATATATACAATATGCCCATGTGCTGCGCAGAGCACGATGAGGTCAAGCATACCGTGACAATTACCGCAGCGGAAGTGTCGTTTCTTCATCCACTACTCATTTCCCAATTAACTCATTGTCACTTTCGGTGCACTAGAGTGTGAACATTCTCTTAACCGGTAACACCTGGGAATGCAAGACCAATAGGATATCAATTGTAGTCCCACTGCATCCGCATGTTCTAGTGAAATCAGTCAAATTAAAGTCACAGTCTTCTGCTCAAAAGAACATAGAGGCAGTGCCCATCTCCTGCCATTAGCCCTGAGCCAGTGGTGAAAATTCCACATTCCTTTGGCGGGGGCGAGTAAGTCCAGAGGACAACTACAGTTGACTTCCCCACACAGTGGTACCAAATTTAGAGACCCAGGAGGGATGATGGGCTTCGTCAACTCCAAACCAGGATTTGAACTGACAAACTTCCAAGCTGCTCATTTGAGTGCCGAGGCACGCGACGTCCAGGGATAGACCATAATGACGTATCACAAATACATTTGCCTCACAATTATAATTATACCGCCCCTTTGTGCCGTTCAGGAAAGCCTCACGGAGTGCACGCATGATAATTGGTTCATTGCCTCATCACGTGACTTCAAACTATCCACACTGCGGCCCCACACCTCCGATTAGTGCGGTTAGCTACATACGGTACAAAAGAAGCTCACTATACTAATATACATAGACTCGCACAGACACGCATAGACTCATCACACAGAGACCCATAGACTCATCATAGAGAGACCCATAGACTCATCACACAGAGACCCATAGACTCGCACAGACACCCATAGACTCATCACACAGAGACCCATAGACTCATCACACAGACCCATAGACTCATCACACAGAGACCCATAGACTCGCACAGACACCCATAGACTCATCACACAGAGACCCATAGACTCATCACACAGAGACCCATAGACTCACACAGAGACCCATAGGTTGTTGTCCTTCCCCCACACCTCCAATTAGCGCAGTTGGCTATGTATGGTGCGAAAGAAGTTCAACGTACACACGTACATATAAAGGCCTTACTGAGTTGCAAGACAATTTTTTTTATCAGTGTCCCGCTAATCGGATGTTTGGTCAATCCCATTGACGAGCGTGTGACTTGCGGGAGCAAACCAGAGTAGATGCAACAACAACAAACCCACACGTACGACGGGATAGCTCTCAGAGCTCTGCACAAATAGATTCAAGAATACAGTGGTGTCTTTCTAACAAAGACCTGCAACACCGAACTTTCCCACACAGTCTCACATCCAACTAACGAACCACGCTCCAACTTGATCAGTTTTTCCGAGATCCGACGAGATTGGGCACTTCCAGGGTGATTTGGTCTCGGCCCCGTGATGGGTGTAATGGAACATCCAAGACGTAAACATTTTACAGCTGGCCTGTCGTGAGAATTGTTCACATCTGCACTCTGCTCAAAGGTTTAATCGAAGGAGGCGATGCTCACCGCGCACGCCCAGGTGGTGTTGCGATCACGCTCGCGGCCAACGCCTCTCGATGGAGGACGTGAGCACAAGTCAAGAAAATGGCGAGATTAATGTTGAACCACCAACAGCACCGCCGCCACTGCCGCCACCGCCATGGTGATTGCCGTTGTTGTTTTATTTTTTTCCTGCTGTTGGCATGCGGCTGTTATTGGCCCGGATCGTCAGCTGTGCTTCAGCCAAACTGTGCGCCAATGGCGCGGCGGAAACTTTAGTAATTGCAGCGCCCCTAATTGCACCAGCAGAGAGAAGCCAGCGGGGCGACTGATCGAGGCCGCCAATGAGCTGTGATGGGCGACCCTTTCACTCCACACGAAGAAGTCAAAGCGAGCGATGGGCGCTACCACCAGCGCGCCCACCCGCCAGCCCACCTGGGAACCGCGTCCCTGAGTTCCACATTGCCTTGTGCGACGATTGATGCGTTGGTATCCCTTAAGTCCAGCGCGAAGAAGTATGGCTAAATAGCCCATGCAATCAAACGCGACAAGAGGGATGCCCTCATCCAGCACTGGATTGACAAGAGGACCGTACTTGTCAAACAAAACGAACAGGCCGCTGTGTGTCGGCGTCATGGTCTAAATCAATCTAATTCGAAAATTGCGATCATCGCCCCCTCCACTGGCAGGCGAATGCCCACCTGCAGGCCAGGGTGCTGAGTCACCTGGTGCCACACAGGGACAGATGCCACAGTGGGGAGGAGGGGGGGCAGGGTGCCCCTTTGAAATGTCTGAGATGAGATGTGCGATCTAAGTTGCCCTGAGATGCCCCGGCATAAGAACACCGCGGTTCACGCCACCAAGCCAGCTGACCGTCGCGAGCGCCCCGCGGGGGCGGAGATCCGCCGTGCGCGTGCCCCTGCTCACCTGTGTAGGTGAGCACGGCGGTCTGGCTATGCGTCCCGGCACGGTTCCTTGCCGTGCAGGTGTAGGAGCCGGCGTCGAGCCGCGCCGCTGCCCTGAGGAGCAGCGTGCCATCCGACAGCACCGAGCGCCTGCGGGGAGCCGGCGGGCACGCACACACGCGCCGCTGCGGGATTAGCGGCTCACAATCCCGGGCCTCGCGGCTCACAATCCCGGGCCCCGCGGCTCACAATCCTGGGCCCCACGGCTCACAATCCTGGGCCCCGCGGCTCACAATCCCGGGCCCCACGGCTCACAATCCAGGGCCCCACGGCTCACAATCCTGGGCCCCACGGCTCACAATCCTGGGCCCCGCGGCTCACAATCCCGGGCCCCGTGGCTCGCAATGCGGGATCTGCAAGCTGCGATTATTCACAGCTGGAACTTAGTAGAGAAGGACAACAGCATAATTGAGGTGGCGTTTTTTTCGTGCAATTTATAAGCAGAATAAGAATCGGAAAACGTATTCATACTGGAGGAATCCGATGAGCTATAAAGCTCTTTCTTTAACAGATAACTGGCTGCACCATGCAGTTGTTAACCATGGAGAGCCCCACTGAGTCTCAAGACTCATACTCAGGAGGGCCTTACCAAGTTACCATAGAGGGGAGTGGCGATTGATACATGTTTCCCAATTTAAAAATATGTGGTATAATTTCGCAAATTTGGCATATTTGGACCAATGACGTCGTGAATTATGCCATGGGATCACCAAGATCCGCCGTGAAGCAGACGGAGCGCACTTTATGGTTTACGCACACACTGGAGGAATGTTAACCGGGGTGGCCTGCCGGATTCGAACGAAGAAACCTCTGTAGGATCACTTCGCTGGCGCCACCGCCGGTACTCGTCGGGGATAAGCGAGTGCGGGGAGGGGGGCGGCTTCTGTAGCGCGAGGGCTGGGGGGGGGGGGCCCTCTCTCCACACCCATTCCATCTGCAGCAGAGGGCAGCGAACCGGCACGGCGCACCTGGCAGAGTCGACGACGTCGGCGTCTCCGTGCGCCCACGTGACCGCCGGGGCCGGGTGTCCCGCCGCCCGGCACGCCACCCGCACCTCGGCGCCCGCCACGAACGTCTGGGAGGGAGGCGACACGGCCGCCCTGGGGAGGTCTGCGGGGCGGCCGGGCCGGTGCGGAGGAGAGGGGGCGCAGGGGGCGCAGGGGGTTACCGGGGAGCATCGGCGCTCACCGACGCCAGGGAACCGGGCCATGCCGTTCCGGCGTACGTCTCAGTATCCCAGTTGCGTAAGATTGAAAATAAATGTTTTTTTGATTGACATTTTTCAGGAGGGTTGTGCCCAGTTTTTTTCAGTAAGGGGGCAATGTTGCTGCCATGTGTGTCAAATGTGTCACTGGTGTAATCTGTAAACATGCCCACTAGGGAGACAAAGGCGGCCGGGCGTGGTTTTGGCCACCCACCGCCTCGTGTGCCATTCCGGCCTTCATAGGTGCTCGCAAACACCACTTGCCCCAATGGTGTGTTAAGGCTACACGAGGGATCTTTGTCTTTGTTCTATTTAAGAAATGTGCAGGTAACTTCTCAAAATCGGGGTGTTTGACGAATACCGGTCACATTGTAAGGATTACTCTTTGGTTCTTTCGGTAAAGTTATGGAGGTATAAAATAAAATAAATCACGACGTTTCGGGCACAACACAAGCGTCCATCATCAGGTGGGAAAGCTGCTTATTTTCTACCTACGTGATTTTACCGAAAGAACCAACGTGTATGGATTCCTGAAGTTACTAAAGCTTCAAATCTAGATTGTCAGGATTGTTTTTTTCTTTTGGAAGAAACCAGAGGACCTGGAGGAAACCTTTGCGGAACAGGGGGGAGAAGACACAACTTCTACGCAGAAAGGGCACCCAAGTCGGGAATTTCCCCAAGCCCTTCTTGCCGCGCGAGGCACGCGAGACATTGCCGCCGTGCCACCCTGGTGCAACCCGGAGGTGGCAACGCCATCGCCGCGCAAAACCCTCTGACCGTCGAGGTGGAGCCACACGGACGCGGTGCTGGCCCCGCCGCGGTTGGACGCGGTGCAGTCGTAGCGGCCGGCGTCCCCGCGTCGAGCGTCACGGATCTGCAGCGTCGCTCGTCTCCCCGCGCCGCTGTCCGGCGACGGCGAGCGGCCGCGTCCGCCCAGGAGCGCCAGGGCGTCGACGGGGTGCGGCGGCGTTCCTGCGTGGGGAATTGGCGAAGCCCCGTCATATCCCGCCGTGCTGGCCGCGTCAAGCTATGAGGTGTACTGCCGGCGGTTTAGAGTTCACGGGTTGTTGTGAGGAGTCACGTGACGAGCGTCGGTCGAGCGCTGGTGAGCGCGTGACGAGAGATGGGCCGACGTGAGGTGCTGCAAGCCGGGTTTGTTTATGGCGCCGACGTTCACGACGTTCGTGGCCGCGCTTAAAGTCGATGTTAAAAGGTTTTGTTACGAGACCATACCCGAGTGAGTTCACTTGGCTGTACGAGTCGGTGAGGTGCCGTGGAGTGGAGAATCGAATTCACATTTCAGGTCCCTCTTCGGTGGTCATGCCGATTGTTTAATTGTGTGAGGATTTGCGAATGGCTGCGGGAGGATGACGACGATGACAATGATGATAATGACGACGATGATGACAATGATGATGATGATGGTGACGACGACGACGACGATGATGATGACGAAGATGAATATGAGCGGTGGCAGCGTCATCGTCATGAACCTGCTCACCTCGATGTGCCACGTGCCGCGTCCACGTCACGTTGTAGCTCACATCTTGACCCCCGACGCGGCAAGAGAGCGTCGCCGTCTCGCCGGGAGCAACCGTCACGTTGCCGAGGGCCCGAACCTCCGGGGCCGGCTCTGCTCACCGCACAAAGGAGCCCGGCAAAAACACAAAATAGCGATTGCTGCGCGTTCGAATAGTTTTGCGTCGAACCGGGACACGTTTGTCATGGCGAGCGGAGTCCTCGCTTATGAACATTCGACGGAGTTTGCGTCAAGAAAGCCTGAGCAGCCTCGGGGAAACAGACAGTAGTGAGAGTTCGGCAACTAACCTGCTGCACTGCCTACCAACCCCTCCTTCATGGTTATGTTTGTCGGCGTGAGTCTCCAAAACGTCGACAAAGCGGTTCCCTGCTCAAGTGAGCACTGAGGAGGTGCTCGTCTCCCTTTTTACAGCCTACGAGGCCAGTGGTGGAAATTCCACATTGCTATGGCGGGGGGGGGAAAGTCTTCCCGTTGAGCAACCACCGATGATTTTCTCAAAGCGGTGCCAATTCTACCGACCGTGGTGGGATTGATGGGGCTGCGTCAACCCCCCAACCGGAATGCGCGACCCCGAAATATCGGGGCGCGCCAATCCCATCCCCGTCTGCTCGAGATCACGAGCGGATTATTTTTCCTGAGCGACTCTCGGAGGGAGGCAACACGGCCACCCTGGGGAGGAGGCGGTGTGTGGGGGGGGGTGGGGGGGGGGGTCGAGTCGCTGACCGGTGATCTGCAGGTAGGTGGCGGCGTGTCCGGCCCCGGCCTGGCTCACGGCCACGCACTCGTAGCGGCCCTCGTCGCGCGCCGTCGCCTTGCCGATCTCCCAGCTCGCGCTGCCGGACTCCCTGCACACGCGCGCGGTGGCGGCAACGGCGGCAGCGGCGGTCGCATCAACGATAATAATTACACGGCGGAGCACAGTCACATTGGGGGCGTCCATTTGACACTCTTCGGAGCGAGGCTCTCGCGAAGATGCGAGGCTGCGCGGACACACGGCCCGCGATCATGTTAAAGTAAGGTGGGGGGAGGGGGGCGGCGGGGGGCGGCGATTGCCACATCTGATTCCAATCAAGTAATTTGTGATGTCGTTTTGTCGATCAAGCAAATTTGGGCCGCGACGCCGCCACACGATGGCCTACTCTCGTTTCGAACGGCATCGAGGAATCTTTTGTAACTGTCATCGCGACGGTGACGTCCGCTGTGATATGGACGGTGCATTATACTCTGCGGTTAATACACCGGCAGCAGTAACCAGGGCTTCCTGCCGGGTTAAACAGGACGGCAAAAGCAGGGCGCATAGGCTGAGGAACATAGATGTACAGTACAACTGGACATCTCTGCACTGCTCCGCGGTGCCCACGACCATGCCCCACAGCGGCAGCCTATACCATCTCGATTTGAATCTTGATTTGAAGCTTTCGTGACTGCAGGAATCCATACTCTTTGGTTCTTTCGGTAAAGTCACGTAGGTAGAAAAATAAAATAAAACAAAAAATAACAAATCACGACGTTTCGATCGCAACACAAGCGGTCATCCTCAGGCGGGAAAAAATAATCCAGCAGTGGAACTGCTGAACCAGCGAGAGAGCTGCTACAACAAGAGGTTATTTATGTGTTTGAGGGGGGGTATGTAGCCCAAGGGCAAACATAAAAGCCTATACCATATAAGTACCGTCGTACTTTAAAACGATTTGATGCGGCGACCTTCGCAAATATTTAAAAGAATCCGACATTAAGGGATAGGTATTGCAAGGTCGCTGACCTTACGCAGGCGATTGCTTTCACAGGCTGACATATGGAGGCAGCGGTTTATGTGGACACGGGGGGAGGAGGTTGCGTTGGGCTGTAAACTCTGAGCGTGAACGCAGCCGCGAAGCATCAACCGCCTTGGCTATCTCTGCGACGGCAGCAGCCGGTACAAATGTGCTTCGAATAAACAAGTTGTCTGCAATAAAAGGTCCCGAATTTATCCCCGAGAGCCCCGTTAAGTCCCAAGACTCACTCTCGGCATGGCTGATTTGATTTGAGGCTCGTCTGACTGCACCGTGCTCGAACTGAAGTTTTTATTAAACGAAAGTCCGCATAAAACATTAATAAATGACCGAATTTATAAGTCAATAGAGGCATTCATGAATAAATTGTAAAATGGCAGAAAGGATAAACATTATTGAATGACTGCATGGATAAATAAATTAATGCAATTAAATAATTGAGTGAACAAATTAACAACAACTAAATGAATGAATAACCACCAAATGAATGAATAAAGGAATGAAATGACGGGGAGCCCCTACTTGAGAAAGTTCTCCCGACCGAGCGGGGCGCCGTTGCGAGTGAAGCGCAGCGTGTAGGGGATGAGCGACTCCACGGAGCAGGTGATGGCGACCGCCTGCAGGTAGAACGCCGCCGTCCACTCGGCCATCCGCACGCGCGGGAGATCTGTTCCACGCAGCACCGGCGGCGAGGTCGGGTAAGGGTTGGAGGGCAGGGGGGGTCACGGGCAGCGCACGTCACGCGGAACGGACGGCAGGCCTGTTCTAGGACGGACGACTTGGCGACTCCGCGTTCGGCAGTGGGTTGCGCAAAGCGCGAGATTTTTGTCCGTCGGCTCGAACGGGCGAAACGATGGCGCCCGGCACGTTGAACGCTCGTACGCGTCGCAATTTGTTTGGCCGTGTCGGGTGGTGGGGGGGAAAGTAACGGCACGAATTTTGGTCCGGACCATTACGTGGCCAAACACAAAAAAATACGTCGTGAATCGTAATGTTGGCTGCAAACTCAACGGCGATAACACCGTGGCCTCCATCAGGACAATCTAGAATCGGTGACGCTTTTGGGCAATGGGCCGGTCTTCATAACGCACCTGGATTTTGAAGGTAATCAATGTGCATTCAGCTTTGTAATGAGACAGGTTAAAGTGAACAGATGCTTGTGACCTGATGATCGTGTTTCTTTTCGTCAGTGTGTTGCAAGTCAGTGACGTTTGGGTGACCTCTTTAAAAACCCTCAGCAGGACTTCAAGCAAATGTTACGCTCTGCGCGAATTGTTCAATGGAAGGCATTAGCGCAGTACTTAGGATAACTCTGACACCCACGACTGCGTGGGGTTCTGTGGTTGTGCCGCTCTGCGTCTCCCCGGTGTGCGTTTGTGTCGTTCCGCGTGCCATTCGGCACGATGTCCGACGCTTTGCTCTCATAGCACGTGAAGCATATGCAGATTTTATCAGTCGCTCATAGCCCACATGCTGCCAATCGGATTAGTTCCTGTATTGACCATCTTGAGCAGTTGAACGTTCCGCAACTCCTGAAGATGCCTGCAGTAGCATGTGGCGAAAATTTTTAAAGCGGAAATGCTCAGCACGTGGCCTAACCCGCAAGGCCTCACAGCCCTGAAACTCGCCGAGGTCTATCGAGATATCGTAGATGAGCGAGGGTGGACCGGTGACTTCACCGAACTGTGACGTCGTGCAATGCGCACCGGGCACGATGTTAGAGAAAGCCACGCTGGAGTATCGCTGGAAGGAGAATCCGGCCCGATCGACGCCCGACACTCGCACAAAGAACTTCTCGGAGGGCGACACGAACTGCGCCACCCTCCAGATGCCCCAGGGCGCCGTGGCGGCCGGCGCGACGGGCAGGCCCTTAAGTGGGCGCCCGCATGGTGTCAGCAGCTCGACGCGCTCGGCGCGGCCCGGCACGCGCAGCCCCGTCACGTTCAGCAGCATGTGCGTCGGCAGGCCTGCGGTGGGGGGGGGCCGCAGGGTACATGGATCACTCACGCAGGAACCCTGACCAACCAACGGTGATGTCAATTGTGCCTGGGAACCAACGTGGAGAGATGGAGGACTGAGATCAGCTCGTGCGCTCTGTGAATCACTCCTTGCACACCACTGACTCAGGCACCATCAACAACATTGAGTACCGCCCCCCACCCCCCAGCCACCCACCGCCTTCACGCTTCTCTGTGCAGGGATGCCAGGAGTCGATCTCAAGCAAAGGGTCGGTACCTAGGACGGGCCGTCGCTCCGTGCGGCCGTAGTCATCGGTGGCCGTGCGGGAGAAGCCGGCGTGGAAATCGATGGTGCTCAGCCCCGTGACGCGGACCGAGTGGCGCCCGGAGCTTGTGATCTGTAGACAGAAAAGAAAACCTAAAATTCTAACTAAAAGCAAAAGTGCAGCATGCCATGTAAAAAAAAAGAAAACTGGCTGGGAAATTCCACGTCTTGTTGCACAAAGAGAGCAAGCAGAGCTTGAGCATGGGGATAGGGGATCTGAACGATAGGGGATATGAACGATAGGTGATATGAATGATAGGGGATATGAACGATAGGGGATATGAACGATAGGGGATATGAACGATAGGGGATATGAACGATAGGTGATATGAACGATAGCGGATATGAACGATAGGGGATATGAACGATAGGCTCCACTGGCTGTGAACGGAGCGCCGGTTCGGCTGCAGTTGTCACGGCCCTCTCATCACAGCAGGCATCCCCATTCACGAGGAGCCATCCCTGCCGACCGAGAGGCGCCCGGGCCAGACTGCAGATCGCGATCAGTGCATGCCCCCACTGCACCTGCAGCCACATCGACGATGGTCATCAATTTCGCCGGCGTCCAACAACTGCGGCCTTTGTTGACCGTCACCGTCGCGATGACGGTTACAAATGCGCGCGTCTTTCCCCCGCGGGCTCCAGTGGACTGTGCGGATCGTGCCGGGATTATTTTTCACAGAGATACACGGAGGAAAGCCATGCATCGTCGGTGTGGTTAATAAACCGTGTTTGTCAAAACTTCAGCATGCCTCCCACGCTCAAAAGGAAAGTTAATAGGCATTTCTGCCAGCCGCCATGGTTCATTTTCCACATTCCAATGGCAGGGGCCATTCGCTCCAAGGGTTGACAATTGGTAACGTTCCACAAAGTGGTACTCATTGAATTCACCGCAGGAGAGAAGACGGGCCAAATCATTCCCCAACCAGGATTTGAGCTCGCAACCGTCTGTGAGTCGAACGCTGTGCTACAACGCAACTCTCATGCAGACTGGCTGAATATTAACGCAGAAATGTAACTTTACATTTATGACAACAAACACAATAATAATAAGTCAGCCCTTTGTCAGCCCACTGCTGAAAGCTTAACACACTGTGGGGAGGCCTTAAACCTGCAAGTGGATTGACAAAGGGCTGTAAAAGATGTAAAATATTTGCAAATAAATAATTTAAATAAAACGTCCGCAGACTTTTTCCAGTAGGGTTTCTGACTTGGGGTTGTGGTCAATTCCTGATTGAACATTCAGAGTGAAATTCAACTTCGAATGGAGCTGAGGCTTCCAGTTATCGTTGCGCAGATTGAAAAAGAAAGCACAATCTGGCAGTTGCTAATCTGCAAGGGAAAGCGATTTTGTGAAATAACGCAGAGGCATTGCCTGACCTCGTCACGTGCATTTGGGATGAATTACCTCATCACAGTAGCTGCGTCTGAGACCATCCTCTGGATTATGTCTCCTCAAAACGATCATAACTCTTGCCGAATGGAGATTCCAGGAGATGTGAAATCTGTAAATTCCTGGATGTAAGTTATGTTGAAAGCGGGCCCAAAAGAGATATATATTTCATTTTGGGCTTAAGTATTAAAAAGAATGAAGGGCTTCATTGTTGAGAGATGCAAGCTTCGCGGAAGAATCGTGACACTTTTGCCCTTTAAAAATAATTCCCTGCTGTTTTTTTTTAAATAAAATTCCACGTGAGGAATTAGAAACCCGTAAATCTCTTCCTGACGGATTCCAGGAAGCCGCTCCGCGATTTGCCCGCACAAAGTGTGCAGGGGCACCCAACGAAGTGCAGGATTTTAAAATCCCCCCCGATGTAATCTTGAGGAACCTCTAGAAAACAATCCGCCCTGATAATAAAAAAAAATACTTATTACGCTGCATGACAGATGTCGTATGTTGTAGTACATTTTAAAAAAAGTAGATACGACAAGTGGTATTCGCTTGTAGATGTCGCACCAACCTTTTCAAAAAAATAATTAACGTGATCAATTTTTGTTTTTTTAAGAATAGAAATGCAGGCAGTCATCCGTAAATCAAGACGGCCCGGCATTGGGATGTTTGACCAACTTATTTTTTCCTGGGTATGGGTAAAACTGGATAGCCCAGATAAAACCCACCTCTCAGCCCAAGCCTATACAACACAACGCACTCCCAAGCAGTCTCACATCGAAGCATGGACCGGCTTAAAGCCTGCTTAGCTTCCAAGATCCAACGACATTGGGCATATTCGGCACGTTTAGGCTCGTCGGTTAATTCAAGCGATGTTGGTACTGAACAAAGCGCGACCATCACACCCAGCGACTCACACGAGAGAAACGAGAGCTTTTAGTTGCACATATCCAACGGAGGCCAAGTAAATACAGTATGTGCAGAATCATCTGGGGTTCCAACCAATGCTTCATAAGCATTTCCTGTAGATATATATTTTTCCCCCTCATGTTTTTTTGTCAGATTGTAATTTTTTAACATAATTTGCAAATATGCTGGCAAAAGGAGACAATGGTCAAAGCCTGATCCAATAGGCCTTCATCCAAAATCAAACGCCCCACCATCCCCCACGTGCACGAATCTTTACAAGTGCCTGTCAAAGTATCGCATTTGAGGAAACACTCCGTTGTCGGCACAGCGAGCAACACTTTGGGGAAGAGTTTGCGTGCGTGCCGATTACGTTCAGCGGCGACGTTTTCTCTCCGGGTAATTTTTCTCTCTCATCGAATTGGCATCGGATTTTTGGAGGGAAAGTTCACATTGGCATGGGCTCATGATAAAGTACGATGTTATAAACTCCCATCACAAAACAACAATAAAACCTATCTACACGATACTCGCAGTATTGCAACTGCAGTCAATGTTTTATTTTATTGTCTTTATTACGCTTATTCTACCGAAGAAAGCTTCAAAAAATATTTCAGCCGGGTCCTGTCAACTTTCCACAGCAGTGGGCAATGTTGCTGCTGCTGCTGTGTGATCCCAATTGAGTAATTTTCATGTACATTTTAAGCGTTGGGATCTTTAGCCAATACCGGTGACATTGTTTTGTTTAGCTGTGGCAGAAAACCATGAGGACCCAGAGGAAAGCCATGAAGAACAGGCGGATATCATACAAACTCCACATGGAAAGGACGCCTCCCCCCGAGGAAGGAATTGAACCCAGGGACTCAAGCTGCGAGGCACAAGTGTTACCGCTCTGCCACCTTGTTGTCCGAAGGTTTGAGGCATACGTTGGTGTCGTTTTCGCAAGGTTCAACGTGGTTCGCATCGCTCAATTAGGAAACATCAACAACAAAAAACGAGGGGGCAAAACACGTCAATGCAGCTGTCAGCTCCTCGCGAACATTTCCTGGGTCATTGCCGCGTCGCCGCCGTGATCCGACGCAGATCGTGACCCCGGTTGCCTCTCATAATGCCGTGCCGCAGGCGATGCCCTCTCGCGTAGTGCCGCCCCCTCGGGAGTCCTGGCGGTTTCACTCTGGGGCTCAGCGAGGCCCGCCCAACCTGGCCGCGAAGCCGCCGGCCGCTTGAGCGGGAGAGGACAACCGGCGGTTGGGGCCCTGCCCTCTGGCGCCAGTGGAGGGCGTCGGCGCTCGCCGAGATGAACGAGTTGAGGGGCGACGGAACGGCAAGACGAGTAGGGCGGTGCGCTATGAATGAATGGCGTCTGGCACCAAGGCCGTAGTTATAATATTTATTGGGGGGGGGGGGGGGGGACACACGTCCCCCTCCTATATTCAAATATGCTCAAAATGTCCCCCCCCCCAATATATTGCTATGAAATAGATTTCTGTTTATATGATTGTGGTTATGGTTGTACTTGATTAATCCCTAATCTCTGCCATTACATACAATGAAACAATAAAAGGTAAAAAAGAAAAAACAGAAATGTAATATAATACACTATTAGACATTATTGTAAAAAATAAATAAAAAGTCCATCCTAAGTGTTAGTGATTTTTTTTTATATTTAGGCAGGAAATTCGTTTTCAAATTTAGAATTTTTCTGGGGGGGGGACCCCCTGGAAGATTTGGTCCCTCTCAATGTTGATTCCATAGCTACGGCCTTGCCTGGCACTTATGGATGGAGTCTTATGTAGGGCACAAAGCCTGGGACAGTGAAATGCAGTATACGGTGCATAAAATATGTAAATTACCGTGGCTGCTACAGATGTTGTGAAAACTGTTTCCAGTATTCCTCACCTTGGAATTTCTCCTCATCGCTCTTCTACTGCTACTTCCATGGTTACTGTTCCCATGAACTTCGCTAACCGATTCCTCCACCCGTGTTGAGGACTCGGTCTTTACCAGACACTGCCCGCGTTATCCAGACTGTGTTCAACCAACACCACCATCATGCTGCAGGTCACAACACTAACTATCCCACCCACTCACTCACCCACTTCAACCACTCACTCACTCAATCCCTCACCCACTAAACCACTCACTCACCCACCGACTCATCCATTCACTCAGTCACCCAATCACTCACCCACTCACACACCCACCCACTCATCCACCCACCCACTCACCCATTCACTCACCCACCCACTCACTCACCCACTCACTCACCCACCCACTAACCACACTGCAGGCCAGATCACTTCTCTTTCTGCTTCTTCCCTCAAGCTGCTCCACTTTGGAATTCCCTCCTGCCGTCTATTTTCCCACGTTTCTGACAATGAACTTGCTCAATTCAAGAAACATGTCAACTCTTTTCAATTGCACATCCCATTGTGCTGTTTGTTGCTGGCTGCATGATGTTTTTGGCCTTTGGGCCTTGTGCTCAGCAACGCTAATGAATAAAAAAAATGTACAGCTCAACTTAATCAAACACAAACATCCTCTAGCCCTATAAACTACTCTTTGAGACTGCCGAATGGCAGAGCAAGTTCCGTTACCAAAGGATCATCAAATCCGCCGTAAATGCCAAGTCGTATTACAACTTACGATTCCACCTCAGAGGCTACCGACGTTATGATTGGCAGCACGTAACAGTCCGCTAAGGTTTTCTATCACTGCAATAATAGAATCACTGAATGGGGGAATTTCCCTTTCAAACCCCGCTGGCTTGTAAGACAACATGGTCTTAAGCTGACCCTGTGACCCCTGCTGAACCATAGCGGCTGAGCCCAATGGGAAGCCTGCAAGGAAAATAGAGGGCCTCAAGATTAAAGGCCAAAGGTTAACGACTTCCTTCCGACATCATGAACAGCCGCAAAGGAGATCCTTGCTTTGTTATTTCCAACTCAGAACATTTTTTTTTGCTGTCAAATTATTTTTTTGTTTAAACTAAACTTTGTAAAAGCTACCTATGAACAAATGCACACACTTGATATGACCTGGAGTCTTTTTCCTAAAAAAACCCTCAGTTTTTACAAGGAGTATTTGAAACATTCCAAGCTTGGAATGTTAGGCTAATTGCTTTATAGGTATTCATTTTATTTCATATCATATGAAATTTAAATGAATTAAAACGCAAAAGTGTGTATGCCTTGTATCCATGCCAACCAATAGACCATAGATTTAAAAATGACAAATCACAGCATCCGCTTCGAGTATTACAATAAAAAATAATAAAACATAAATGCAACTCTCTGCCCCAATCCAGAATGTTACATATATTGCTACATTACATAAATTGCACCATCAAATTGACCCAATTATGCCATTTCAGAGACATCGAGGAAGACTGAAAAACAACATTGTAAATGGTAATAGCCTCCCATGTATTTCACGAAAAAAAATGTTTTTGATGACTGAACCAGCCCTGTCCGCCCCCCATCTTTGCCAGGCCACACTTACCATCATGGCGAAGTATGGACAAACCGCCACAACGACTGACTGAGCATAGGGAGACCGATGTCTAGCAGAGGCCAACAGAGTGCTGTGCGTTGTCGTTTTAAAATGTTTTAACACTCGAATGAAAAGGTGAGCTCAATCTCTGGGTAAAAAAAATATATATATGCAATCCATAACAGCGATTCTTTTTTTTTAGACAGACGAAATAAATGGCTGACATCAAGTCGGGGCCTGTGATCTAGCACTCGTTTGCAGAGCAGACATCAGACGCCACATTTAACAAGACGTATAATTACGTTGCCTTTGCGCTTCAAAGGCTCTCCCTGTCCCCGAAGGAGGAAAATAGCAGACGAGCGGAGATGACGCGAGCGTTTGAAGTCCACCGAACTGGGCGGGATGAGCCTGACGGGCGCACGTCACCCATCACGCGTTCGTCTCAGGCCACAGCAAGCGGAGAGGCAGGAGGAGATGGCTTTCGCAGGACGCGTTATTATTATTAACGATGTGCCCGTGTGACTCCTCAGACTCTGCAACTCGAGCTTTTGAAAAGCGTGCCCTGGTATGTGTGCACGCTGTCACAAATGAACTGTCCGGCCAAGAATAAAAAGCATTCGCGTTTTCGTCTTCAGATGAGAAATTGGACAGCACTTATTTACACTGGCAACCATTGGTGAGTGATGAAAATTCCACATTTCCACAGCGGAGGCCAGTTTAGTCATAGGATGGCAGCTATGTCTAACGTATATATGTATATGAGGTGGTGGGGTGGTAGAGGTGGGGTTGTGGAGGTGAGGTGGTGGGGTGGTGGAGGTGGTGGTAGAGTGGTGAAGGTAGAATGGTGGTGGTGGGTTGGTGGTAGTGGAGTGGTGGTAGTGGTGGGGTGGTTGGGTGGTGGTGGGGTGGTGGAGTGATGGTGGAGTAGTGGTTTAGTGGTGGTGGAGTGGTGGTTTAGTGGTGGTGGGGTGGTGGTGGTTGGTGGTGGGGTGGCGTTGTTAGCCGGTTGGTGAGCGAGGGGCACCTTGATGGTCCAGAGTCCGGGCGTGGGTAGTTTGACGCTGACAATGAGTGCCGAGTTGGGCAGGTGCAGGAGCTCACTCAGTCCAGTTTCCTGCTTGATCTGCTTGCCTATAAGGGGGGGGGGGGGGGGGGGGGGGGGGGGGGGAGCACACGTGGATAAATGTAAAGACAAAGATCCCCCATGTAGCCTTATAGACTGTCGTGGCCACGTGCTGTGTTGTGAACATTAAGGGCTGGCACGGCAACTGATGGAGTGGCATGAACAGCCCAGCTCACTCCACCGCTTAGCCACCGAGCAGTATTCTTTCATTATTGTCACCGGCTTAACTCTACCAGCTCAGGACATTCAACTGTGAAACGACAACGAGGCTCCACAAAGGAGCCGTAGTATTGAAGTCTGCCACCATGCTTTAAGTGATCCACAGGGAGGGGCCCAAGCAGTGGCAGAGAAGGCCTCCCCCCCTCCCCTCTCCTCGCCCGTGAGAACTTACGGCGCCCGGCGTCAACAGACATCGCCCGACTTCAGACATCGCCCGACTTCTTCTCGGCGGTAATAACGAGGCTTTGTCCACCCCCGCCCATCTCCCTCCCGTCGTCAGCGCCGCCCGCAACCCCGCTTACCGCTCGGGTCCCAGAGTTCCACCTCGGGGGCTGCTCCGCTCAGAGACACGGTGACCTCCCGCAGACTGGGGTCAAAGGGCACGGTCCAGGAGCGGTGGCCCGTCTCCTCGTGGTCGGTGGACAGGAGGTGAACCTTAGAGGCCTGCACGGCCTCTTCCACCCACTTGAGGACCTGCGGAAAGCGAAGCCGCGGGGCGGCGCGTCAACCGCGGCGCTCGTCGGCGAGACCACGGGGGAAGGTCGACCGGAGGGCAGGCGCGGCCGACACCGAGTGGGCCACCGGGAGGACCGACGCTCGGCCGACACGTGGTTTGGGGGTTTAACACGCAGCAGCAGTAGTAGGAAGGAGGCTTTCGCAACTGACACGGCCAATTAGTAAAGGGTCTGTCCCGTAAACAAAACGTGCCCGATTAGTTACTCGTTCAGCAACGCCGGTGTGTTGGGAGAGTTAACGCACAACTTTACAATTTGAGGACGACGTTTCGCTGGTGACTAGAGCCAGCTTCATCAGGCGAAGTGCTAGAATTGTGAAGAAGCCCTTCCTGTTTTGGTCTTGCGGTGAGGCCCTGCACCACCACACGTCCTTTTGGCTCCAACCAAGTTGAATAACTGCGCCCCCCCCCCATACCACCCTCCCAACACCCCGCCACACACCCCCCTACACACCCCCCACACACACCCCCCACCCTCCTCACACCCCCACACACCCCCCCCCCCCACCACGATTCCTCTTGCTTTACTCACCAAGCAAAGCGTCATCACCGAGTTACGCTTTTTCTCAGTTTCAAGTTCATTCTGTTTGACCAGGGTGAGAACTCAAGAGACCAGGAGAGACTAATTTGCAAGATATTAACTTGCCTCAAGATACATTAGCTTAAGGCTCCTTCTTGGGGATGTTTGCCCGTAACTTTTGGCATTCCCCCTCCACACCACGCCCCCCAAAAAATAGATCACGGTCCTCAAATATGAAACCGCATTGCCAGCGCGAAATTTCCATAATTACAAATCCCCCCGTCGGCCGCTTATGTAAAGTGATTAAATTATTGCATAACGCGGGCATGGAGAGACATTCCGAGCCGCAGTGAATCGCGTTCAAAGCGGGGGGGAGGGGGACATCCACGCTGACGAGCCACCAACAGAGCTAATCCACGGTTCCACTCGGCCTCACTTAATTGCACGCGATTGCTGACATTTAAAATTAAGGGACGCGTAAATTGGCAAAGGGGGGGGGGGGGAGGCATCGGTAAATCTCTAATTAATCTTGGCAAGGTACACGCAGGGGGAGCGCCGCAAGCTGAACGCTGGGATCGCCGCACGCGCCCTGGGGTTTGCGTGTATTTATTACTTATTAAATACCCATTTATTTATTGCTTATACTCACAAAGTTGTTGGGCACAGGCGGCCCAGAAGCCCGCAACCTCTAACAGCACTATCAAAGTTGTAATTGATAAAAAAAACGTGTTTTTTTTTGTTGAAGAGCTATGAAAAAATATGATGGTGGGAATTATAAAGCGTGGCACGAGAAAGAAGCAGACAGAGAAGTGTTGTGTCCTGCAGTGTGGTGAGTGAGTGGTTGAGTGAGTTAGTTGATGTCATAATGAGTGGGTGAATGAGGGATTAGGTTAGTGAGTGAGTGTGCGAGTGAGTGAGTTGATGTCATAATGAGTAGGTGAATGAGGGATTAGGTTAGTGAGTGAGTGGTTGAGTGAGTTAGTTGATGTCATAATGAGTGGGTGAATGAGGAATTAGGTTAGTGAGTGAGTGTGCGAGTGAGTGAGTTGATGTCATAATGAGTGGGTGAATGAGAGATTAGGTTAGTGAGTGTGCGAGTGAGTTAGTTGATGTCATAATGAGTGGGTGAATGAGGGATTAGGTTAGTGAGTGTGCGAGTGAGTGAGTTAATGTCATAATGAGTGGGTGAATGAGGGATTAGGTGAGTGAGTGAGTGGTTGAGTGAGTTAGTTGATGTCATAATGAGTGGGTGAATGAGGGATTAGGCTAGTGAGTGAGTGTGCGAGTGAGTTAGTTGATGGCATAATGAGTGGGTGAATGAGGGATTAGGCTAGTGAGTGAGTGGTTGAGTGAGTGAGTTGATGGCATAATGAGTGGGTGAATGAGGGATTAGGCTAGTGAGTGAGTGGTTGAGTGAGTGAGTTGATGGCATAATGAGTGGGTGAATGAGGGATTAGGTGAGTGAGTGAGTGTGCGAGTGAGTGAGCACAGTAAGGTTGAGCATTGAAAAGCAATTCCAGGTACGATGCACGCGCATAGACTCTAAGCCGTATCCAATTTCAAACGGCTTCGTGTAATGGCCCAATACACGTGGAATCCAAACTGTTGTGATTTGGATAATTCAGAGCAGGTGTAGTTTCGGCCAAGGATGAAGAGGCATCCTCTCAGGCTGTCTGGTATGTCTCCCGAGAAGCCCAGTACAGTACAGGTGGTTTAGGTTTCTTGGTAAATCCACACTTTGATATAACCATGATAAATAACACTACGGGAGAATCTTGATAAAGGGCAGGCCAATTGACTTGCATGGACCAGCGAGTCCCCGTGGGCGTGAGGACACAAAAGGCGTGTGGTTGGGAAAACCTTTTTTTCTCACTTAAAATAATTAACCTGGATTTGTCCGGCATCTCGTCTGATGAGGCATCACGTGAGATGGGCCATCACACGAGTTACTGGTGGCCAGACCAAGACTGCTGACTCACTATATAACCTTATAAGCCAGTATAATACTGGTAGGAACCTCCTGGTTACACCAGCCCACAGGGGATTATTGTGTCCGTCCGTCCGTTGTGCATCCAAAAATGGGAGGGGTGGGGCTGGGTGGAGAGGGGAGGGTAGGGAGGGGCTGGGTGGGGAGGGGAGGGTGGGGAGGGGCTGGGTGGGGAGGGTGGGGAGGGGCTGGGTGGGGAGGGTGGGGAGGGGCCGGGTGGGGAGGGTGGGGCTGGGTGGGGAGGGGCTGGTCACCCCGTGGTGCCCTTATAAAACTCAACGTTTCACCTACTCACGCCGGCTTGTGCCCGCCCTCACAGTCGGGCATATTTGCGGAATACACCACGTGGTGCGGCCGTTGACCCTGGCCATTGACCGAGCAACCCAACGTTCCTACCAGCTCCCTCCGCAGGAATCTGTTCATGGACAGCTGCCCAGTTCTAACCTAGAATCTCAACGGTGTTGGCTCAATGTTCTAACCTAAGAAACACCTGGTCACCCCCCTCTATGTGTTGTTGGTGTCTCGCGATGCCCCTGAATAGCATTGTGGTTCAACTCCAGGTTTCAGCACTAGGAAAGCTGGCTTGGGTTTTCCAAATTGTCAATTTCCAGGTGCAATTGGGGTCAAATAGCATTTATGCTAATACTGCCACACCACAGCTGGTTTCGAGCAGCTGGCATGTGCTATGTGGAAAATCCGTGTCAGATCACGGTATACATGGAATTGGAGTTGACCTACACTTAACTTCCAGCACATGTTCAGGATTAAAATATACAACGGGCACAAGCTGGTACAAATTATATTTAAGAAGGTATTAAACAGTCGTTTTGTTATGTGGATAGGGTCGTCTCATCATAGGAATGAGGAATTCCCACCACCGGCGCAGGGCTGTAAACAGGAGAAAAGCATCGCCTCTGTTCCCATTTGAACAGAAAATCACTTCGACTTACTTATTATACCTAAAATGGAAACATTAACCCAATATGATGCATAATTATCCATCATTGTGAAATATCGTTTTGAATATTTAAGAATAATTAATTTGCAGACATTTGTCTCTCCAAAGGCCTCCCCACACCAAGTGAGTGGTGACCCAATGGTTAGCACACTACAGTATGAACCTGGCGCCCAGAGTCCGTATTCCCAGCCACAGCAGATATCAGTGGCACCAATCCTGGGCCCCCGACTTCACGGACCTGCACTGACGTGATTGTTCATGGTATATGACATTGTTAACCTAAATTGTCGGTACTTTTGCAATTCCATATTATCTTGTTATGACTGCAAGTATAGACTGTGGCAATTTACCGATAATTTGTTTATATGTGTCATTTCAGTTTCATGTTAAGCTAAATATAATTAGAGTTAATGTACATAAGTTGGGCCACGTGTTTATTTTTACCATGAATTGCCGCTGGAAAGTTTTCTTTAGGCTTTTTAAGGTCCTGGGAATTAAAACATTTACTAATAACAGAAATTAACATACTCAATGAGGAAATGAACACATGAAACTGTCACGTGATAGCCAAAGCGACATTTTACATTGTCTGCAATGGATGAAGCCAATCAAATCAAAACCAAATTTTACGTGACAGGGTTTTTTTGGAGGCATCAGTGTGACCAGGCTGAGATAATCTCCTGGCTACACCTGACCATTGGTGACCTGGCTGAGATCATCTCCGGGTTACACCTGACCAGTGGCGACCAGCTTGAGACTAGCTACACCTGGGGACCCAGTTTAATCACGGGCGCCTGCCCAGAACTAAACTCAGGATCTCAGCAGCAGTTCCGGCTCAGTTCTCTGACCTTGAGGAGGTGGCCACGTGGCCACCTCCACCTTTATGTTGCTCACTTTGTTAATTTTAAAAATTTCCACGTGTTGGTCAGGTATGAATAACCAACGTGAGAAGCGCAAATAAGTGTTATGCAATGCAGCTTGGATGTATAAACCACGTGACTGACTGCACCTCAAGACATACAATAGCTTAACTATTAATCCATACGGTTTATCCATAATAGAGGGTTTTTGGGTCGCGAAAGCCTACGTGTTAAACCATACGGTTTACCCGTATTCTTGTACAGGGAAATTGAGTAAAATATTTTTTGGGCTATGAAATTGTGTTTCTACCTTGTGATGGAACTTTGTAGGATGAACTTTGAGATTTATAAGGGCACGGGGTTACCGACAAGATCTGAATTGGTCTGTAATACGGTAGGGCACTGATAAGGGATTGACAGATATGGAATAGGTGGGGCATGAGGAGCAATTGTGGATGGGAGGCAGCGTGAGATCTGTCGTGACACCGGCCTAACCTTGCTGCAGGAGGCCTAACCCTACAGTGCAGTGACACGTGGGCACCCCTACGGTTGGCGCAACGGGTCTTCATCGTTTACGCATTTACAATGATGACGATGATGGAGCGAGCAATCCAGGTGGAGGTTACAAGGTGAGAGCTAGAGGAGATTAAAGTATGGGAAGGGTTCAACAATACAACACAAATACAGAAACAGTACACACAGCAGCAACACTTTCAATTTTCGTTGGAAAGAATTTCATAAATAAAATAAAGTCAAAGTTACTTCCTGCTCAAACGAACATTGGGTCAGTGCTTGTCTCCTATTCTGAACCCTGAGGCAGTGGTGGAAATTCCTCATTCCCATGGCCGTGGTGAGTTTATCCATAAGACAACCAACTATTGACTTCACCACAAAGTGGGATAATGGGCCGAGACAACTCCCAGGCAGGATGTGAACTCACAACCCTCTGATTGCGAGCAGCTCGCCCTACCACTGAGCTGCCTGGCCAGTGAAACCATCTGCACCATCGATGCGTCTGTAAACTGGCCGGGCTCCCTCGCTTTGTGCGCCTCCCGCCAACGTCAGCCACTGCCACCACCGCCACCGCCTCGCTCTCTCCCAGTCAGTCCCAGCTCGGCCGGCTCTTTGAGCCAAAGTGGCCCCAGCTGGTGGGGTCATTGACTCCAGTATCCGATCAATGCGTCGCCTATCCCTGCTGCGTGCTAAGGCCCCTAGGTGCACGAGTCTCGGGAAAATCCCCCAGGGAACCCGCCCCTGTTGCTTCAGGGTCTTTGTTTTCCCAAACACGCCAGGCTTGCTGCTGCTGCTGCTGAAATTACGGTGCTTCCATTGCCCTGACTGCCGGTGCCACACTCGATCGACCAGAGTAGCCACCTCCAATCCCTGGGATCACCCCCCCCCCCCCCCCCCGCCTCTCTCTTTCCCACTTCCCCAACTCCCAATCTGGCAAAGCGGCCCAGTTGATGGAGTTCGTTGCCCTGAGCGGGTCTTCTTGGAAGCTGGCTTTGTTACTCGGTGGCATTTTGCTGAAGGGAAAACCCCGAGCCCTCTACTCTCGCTTCCTCCTTCATAAGCCCCCCCCCCCCGCCTCTGCCGTGCACCCTTTCCTGAGCCCCAACTCCGTGGCACGTTAGCCGTGGGCGAGCGGTGCGCCCAGGGGGATTTACACGGCCTCGCAGAGCGATATAACAGCGGGCGCTGATGATGGAGGGTGGAGGTTCAAGCTACGAGGCTCCATCTGGGGGCATTCGTGCCCGGGCTTGTTAGACGATGATCGGTAAACCAGTTATCGTTTTCTAGAGACGGTTCCAAAAGTCAGGAATCGGTAATCGAATTCCAGGGGGATGTTAATAACGAATGCACTGATTGACACGCATGACCTGCCAATCAACTAACTGTGGTGAACCCATTAATGCTGTGAGTGGGCTTTGGCCAGGACGCGCCGTGGCTGGAATAGATGGTGGACAACGGTGGAGGAGATTGAGCGATGAAATCGGTTCAGGTGCAAGTGCTTGGTGTATCGCAGTCTCGTGAGAGGGTAGTGGTGCTGCAGTGGGGGTGATCTTCATCCAACAGTGGATTGATCGTGGCTGACATGATGATAAAAGACCTACGTCTCTGCGATCACATGCTCAGCAGCATGAGTCTGTTCAATGCTCACAGACGGGGGTTGATCTTTACACATGTTTGGCTTTCCGTAAAGTCAGCAGGGCTTTGCGCGGATAAATTTACAGGCGTAATCGCGAGACATAACTTACGGGCGCGCAAGCGCACACGACGACAAGCTTGCCTCGCCGACCACGCGCGGCATTGCCATGCGAGCTTCGCAAAATCCCAAACACATTTGGCAGCCGCACGGAACGAAGAACAAATCCCAGCAGAACATTTTGTCTTCGTCTGGAAACTTCCCAACCCCCCCCCCCCCCCCCCTCTACGGGCGCGTGCTGCTGCCCGACAGCTGAACGCCACCGCCACCACCGACGCTGTTGCTGCTTTCTTTGGTCGCCGGTGTTTATGCGCGCGTGAAAATAAACACTTGCTCTGATTAACCGCTTCCCTGCTGCTAATTGTGGGGGCGAGCCAGGGTGGCGAGATGTTAACTGCCTCGCCTGGCATGCAGGAGCGTGTGGGCTCGATCCCAACCCTGGCGCCTGCTGTGTATTTGGAGTTTGTGTGTCTGTCTCCCCGTGGCCGCGTGGATTTTTTCTACCGGGTCCTCCGGTTTTTCCCTCCACATTCAAAATCAACGTCACGCGTTTAAAATATTTGACTGCTATAAATTTCCACGCGAATGGCAACTTTGTTGAGCTATCATTTGCGGTCAGGTCGCTTCTGAAAAAAAAAGCTACCTAAGTCAGTGGGGGCTTACCTGGTAAAATATTAAATAGTTTAAATCGTTGAATTGTGTATTTCTGCACGAGTAACGTTCGTGCATTGGTGCCTCCTGCACACAAACTCGAACATATTTGTAGCTCAAGCATTTGGCCAATCTGCGAAGGCCAAAACTTTACAACTGTTAGCCCGAAGCTGTAACAAAGGAGACTATGCACGTGTTACAATACAAAGGTCCCGTCAAATTGTCCTGCAGATGGAACGGGTGCTGTTATTCTTAAATAAATAAACAAATTGCTGAACAACAAATCGCCAGAAACATCACGGTAACGTGGCAACCACAAAACAAATCCAGTCTTGTAAATACTGAAACTACAAGCGGCGCTTCGCATTTGTATACCCAGTGAGCTTATGATTCAGTGTTCAATAAAACGTTGGATGTTGAAAAAACATTACTCCGTTGATGATGATGATGATGATAATAATAATAATTGTAGCAAATGTGACTTTAAGCAACATAAAAGTTGTCCACAAGCGAGCCAAGGGGGATGCGAGTCTCAATATGAGTTATCTGGCATAGCCTAACAAAAACACTGTAGCGTTTAGGCAGTTTGGCACCCATGCTAACATGTGGTAAATCTTTAAGTTCCTTCCAGGCAGCGTGTCTTCGTGATTAAACGCGTTGTCACGCTTCGGAGAGACAACTCGCCGTTGAGAATTTTCTCTTGCGGCTTGCCGTGGCGTTTGGGTCACCTGTTTAAACTGTTTGCACAACTCTGCATGATGATTACGCTCCGGGAATTCGTGTTGCCGGAACATCGGACCAAGGGCACCTCACAAGATCAACGCCATCCATTGACTGTGTAGGGCCCCCGCGCTTACGATGCTGCACAGATCTCCGGTGCGTGCCAGGTCGTTCCGCGTGCCGGTCGGCAACGATGTCCGATGTTTCGCTCCAGTTTCTGAAGTGGCTATGAAATCCACGTTTTTTTATCTCCATGAAATCCATTTTCACAGGTATTGGGAAGATGCCGGAGCACATTACGCGGTATAATCCTAAAACGAATCCACAGGCCATGACGGTGGCGATGATGATGTTGATGATGATGACACGAATAGGTACATTTCTGATGATCGATCAATGTTGAAATCTCCCGTGTACAGCCCTGAGCCAGGGGCATTCAGACGCCCCTTGCGAACGAGGAGCTACACTGGACGCTTTGCGATGCCACCCGCTTAGACAAAGCGAGCGGTCAACCCCCCCCCACCCCCTTCCGATCGCAGCACCCTCCCACCTCATTCACTTGCTTCTTGTCGAGGTGGAAGACCTGGCCCGAGCTGGTGGAGGCGATCTCCTCGTAGGAGCGATACCCCGGGTGGCTCTGATCCCCGCAGTCGCCCGTGAGAACAAACACCACCTGGCAGAGAGGTCGCGGGGTCACGTCGCGTGCCGCCAAACCCCTGTCACTGCACTTCCATAGGGATTCAACCCAGAGCTGTCAACCCCTAATCAGTGCGCAAACTTATTACAGACCAATTCAGACCTCATTGGTCACTCCGTGCCCTTGTAAATATCAACGTCCATCCTACAAAGTCCCATTGCAAGGGAGAAACACAAACAAGTAGACACAAACATTTTTGTTACTCAATTTGCCTGGAAAAGAATACTGGTAAACCATACGGGTTGACAGCGATATTCAACCTCAAAGCAGTCGCGAACATCGGGCGATGGCGCTGCCATTGGCAGCGGTGCAACAGCGGCGAATGACAAAATTCCCTCGACGCGTTCGTCAATAATGATGACCTTAAAAGAGAAATAAACTACACAAACAGACGATCATTTTGGACAATGGGTCACCTCTCGTGCTGTGAAGAGTGGTCGCCGGAAATGGCACCGATTAAACCGTAAAGGTGTTTCTTTTCGGGTCGTGTTATTGACGAATGTGTTGAGTTTTTTTTTATATAAATCCGTGCCGTGTTTAGTTTATTGTCTGGTTAGTTTGTTTGGCTTGTAGTCCCACCCCCCGCACCTCCAATTAGCACGGTTGGCTACGTACGGTGCGAAAGAAGTTCAACATACAGCAAGTATGTTGTTGTGGCCGTTGTTTGTCGTGCGAGAGTTGTGTGATCACTGTTGTTGTTGTTTGTGGTGGTGGTGGTGGCTGTGCCATCGGTGTCCACCTGCGACTGCTTGTGCTGGATGAGCTGCAGCACGTCAGCCGTGAGGCGGTAGTCCTTGGCTCGCGCGTCGGTGAACACGTAGATGAAGGAGCCTGGGAGGGAGACCTCCAGCGCCAGGCGCACCGCTCCCACGCTCATCTCCGGGCAATCTCCGCCACCCTGCGTCAACACGGCAGTGCCACAGCCATCACCAGCGTCAGCAGAAGCAGTTGCCATCAACATCATCTGCGGCAGCACCAGCATAATGACCACCATTCCCGTCGCCCTGCATCAGCACAACATAGCCACAACCATCATCATCATCAGCAGCAGCAAGCATCAAGATCATCATCCACACCGCCCTGCCCTCGACAGCCACGCACCGCAGAGGAGTTCCACATTCATCATCGTCAAAGACCCGATGAATACAATCCTAGAATTATCTTTGTTGTTTCTGCTGGATTAATCATTCCACTTTTTTCCCCCCTTCAAACACGCGCACTCTCAAATAATTGTTAAACCATACAACACTGCGGTGAAGTCAAGGGGAGAGGTTTTTTTTAGGTGGGATTTTTTTTCGTGCGCTGTGTGTGTGGGGGGGGGGGGGGCATGCAGGCATTGCTCTTCGCGCTGCCACACGAGCGGCACACAGCTGGTGCAGCCGCTCCGGGATGGTCCACGGCTCCCTCACCGCGGCTGTGCGGGACGGGAAGCTCTGGCGGTGACCCACGGAATGCCGCGTAAACGCCCTGCGCCGGTGAACACGGATCTTGGGTGCTGGTGGTGGTGGCGGGGGGCGGTAGTGTAGTGGTTAGCGCTACGCTGCGCTACAAACCCGGCCACCCGAGTTTGATTAACCGCTAATGGAACAACAGCGGTGACGATTATCCGAACCGGTCGTGGGCCTATCCTAGGTCGACTCAGCCTCAAATGAGTACCTGGTGCGGTGTATGGTAAACATCGCCGCTGGGGAGACAAAGGCGGTCGGGCGCGGTGCTGGCCACCCAACCCTCTCGTGCCCCGTGCCGGCCTTCATAGATGCTCGCTAACGGCACTTGCCCCAACATGTCCGTTAAGGCTACACGGGGGGACCTTTGTCTTTGCTTGTGGATCACGAGCGTGACCGCCTGTCCGCGAATCGCCATCCTGTGTGTCGGGTGGCTGCAATCGATGTGTGCCGAGGTCCCGGTATCACTGCGTTGGACTTCTTTGACGGACATCCCGGGTCCCATGGACATCTCAGAAATATGTCCGAGTTTGTCCTGCGGTGAAAAAGCTGGCAACCCTGTGGGTCGCCGGCTCCAGACACAGAACACCCAAGGTCCAATGTCGCCAGTGGCCGTACCGTGGTTCACACGGGCCCCAGGGTATTGCCCCCCCCCCCCCCGCCTGTACATTTGCTGCCCATTTGACGGCCACGTGTCCTCTACGCGAGTCGTTGAGTCTCTTCTATCATCGCTGCAAGGGTCTCTCTCTCTCTCTCGGGCTCGTAGTCTATGGGAGAGAGACGCAGCTAGGGAGGAGGCTCGCGTGAGGGTGTGGAGGACGGCAGGGAGGAGAATTCCCTCCCCACGCGCGCGTTCCCACAGCCCCAGGGTGGGACGGGGGTCGGGGGCGGGGGGGTCGCCCGTGGGCGAGCGACCGCATCCGAAACTCGAAACGCCAGGGGGGAGGGGGGGTGGTGGGGGGCCGTCTCGCGCCCCCGGGGGTGCGGCAGGAAGAGGACGCGGCAGAACGCAGTCCTCGGGGGGACGGCGTCTCCCCCTCTCTCGCCCCCTCTCTCTCCCCCTCTCTCGCCCCCTCTCTCGCCCCCTCTCCCCCTCTCTCTCCCCCTCTCTCGCCCCCTCTCTCGCCCCCTCTCCCCCTCTCTCTCCCCCTCTCTCGCCCCCTCTCCCCCTCTCTCGCCCACTCTCTCGCCCCCTCTCCCCCTCTCTCGCCCCCTCTCCCCCTCTCTCTCCCCCTCTCTCGCCCCCTCTCCCCCTCTCTCTCCCCCTCTCTCGCCCTCTCTCCCCCTCTCTCGCCCACTCTGTCGCCCCCTCTCCCCCTCTCTCGCCCCCTCTCTCTACCCCTCTCTCGCCCCCTCTCCCCCTCTCTCTCCCCCTCTCTCGCCCCCTCTCCCACTCTCTCGCCCCCTCTCCCCCTCTCTCGCCCCCTCTCCCCCTCTCTCCCCCTCTCTCTCCCCCTCTCTCTCCCCCTCTCTCCCCCTCTCTCGCCTCCTCGCCCTCCTCGGCCCCTCGCCCGTCATCGCAATCGAGTTGGAGGCGGACGTGCACCGATGGCGTTCGAGAGAGAGAAGAGAGACAGCCGCTCCCGCGCGTTTATGGACCGTCCATAAATGACGTCACGCGATTTTGTACGATTTTGACCCCCCCCTCCCTCGTCACACGGCGTCACAAAAAGTCAGACCCCCCTTCAAGTATAATGTCACAAAGCTCTGCCCCCCCCCCCCCCCCCACCACCTCAAAACCATATTTCCATTTTGAAAATAAACCATGCTTCAAATCGCTTTAAACTATTGTCATTGTAGTGCGTATTTAATGTGGCGCTGCACTCTGATGTTATAGGAGAAATCATTTATTAAAACGTCTATTTAATTTAGTAGAACGTAATAATAGGGTTTTTCCCCTTTTTTTGCTGGCAACAAAACTGAAACCTTTTTACAAGGATTCATGTTACTGCATTAACCACAATACCCGCAGTCAAAATGCAAACAAAAAACATACTCTGATAATATATGCATTGTCCTTGAAACTGATTGGTCCACACCAAGGGACGGCTTTCTTTTGAGCCTCGACCCAATTGGTGCTCGACCAGATGACGCCAAAAGGCGTACAGCTCAAAGACAATGCACTATCAAAGTAATGAGGGCTCGGGGTGAGCGTCTACATCATTATACTTTATTATTACATTTTGGTATTGGCACAGGAGATCTAATTATGTAGATGCTCACCCCGAGCCCTCATTACTTTGATAGTGCATTGTCTTTGAGCTGTACGCCTTTTAGCGTCATCTGGTCGAGCACCAATTGGATCGAGGCTCAAAAGAAAGCCGTCCCTTGGTGTGGACCAATCAGTTTCAAGGACAATGCATATATTATTATAGTATGTTTTTTGTTTGCATTTTGACTGCAGGTATTGTGGTTTATGCAGACATCAATCCTTGTAAAAAAAGGTTTCAGTTTTGTTGCCAGAAAAAAAAGGGGGAAAACACTATTATTATATTTTGGTACTGACAAAGGAGGTCTAATGATGTAAGTAGAACGTGTTGTCTATATTTATTTTAAGTTGCGCATTTTTACGTGACGTCACATTTCTCAACCCCCCCCCCCCCCTCGTCACACATCGTCACAAATGTCTGACCCCCCCCCCCCCCCAGGTGCGTGACGTCATTTATGGACGACCCCTTATCTTCGCGCAACGGGTTCGTCAGAGTGACGGCGGGGTAACAGGGGTGCGTGTGGTGGGGTGCTGGAGGCAGTCGCCCACCAGTAACGACGGAGGTGCGACTCTCACAACAACGAGCTGAGCACCGTGCGGATAAAATGCACCAAGTTGGCACACGGTTGGTGCATCTGCCGGTCATCTCATTCAGTCAACCCATGGCACCTGGGGTCAATTCCGTGACCTCTTGTCAGCGGGCCTTCGACACTTCACGTGGCCCCAAAGTGCACCTAGCCTGGCACAAGCGCCGCGGTGATGTCACCGTCGACTCAGCCTCAAACGAGTACCTGGTGCGGTGTGCAAACATCGCCACTCGGGAGACAAAAGCGGCCGAGCGTGGTGTCGGCCACACACCACCCCCCCCCCCCCCCCCCCGTGTGCCACCGTGCCGGCCTTCAGAGATTCTCGCAAACAGCACCTGCCACCGACAGTCTGTTAAGGCCACACGGGGGATCGTTGACTTTGTCCTATTTGAGAAATGTGGAGGAAAACTTCTCAAAATTGGGGTTGTTTGAATAATACCGGTCACATTGAAAGGATTGTTTTGTTGCTTTGGAAGAAACCGGAGGACTTGGAGGAACCCTATGCAGAAGATGGGGGCGGGGGCATACAACTTCGACGCAGAAAGGACACCCAAGTCGGGAATTGACCCAAGTCCTTCTTGATTTCCCGGCACCTCCGATTGCCACAGGCACAAAAAAATAAAATAAACGATTTCAGAGAACTCGGCCAAACATTTCAAACCTCTAAGGAAACTCCTAAGGAACAAGAGTCTTGGGAGATTAACCTAGGTTAGCTTAAGAGAAGTTCTTCAGTGAAATTTATTTGCCAATTAATAGTTGCAGCCAGAATGACAGATCGATCATCTCATTTCGTACAGCTGCCGCTGGTGTAGAACAGCCGCTGTAATTCTACATGGTGGTGGAGGATGAGCCCGATGGTGATTGAGTCAGCAGCAGCGGAGTGGTGAATGAATCATCGCTGCTGTGATTAAGCCTCCTCCTCCTTCGTGTTTGGGAATCGGGCGTTGAGGCGTTCTGTGCCCCGTGGCTGCGTTCTGGGTGACCACAGTCTCTGCACACCGGAGAGTTTTTACTTTTCCATGTGTACATCATCATCAGTATAATCATCATCAGCATCATCAGCAGCATCAGCATCAAAGTGTCCGCCATCTGCTGCCATGGCTTGTGTGGATGCGGTTTAGGGCTGTGGTCCAGAGGATTTGCGGACAATTTAATCGGATCAATCATCCATCAAGACAAACAATCAAGATAGTATAGTCCTATCAATGAAAAAAATACTACCAATCTCACTAAATATCAAGTATATTTTTCTACGTTTTTTAAATTATACATCGTTAAGTATTTCTTGTCTTTGTTAGTGACCGAGACCAATGACTCTTGCAAAGTAGACTTATCCTGGTCTCCCGAGCCCTCGCCTAGTTAAACAATTTAAGCTTGTGAATAAATCGACTTCGCTCTCAATAAAAAAAAAAGTAATGTCTTCCCCACATTTCCGCGCTGGTTCTATCCATGGTGGTAGCCAACACGTGTTTTGTTTTAAGTTTCAGGGACAAAGTCTTTGGCATCGTGGAAGTCTTACATGGAGAGCACACGCTTTGTCGTTGGACCTTCTGATTATTATCCAACCAAGTTTTCACAAAAAAAGGGGGGGGGGAGGGGAGGTGGACTGTGTGGCCACGGGTAATCCGAGCTGAGAAATTGACAGGTAATTTTTAAGCATCGGGATGTTGTGCCAAACACTGGTGACATTGTACGTGTGTTTGTTTTAGCGAAAGGGAGGAATACCGGAGAAGCCGGAGGGAACCCATGCAGCAAGGGAGGGGAGAACACAGAAACTCCACACAGAGAGAATCGCCTGAGTTAGGAGTCGAACGCAGGACCTTCTTTCTGCGAGGTTCGAGAGTTACCACTGAGCCAATACTGAGAAATATAAGGAATGAAACAGGACTTCTCCACAAATCTGGCTGTCGCCTGATGAAGCTGGTTGTAATTACTGGCGAAACGTCGTACTCAGATTGTAAATGTTGTGGCTTGGCTCTCCAACACACCGGTGTGCTGTACCAGTGACGAATTGGCCACGTTCTGTTTACGTGACAACCCTTACGAGTTGGCTGTGTCGGGTGGTGGCGGGTTTTAACGACACATATATTTACACGATCTAACCCCCCAAAAAAAACCCTCTTATGGATGATATTGGTCGCGAAAGCCCACGTGTTAAGCCGCACTGTGGCAAGTGTCTGCTTGAAGGATTTGTCCAAGCCAGGGAGGTGCCATGCTTTGGTCTCGAAGGGGGTGTTTGTCCTGGCGATCCACGTTGCTTCCACTCTGTTTGTCAGCGTTCTTTGCGATCTCTACCTGCACGTAGAGGTCTCGCAGGTCCTTCTGGAACCGCCCCGGGTCGGTGGTGATGCTGGCTGGCCCCACGTCTGTAGGCGAACGTCACACAACGCGAAACAAAATAGGGCAAAACAAAATTAGTGTGATTCTTATCGCTGTGCTTGTTTACTCAGGAAAGCCTTGCTGAGCCTCAATACTAATTTTTCAGGAGGGTCCTACCAAGTTTTCATAGTCGTGGGTGATGTTGCTGCTGCTGCTGCTGCTGCAATCCCAATCGAGAACGTTGCAGGAATTCACTTTGGCTGTGTAAGGAAACCCGATTCACTTGAGGGGTCGATGATCATCACGACGCCGCCAATAATGAACCCATTGTGATCCGCGTGAACGCGCGCGCGCGCCACTGCTCCGACGTCGTGAATGTGGCCACCCACGCCACCACACGGTGGCAGTTGCTGCCTCCACAAGTGTCAGGCGGACGACGGAGTGAAGGCCCCTCGCCAGGAGGAGATCTCCGGGCAGGGAAAACTGCCTCGACCAGACGGGGGGACCCGTGCCGACAGGCTCGATTGGAGGGGGGAGGGGGGAGGGGGGAGGGGGGGGGCGCCGTGTGCCTGCCCGGTGTGGGCCATCAGACACGCGTTGTCACAGTGGCGCGGTGCAGATGTGGGGGGTGATGTGCGGGGTGGGGGGGGGGGGTGATGTGTTGGGGGGGGTCATGTGGTGGAGAGGGTGATGTGAGGGTGGTGATGTGGGGGGTGATGTGAGGGTGGTGATGTGGGGGGTGATGTGGGGGGTGATGTGAGGGGGGTTATTTGGGGGGGTGATTTGAGGGGGGAAATGTGGGGGGGGGGTGATGTGGGGGGGGTGATGTTGGGGGTGATGTGGGGGGGTGATGTTGGGGGGGGTGATGTTGGGGGGGGGTGATGTGGGGGGGGTGATGTGGGGGGGATGATGTGGGGGGGTGATGTGGGGGGGGGGTGATGTGGGGGGGGTGATGGGGGGGGGTGATGTGGGGGGGGGGGTTGCAGATACGGTGATAAGAATGGAAGTCTGAGAATCACTATACATTTATACCCGAACGCTAAAACCGATCCTAACACCGAACCCTAACCTCGATAACTCTAAACCCCTAACCCTTAACCCGAAACACGAAACCCAAACCCCAATCATAACTGGGGACAGTAGAGATGGGGTTCCTTCCTCGCATCGGCAGGAACAGTAACACTTATTTACAGGTGCTCTGACCGGTCAGTTGACCACTATCCTATCATCCTGCCCGAGCCTACAAACGGAGTACCACTTTGGGGGAAGTCAACAGTGGCCATGCTGCGGAGAGGCTGGCCCTCACAATGGGAATGTGGAATTCCCACCACAGGCTCAGGGACTTTCGAGAGGTGGCGGCGGTGTCTTATGGAGGCCCTCCATCTGGCAGTGGATTGAACATGGCTGGTGTAGATCCGTGGACCCTGCCCCACGCAACGTGCAAAGGGATACACTTTGAATGTTTGACTTCTGTTGTAAAATTCTCTTCATGCCAGGTGCGGTGCTCGATTCTCGGGTTGAGTTTTGTCAGCGCAAGCTTGCAAGCGAGTCAAACGGGGCAGGCTGTTCTGTGTTAAAAACAACAAATTGTATGAGAGAGACGCCAGTGCCCGAGCTCTTACTCTTTTCCACACAACGTAATTGTGTCGTTGTAAAAAAAAAAAGAAATAACGGATTTTAAAGCACCCGCAAGCATCCTATAAGATTTTATTTTACAAACATGACTCATTTTACCCCCCTTAATATTCCTCAACTTCGGCAGTAATTTTTGTTACTTCCTGCAATGAATATTTTACAGCCTATTTCAAATAAGAAACGACTTGATTTTGTTATTGTTGCGGAAGTAGTATAAGTCTACAAGTAGTCTCAGCTGTGAGCAGTGTGTCTGTGTGTCCGCTGTGAGCTACGCGTGCCAATCGCTCGCATAAACGAAACGCTCACATCCTGAGTACTGTACGCAGGGCTCTCACCGACCAGGCTGTTTTTTCGTCCGGTGCCTCTGGGCCTTACGGCAGCCCACAGATTCGAATCTCCTCTCGGCAGTTTTTGCTGACTGGGAGTGGCCGCAGTAATTGCTCTCAGATGCCACAATCTCCCATCCTTTTGAAAGCCATCCGTCGCGCGGTAAATTTGCAGGAAAAAAAAAACGAGACGTACCAACAACAAAAAACACAACGGCAGGGCCGAACCCGACCAAAAACTGCGGCACGTTTGGCCGCGTGGAATTCCAGTAGCGTCTCAACAAAGTCACAAGTTCACGTGTTCTCATTTTTTTAACCGTACATTTTGCTGATTTTGTGCCTTTAAAAGAAACAAAAAAAAAGGCCCCGCATTATTTCAACGAAAAATGATTCTTTCCAGATCTCTGGATTTATACCCAGAGGGCAAATGTTGGACGTTGCCACAACACAATACAATACGCGCAATAACAACAAAAATCATCACAAACTGTCAAACTTGCAGAAACTATTTGCTCAACGGGCGAATGTTGGGCCCTTACTCAGGAATGTTAAATAATGTCACGCCAAAATAATAATAATAATGCTGCGCTTGCTCCATGTTGTGCGGACGTTGATTAAACGTGCGTCGATAGCTGAGGCTAGAGGAGCACGGCCCACATGTTGACAAGGCGATTTGAATTGTTGCAGCCGCGCATCGTTCTCGAGCGGCGTTTGGTGTTTCTACGGGGGAGAGGGGGGGGGGCGCCTACGGAACCACGTGTCCCCCGGCGATCACCCACAAAAAAAGGGAACAACGCAAATCGCAGACTTTACTGGAGGCGAGGTCGCGACAATTAAAAAACCCAGACGGAATTCTGTGAACGGACGCCGAGTTGCCCACCGAGTTACTGAGAAACCGGTAAATACAGTTCAAATTAGTTCAGTTTACCCCGAAGGCTTTGAAGAAAGGGGTGCTTTCTTTGTTGCCACTTGCCTTACAAGACAATTTCAGCGGGTTGCACTTCAACAACTGGCGCGAGTAGAATCCACAATTCTGGCACAAGTACAAAAATCGCCCAATAATGCTGGATGCAATTACCAGCGAAACGTCACAGTGCTCAAATTGTAAATGTTGGGGATGCAATCTCCAACACACCGGGTGGGCTGAAGTGGTAACTCATCCGCACGTTCTGTTTACGCGCCAAACCTTACGAGTTGGCTGTGTCGGGTGGTGACGGGTTAACGACACAGTTATACTTACGCGATCGAACCCAAAGAAAACAAACCTTCATTATGAAAATGCCTTCCGGTTACTGAGCAAAGGTGCCGCAACGTCAAGCGACCGGCAGCTAAGGAAACCATCGAAGTTGCAAGAGACAAACGAGTTAACAGGTTGATTTAAAACAGAGCGAGGTTATGTGAGAGCTTGGGTAGGAGAGACGATGGGAGGGAATTGCAAGGTTTGAGGTGTGCGAAGGAAGAAGCAGAGAGAGAGAGGCACGTTTTGTCCTCAGTGTAGTGGTCGTTGAACAAAGAGTGGTGGATGTGACGAAGCAGCCAGAGTTCAGTTCATGTATTAGGAGGTGAAGCCCTGTGAGCCATGCGGCTCTTGACTCGGGTGCAACCGCGACAAACAAAAACGTGAACAAGAAAACATCTTAAAGTGACTACGCGCAACAGAAAAATCCAGGAAAACACAGCAGAGTCTTCCAGAAAAAGCACCGTATCTCAACGCTGTGTGCAAACATCCCAGTGGGATGCAAGTCAAACGATAACAACCACAAGGCCAGAGTCTGGGTAGGCCGCGTCTCTCAACGTGGGTGGAGGAATATCAACGAGCGAAAGTTGACAGCAACAGTGGCCACGGATGTAGCGACAGAATGATAATAATTTAAATTTATAAAGTGCCCTTAAAACAATCGTTCTCAGGGAGCTGTGCTTGGAAAGGGGGGGGGGATAGTTTAACATCAACCGAGGAAAGAAGAAGTGAGAACAACTTTTTTTAACAGATGCGTCTTCAGTCGAGACTTCAAGATTTGTAAGTGCCTCGGAGGTCCCCCGACCTCGAAGGGACAACGAGTTACAGAGTTGCGGTGCCGCAGTTGAAAAGGCTGCCGTCATCACTCCCACGTGTGAAGCCCAAGACCGTGGTGACAGCGAGCAACGCACAATCCGATGATCGTAATGATCTTGATGGAACACGTGGCTGAAGGAGGTCATGAATGCAGGGAGGAGCAAGCGATGTGTGTGTGTGTGAAGGCTCCGGTCGGAGTTAGTTTGACACTCGACAAGGCATGTTACCGTCATCGCAGCCAAACTGGATCCATTCCGTTAGGAATGGGGGGGGGGGAGAATCCATCGCTGGCTTTACTGCGTACCCCACTCATTGCTGGTATGTGCGAGCACATTCCCCTAATTGCCGTAATTTTCACGTGCCTCCAATTAGCCCGGCCGAGACTTATACTAATGACAGTCATGAACACACCTGCACATACCGAGGAGCACATGTGGGCACTCGCTGCACACCCAGTGGAGGGGTACAGGCGGCACGGACTTGAGGGTTGGCAGGCGTGCAAAGCAATCGTGGAGCGGTGTCCATCTGCCTAACCCACCGCCTAACCCACCGCCTAACCCTCCTCCATCTAACCCTCCATCTAACACTCCTCCATCCAACACTCCATCTAACCCTCCATCTAACCCTCCATCTAACCCTCCATCTAACCTCCATCTAACCCTCCATCTAACCCTCCATCTAGCCCTCCATCTAACCCTCCTCCATCTAACCCTCCTCCAGCTATCCCTCCATCTAACCCTCCATCTAACCCTCCTCCATCTAACCCTCCTCCGTCTAACCCTCTATCTAACCCTCCATCTAACCCTCCATCTAATCCTCCTCCATCTATCCCTCCATCTAACCCTCCATCTAACCCTCCTCCATCTAACCCTCCTCCGTCTAACCCTCCATCTAACCCTCTATCTAACCCTCCTCCATCTATCCCTCCATCTAACACTCCATCTAACCCTCCATCTAACCCTCCTCCGTCTAACCCTCCATCTAACCCTCCGTCTAACACTCCATCTAGCCCTCCATCTAACTCTCCATCTAA